CATCTATGGGTTCTTAGACAAGAAAGAGAAGAATCGACTTATCTGGCTGCACGGCACGGCGGGCGTCGGAAAGTCTGCTGTTGCGTTCACTGTAGCTGAAAAGATGAGAGGTCTGAAAATGACAGAGGAGACGAAAGTTGAAAAACGGCTCGGGGGATCATTCTTTTTCTCCCGCAAGCACACGAAACGCCGTACTACCGGCTATTTCTTTGCGACCCTTGCCTACCAGCTCGCCAGTAATTTTCCCAGCGTCCGAGGGGACGTGAACAGAGCTATCATTGAAAATCCGGCCCTTCTAGATCCTGACAAGTCTCTTCGAGATCAGATGGAGGCGTTGTTTCTCCGACCTCTCCGGAAGCTTACACTCAGACTTCGCAATTGTCCGCCTTTGGTGTTTGCTATCGATGCCCTTGATGAATGCACACCCGAATCACTCGAATCTGAATCACTCGATGAACCCACCTCTGAAGGCGAGCTCGCTGATCTCATCTCCCTGCTTGGCGAAGCTCTTTGTGAACCTGATCTTCCCATCGTCCACATTCTGCTCACGAGTCGCTCAGAAGAGCATATCCGCAAGGCTATGCAGACCGAAGAGATGCATCCGCTGTTGTGCGAGATACCGGTGAAGACTTCTGGGAAGGGCGTTGTTGCCACCATCTCATTAGACGGCGCAGATGTTGACAATGACATATACATTTTCTTGCAGCACTCGTTCAGAGAGCTGGGAAATCGCCATCCAGATTTCCCGCAGCCATCGGCCGATCAACTTGCACGGCTGGCGAGCCGAGCGGGGAGACGTTTTATTGTTGCGTCTACTATGATGAAGTTCATCGACGATCGAAACCATGATCCCCGCGACCAACTTCAGCTCATGCTCGAGCTAACGAGTGAAATGCTGCCAGGGACGGAGGTGTACAAGCTCTACGACCGCATCCTCTCCACGTGTGCCGACCCGACGCTAGCATATCTGCACTTGTCTGTCGTTGCTGCCCTCGCAGACCCACTTCCAATGTCGCAGATATCAAAACTTCTTGGCCCTGGCCATGGCAGGGATGTCGAGACAGTACTGACACAGCTACGATCTATCATCAATGTTCCCACCGACAGCACTCTCCCCGTGGATATCTACCACTCGTCCGTTCGTGACTATGTTTCCCACCGCTCAAACTGCAGCCTCCGTCAAGTACAATACATCACATCACCGCACTCCTTAATCGCTCTTTCCTCTTTCCGCTTGATGATGCGAGACCTTCCAGATGGCACGGCCCTCGTAGATGCGCTTTCGGAATTGAAGAAGCACAGCCAAGCTACGCAGCCTCAGGACCCCCAGGACTTGAAAACGTCATTATCCTTCATCGTCCAGCCACCGGAGCCACTGCAAGGTCTTATAGGTCTGCTATGGGTTCGTGGACATCGTGGCTCGGAGTTGCAATTCTGGCTAGAGACCTTAGATGGGCATGCCTGGTTGCAGACTCGGGGAGGGAACGACTGGATGCTGACTGACGGAGGGAGACACTGGTTGTCAAGATTGGCTGGAGACCTCGGGCGGGCAAGATTGGCTGAAGACCTCGGGCGGGCATGGTTGGCTGGAGACTACGGTTGGGCAAAACTGGCTGCAAGCCGGGGACCATAGAGACTGGTTGCAGACTTCGGGCGGGAATGACTGGCTGTGGACCCCGGGTGGGCAAGACTGGCTGCAAACTGCAGATGGGAAAGCCTGGATAAAAACCCCGGGTGGGCGAGTCTGGGTGCAGACCATAGGTGGACAAGACTGGTTGCAGACCCCAGCTGGGAGACACTGGGTGCAAACTGCGGATGGGAGAGCCTGGATGAATACGCCAGGTGGGCGCGTCTGGATGCAGACTGAGGAGGAGCGAGACTGTGACATTCCGTTGGGGGTGAGCCTGTGGCTGCAGACCCAGTGGTTGCTGCAGACCGATGATATAGAGTCGCTGCAGTCCGAGCATATAGAGTCGCTGCAGGCCGAGGACCGAGCCATTCTGTTGGAGGTGACAAACTGGCTGCAGACCATAGGTGGGAAAGAGTGGCTGCAGACCCAGGACGGGCAATTTTTTTTGCAGACTGAGGGCGGGGAAGAGTGGCTACAGACTCAAGATGGGCGAGATTGGTTGCAGACTGCGGACGGGAGAGACTGGTTGCAGACCTTGGATGGGCGTGCCTGGCTACAGACCCCCAGCGGACGAGATTGGCTGCACACCTCAGGCGGGTACGCCTGGATACGGTCCCCGGGCGGCCAAGGCTGGCTGCAAACACCAGGCGTGCAAGAGTGGCTGCAGACTCCGAGAGGTCAGCAGTGGTTCCACACCCTGCCCTCGATCCCTCAACCTTCTCTGCCATCCTCCGTATCATTTGCGCTAATCTCCCAGCCATCCTCACATCCACCCCCAAACAAGGGAGATCAGCTACAGAACTTGGACGAGGGAGCCTGGTTGAAGGTCCCAGGCAGCCTACGTTGGCTGCAGACCCTTGACGGACGAGAGTGGATGCAGTACCGTGGAGGGTGGAACTGGCTGCCGACCCAAAATGGGAGAAATTGGCTGCAGGACACAGGCGGTCAAGACTGGCTGCAGACCTCGGGCGGGCGAGACTGGCTGCAGGCCCAGGGTGGCCAAGACTGGCTGCAGACGTATGGTCGAGACTGGTTGCAGACCCAGGGTGGCCATGACTGGCTGCAAACATCACACGGTCAAGCATGGCGTTTGAAGACTATTTGGGTGACTGTCGAAGAATTTTCGAGCACATTAGAAGCAATCAGGGAGTACACGATTGCCCCAGAACTGCCTTTACAGCCAGCTTTTCAAGCAATCCAGCTTCTCAAGTCCCTGCCCGATTTCTTGATGTTCCCGGCGTTTCTGGCGTTAAGGCACCAGGATCATTCCACCTCTGCATCACCGCAAAGTTGCCCACGAGACATGGAGATCATCCATGCTATGAAAGCCTTTTCAACTTTCGCATACGAAGCACGCGCACGCAGTCGATCAGCTTCGGACGCCCTCAATTATGCATGCCAAAACTGGGCTATTCATCTCTCGCGGGCTCCAAATCTGTGGGACGGGGGGCTCACCTATCTGTTCAAGTCTTTCTGGAATCATAATCTCCTCTCATGGCTCGAAAGGCAGTGGAGTTTGAAGGATCTACAGTCTTGTCTCACTATTTTATCTGAGGGCCAGAAACTTGCGATGGTGGGTGTTTCCAATGTTCTCTAGATTTATAACATCTTAATGTCTGACCTGCGCATATAGGAACACCTTCTGCAAGAGGGACGTCCACCACAAACCAAGGTAGCTAGCTCCCCAAGACTTTCAAAACGGTCCTAGTTAACAATCACCTTAGCGCGGGCTAGATTTCAGTGACAGCGACAATGTCGACCAAGACACGTCAATACCTCGGAAGCAAGGAAAGGTGGCACTGACCACATCTTGAGATGATGCCTGCAACTGCGCAGTCGCTCGTTCAGAAGAAAGAAAAATAACATTGTATACGGAGGAATCGGACTACAATGTAATAAATACAAGGACTCCCCTTCGGTCGGCTCTACGACAATATGATATCATGTTTACAGTAGCAACTCAGGAAATACAATGTCAGCGTCGTCTCTGCAAATAGATAGTGTCTCTTCGCGTTCTCACTTTCGACAACACCATGCACAATCGATCATGAGCGAAGGGATCAGTCCAGAGGTCGAGCACGGTTTGCGTTAGGGTCAAACCTTAACATCCATTTAATGTAGTTGCATATGCGGGTCGCAGGGGAAACTGTTTTCGGTTCGCTGTCCATGGCGAACGGTTTGTATGGAATGCGGGGGATGCAGCGGCTGTCAAATGTATTGAGAAGTTGGAGATTGGTTGAGGAAGCGACGGTGCAGCACGACGACGCACACGCGCGCGTTTCTGATCAATCCCATTTCTAGCAAGAGGTTACATACTCCAGGATGGGTTAACATCGCAAGATAGTCGAGTGTGTATTCTGGTGCGTTCAATCGAGTCTGCTCAACTTCTTTCAGGCTGTCATAAGATTCTACATGACTTCGTCAGTGAAATGTGTGATTGCGATGCTTACAAATATCGCCTGGCAAGTTGTCTAGAATTTTGTCACTGAAAATCCATCAACATAGACGTTGAGAGGGGAAAGGAATGCACGGTCAAGACAGCTTTCAGCGTCTTCGAGAATTGCTAGAGGACGTCAATGGTGTCGTCGAAGTTTGTGGTCTAACAACGCCGTGAAATGAAGCAGAGGTCCCCATAGTACTGAGCAAAGAGCCGTAAAGAAAACAGAACATGAACGTTAAGAGGAGACAGAACGCAACAATACAGCATGACGTAGTGGACGCAATAGCACCCGATGCCGGCGGTATCTGGTGCTTAATACATGTAGATAGATGAATTGTTTACACTACAGAAAAAGACGTCTTTACAGTCTCATGAAATAGAAATGAAGCAGAGGTCGCCGTAGGCAAAGAACGGTGTTCGCAGTGGACGGAAAGAGCCGTGAAGAACGCAAACAACACAGCATGACGTATGGACAACATCGCCGGTGGTTACAGTATGGGGAAAAATATATCTGATACGCGATGCGCAGTGCACACCTCTTGACGTATCTGATGAACCTCTAAGTAAAAGCATTCTTCAGTTTTGAATTCATGGACGATTTCCGACACTTCACCATGTAAAGTTCCAAGACCACACGACCCACGCACGAATCCGTCGTCTAGTGCAATACATAGAATAATGCTACAGGTATAGTGTATGATCCACAGATGCATAGTACGGACAGCAATGCTAATGACCATGCGAATATAAAGTGTAAGTATGTATGTAATAGCAAGACCCTCACGTCTCACGCGCTCGCAGCAATCACAGGCGGAAGCTCCATAGCCCTTCCCTGCCCTTGTGCTTGCGGACCCGGTTTCTTCTTGCCTCCTCCAGCTATACCCAAGGCCCCCCCCACCCCCTGCTCCATTGGTTCCCCCACCTAATCCATTAGTGCCACCACCGCCAGCTCCAGCTCCACCAACATCTCTTCCCTCCACCCCAAGCCCATTGAATGCGCGCATCGGTTCCACTGGAACGGCATCCGACATATCGGGCATTGACATTAGCACTGGCTCCTTCGCTTTGTTCTTCTTCTTGACAGCCCCTGCAGCAGCGCCTGTCTTGAGTACCTGACCCAAAGGTCCAAGCTTCGCCTGCGCAGGTGCGGGTGCATCGTCTGGGACCGTGATGACCCGTGTGAACTCGCCTGATGAACTTGGTACATAAGGTAATGGTGGAACGCCAGGGTGAGGAAGTAACCCAAATTGAGGGACAGGTGGGAGATAAGGGAGACCTTGGAAGGTGCCGGGAGGTGCGAGTGCTGCAAGCCGCATGTGAAAGTAGGGACGCAATAACCCGATCTGATCGCCAACATTCTTGCTCGTGATAGGAAGTAGCGAAGGCGGTGGTGGATATGGCGGTGGCGGTTCTGTGGGTTTTGCTCTGAGAGAGGAATAACATTAGACGAGAAATCGAAAGACTGGATGGACAAGACGTACTCGATGGCAGCCCCTGCCGCTCCCCGTGATTTCCCTTTGAGTAGCTTCTTTGGGATAGTAAGACTCGATAGCCCCAACTCCGCAGCAATGCCAAGCTCCCGTAACCCGAGAAAGTCGTCACCAAGTGAGTCAGAAAACCCACCCATGACAAACGCACTCTCGTCCTCTTCGTCATCCTCGCCAGCGAAAAGCGCATCATCATCGAGAACTTCCACCTGTGTCTGTGCATATGGTGAGTACAAGAGATGTTGGTCCGTGAAGGAAAGACTAACAGCTTCGCGATACGCTCCAACAAGCTTTTTCTCGAGGTCAACAAGGCGCGAACCGTGCCGGACGACGTCGTCCTTGATGTATCGCTCAAGATCTTGAATTCTCGTGACTCCACTTTCGAAGAGTGTATGCAGGATGATTTCCTATAACACACTGCCAGTGAGTTCCAGGTCAACGATGGGAGAGAAAAGGTGAGACGCACCTCTGGCGTCATGCTCTTCGCATACTTGTCGCACATGAATCGTAGCGTTCGACCGACATTGAGGAAATACTCAGACGTCACCCCCACCATCACATCTAGTGCAGCGCTTGACGCCCCTGGACATACAGTAAAAGTAAGTACACGAATCTCTAGCCGCCTATCACGCCAAACAAAACGATGATGACGAAGGAAGAGTATGGAACGCACCTTGGAATCCTTCATGCTCTAGCACCTTCCGATTCATCCATTTCAGACATTCGTCCGCATTCTTCTCACCCACTTCTAGTTCCACTGGTCCCTTCACCTGTCTAAGACCAGCATATCTCGCTCGCCACGGCCGCTCATCTATCACCTCATCAACCATGCCTTCTTCCCCCAGTATCTGGCGGCTCATCTCCCATTCCACCCTCTTCTGTGTTTAGGTTGAGCGCGGCAAACTTAGCGTGGGTACGTCGGACCCGTTTAAGAGTTTTAATGTTCGTGTTCATGAGACTGAGGAGGGTGTTGGGCGCGGGAGTATCTCTGTCCTTGTATTTTGCTAAGGACTGAGGGCGGAGTTTCCGTCGCTTGCGGGGCCTTGCAAATTGTGATGAGGATGTGGGCTGGGATTGCGGATAAAGAGGTCGATGCAGCGAAAGGCTGAGGAAGGGCTGGAAGTCCATTGGCGAGATATGAGTCGGATTGAACAGAGGACCACCAAGGCGAGTTTGGGTCGTCTGCCGTGGGAATAGGCGCAAAGGGAGCAGGGCTTAGACGTACGCGTTTACGAGGACGATAAGATGAACCGTTTCTGCATCGAATAAGCGAAGAGGTACCGCAATCAGTATTTGCCGATCAATGTACGGAGGATGCATTGGTAAAGGAACAAAAAGGTGAGGCTCACAGCTTGCGTTTCTCCCCCGAGTCATTATCTATTGACATTAATGTTTCGTCTGCTTCGCTGTCGTATTCATTTGTAGAAGCAGATGAACTGTATCCATTCGGGATGCTTGATGGACCGGCTTCTGACTCGAGTGAATGGAACGCAGCCATACCGTGTGGCGTACGCTCAAGCGCAGGGGAATCGGCAAAGGGAAGATCCATGCGCTGCTTCGGGGTGATGGTGCTTTGCGTTGCGGTCAATGACGGAGATCGTCTGTGGGTGTATGTCGTGCCATTAATCTTGGGCCGTGCCGTCGCGTTAGGTCTCATTGGGATGGGAGAAGCGGAATGCGAAGGCTGGGATAAAGCAGCAGGTAAAGGAGGGTCAATTCGTTCCTTGCGGTCCGTGATGTTCTTCAGTAGTCTATCGGCTTTCTTCTTGAGGCGCATTGCGCACTGGCGGAGGGGGTGGTCCTGCGCGGCACAGTGGGCCTCACCACGCGTTTTCACGACGGTGATACATACCTCAGTCGCATTGTAGGTGAAACAGTTTGACCATATCAGATCTAGATCATCCGCAAACTCGCGCTTGGACTTGTATTGCTTTGATTTGACCTTCTTGAGCATGGATTGAAGGTCCATGGGGTTTGCGATCACTGGATGGTATGAGACGAGACATGTTGAGATAGGATATGTGCGCGCACCATCGTAGTAGTCGGGAACATCGGATTTCGCAACTGGTTTAAGGAATGCCTCTGCGTCGTGATTATCCTGTGTATGATGTCAGCGGGGTAAGATAGCGTTGATCCGCATGCACACACCATGGTCACTGTACGCAGATCATGAAGTAGTCCCTCAAGGGAGTCATAAAACGGTTCTGATACCTTGGCATCGAAGCTTTGGCGCTAGAATGATTTAATGCATTATTTCTGCTTTAGGCACAGCACGGAACAACAAGACTCACGCGTGCGTCCTTGACAGCACTCAGAAGGAGTCTGAGGTCAGGCGAGGGCTTAACCTGGCTCTCGGTGAGTGTCCTGAGGAGGTTCTGCATACTGTTAGTTGTGTATGGATGGATGGCTTGACGAGGCTTACATTCATCCTCTGGTCGCGCCGGCTGTCATTAACCGCGCAACGGACTCAGCGGGACAACTGCATTGTTCAGTCGGAGTTTGAATGTCTATGGAAGTTTCCGACCAAGGACAATGTGCTTATGATGGGATTTAGCCTATGTAATGGTTGGCTAACTTTTGAGTCGATTTATACACTAGTACTTGTAAAATAAGCAAACACAATATCCAGTGACATCCATCCTCCAAACGGAAGTCACCCCCCCTTCCCCACGCTGGCCCACCTCCTCCTACAACCTCCTCAACTAGAAGTTCATCGACAAAAGTCTGCAACCAAATCTGGTCCCTAACCCCTCACGAACTCACTGTCTCAGCAATACACTCGCCCAAAACCAAATCTGTATCCGAGAATAACATGGTAGCGTCTTTCGCGGTGAGTACCTATCACGAGCGCGGTCTCTGTAATTGAGCTTGGTGCATCTTTTAGATCCTGTGATTCTTTGCCGGCCGAGACGGTGATCTTTGGTGGTGATTAGAGAAAGCGTTGTTTGATGGGCGTTGTACTCGTGAGTTATTGGGTTTAGAAAGATGGTGAATGCTAATGCATGTTGTAGCGTTTGATGCGAGCATTGCGAAGCTGTTAATGAACATTTGTGAATCTCTGCTTTTGTCACTGTGTTTCTGTGGTCGATCGTTCAACGTTATTGATCGGAGCGGAACTATCAGGTTCAACAAGATATCTTATCGTCTAAACAAAACGTAGTTTTGTGGCCTCCGGATAAATACGTCAAGCTAGCACAAGGTGCACACCCCCTCAGCCTCGACAACACGGTTAACCGAAAAAAACGACAACAGGGCTGACAGAATGTATTCCACCACTGCGACAGCGACCGCGCCAAACTCCGAGACCCCCTCCGTCAAGGGCACAGTATTAGCCAAGCCAAATATGGTACGTCGCGACATTTCTTCTCCCTCACTCGAGTTGCTCCTCCGCAAAGTTGCCCTCTCCCAACTCGCTCTGCTAAAACTATGCGAATCCAAAACGGCACAGCTTCCAACGTCACTGGCGCCTATGGTGCTGCTGCTGCTATCTGGTTTGATAGCTTCGTTCGCGCTTGTGTAGTTATCAAATTGAGCAGGGCACTTCAGGGTCTTGTATTTATGATCAGTATACTTGAAGTGGTCGTTTTGGGATGGAATCAGGAGTGTGTACTTGTAGTTTCTTGGTAACAGCAACGAAATAATGCATGTGACTCATGTCTGCTTTCTTGCAATTATCATACCAATAATATCGGAATATGATCTGACGCAAGTCTGTATTGACATCCCATCCTTCCCGCCCATCATGTTTGCTGTCTCAGCTTGCTTTCTTTCGTGTTTGTCCACTTCCTTTCATTTCTCGCTTGCCCATACCGATACTAGGCCTATCGTAACATTCAGCCCAACTTGAAACCGGCCATTTCGGAGATGTCTTGATTTCAGCCAAATGACAAGTCGTTAGGTTATACTCGTGCGGACGGTCACATGAATACTGCAATCAAGTCAGTGGACGACAGTCGTGTGAATCTGGTCTGCCCTACCCATAGCAATCTCGTAGATTCGGAAGGAAGACACACCGGCGGTTTGGGGATTTTGCCTTGGGCAATATTTTAATCGAAATGAGAATAAATAATTAGCCATTCGCACTTTGAATTTTACTACTGGGATAACGGCAAATTGCGACTGAGGGCAAAATGCGAATGCAACACAACCCATTTTGACCAATATTTTCAGTCCGGTCTAGTATTTAAAGTTTTCCGCCGGGAAAATGACAATGCAGATATTAAACTTAGCAATCCAATTTTGTCTGAAGGAAAATGCAAAATTTGAGGCGAATAAAATGGTCGGTAAAATATTATATAATGACTGACATTCATATTCCCGTTGCAAGTATAAATTTTCACAATGGTAAAATTTGATTGCGAAAACAAGAAATTTTATAAATAGTAAAATGACCTGCGCATCCGGCGGGCATTCATCGCGCGCTCACAAGGAATCCATCGGGCATTGATCGGGCAGTACAACTCGGGCATTTTGGCAATTCAGAACACGCGAGAACGAAATGCTTATTTTGTGCAGTAATGGCAAGGAGTAATAATACAGGCTTCCAAAGGTACTGTACTAAATGTCATTGGTTGAAGGAGGCAAGATTTTCTAGACCAAGATTACTGAGGGTCTCAGCGTTACCCTCTGAATCCCTCCTACGTTTCTTACTAGTGGGTGTGAGCAGTCCCGTCACGTCCTGCGAGGCGCACAGTGACTTCGTATACATATGACGTCCATTGGGTTTGTCAATCGGATGCAGTTTTCGCAGTACAGCCGCATCCTTATCAGGCCAGCCGGGTGATTCAAGGTGTTTGTTGTAAATATCGATGACGGCCTTGTGTGATTGCAGTTTCTTCATCCCCATCTCCTTCTGGTAGGCAACCGACTCCAACAGGACTTTTTTTGCAGCATCTATAATCCTCCACTGTACAGCCGTGGGCGCAGGCCCAGCTTCGTCATCAATACATCCGTCCAATGAGAGCCGCAATTGTACAAGCATCTCCTGTGCCTCAGGGGAGACCACAAAGTATCGATGCGAAAAGAACTGCGCGAATTCAAGAATGACATTGTCGAGCGGTTTGCAGTCGACGAATATATCCTGTGGAAGATCAGTTCTTGCGATGAGCCAATTCGATTTCGCGGATCCTCCGGACCCCAGTAGCGGATCAGCATCGAAAACCTGCAATATAAACTGTGTCCGATCAACGGAACTCATGTAGCTCTCCTTGAACATCAAGGCTGTCCACAAAACGACATAAAGACTGGACTCTAGGTCATCCTCTACACCATGGACGGCATCGATGTTTTTGACGAGGTGGGCAGACATAACCTGCCAGGTTCCCTAAGAATCAGCAAAATCAGTGCAATATGAGTGTGAGCGTGAAATGAACATACCGTACGGGTTGTCTGTCGAGGACCCTGAATAATAAGTAGCTTTGCTAAGTCCCAATCGATAAGGAACCCCTTCCCTCGGTAGATGACGATATTCCCGATGCTCAGATCTCGGTGTAGTATTTTTGCATTTTCAAATGCATCGTGATGGGCTGGATAGTAGGGACATCAGATAATATGCGAGGCTTTAAGGTTAAAAATACATACCAACCAATGCGTCACGAACAGACTGAACAAGTTGACGAGAGCTCTCGAAGTCAGTTAACTTCTCACCCACAATATCAAGAACCAGGCGGTGAAGAGTGTGAGGAGTGACAGCTTGGTTAGGACACGCCCATTTGGCATTCCGAAACTTGACGGTCTGGGTGTTTTGCTGGGGGACAGGGTGGATTACATCGTGAAATGCGATGCATGTCGCGACATTGCGAACTTTCTTTGACTTTAATAGTCTGTAAGTTTCGCCTTCCGGGAGAACATCCTTGATCGACACGCGCCAAGAGTCCTTGAACATCACAACTGTCTCATTGAGGATGTCAAATGCAGGGCACGTGCGAGTCCAACGCCCAACAAGTGGATAACCTTTTGCAACAGGTTGGGGAATAATGAGCGTCAACCAGCCAGATTTTTCGGCAGCTGGATCCTGAGGGACCGCAACTTTGAACATGCATATGGTAGGGGCAAGTTTGAATGCTGTCCTTGCGAGGGTAGCTTCTTCACCGCTAGCTAGCGTTATGGAAGTATCGACACCATGCAGTGCAGGTGATGCTCATGCGAAACGATAAAAGAAATCGGCCAAGTGAGGTTCGTGCTGGTAATCGAAGGCGTTCATGACGATAGCTCCCTCCCTATCCCATCTGATGAGACAAGCACGGTTACGAATGACGAGGACGGAGAATAAATGGGTATGATATTGAGCACCGAGCTGAGTGGCAGCATAGCTCGTTATTTGACCGAGTGTACCAAATGCCTTGTCAGTCTGAGAAACAATAGGCTTATCAACTCCAGGATTTTTGCTGAATGCGTCGAGAGCATCATTCCACTTGAATTTGATGTGTACTTCGGCTTTGGTGATACCACAGCTGTCAGATGTTCCATCGGCGTATACGCATACGTCCGGCATGACATTGAACGTAAATGATGTGCAGTTCTTCGTATCTGCATGTTTCGAAGTGTTCACAAATGATAATTGAGGGGCAAATTCTTGCATGCCGTTAATCTGCACTTAAGACTGTCAAAAATCTCAATATTATAATTGCGAGGTGACTCACGAATGGTTGGTAAACGTCCTGCTCTCTTTGAATTGATCGCAAGTTGAACACATCGGATTCTGAGGCCGAAGCGAAGCGCGAAGTGAAGTCCGAGATGTCATTATCTCCAGGGTTCAGTAGGAACTTGTCGATGAAGTCCTTTACCGGCATCGGGCCAATGATATAATCCTGCATCTCCTTTCCCATGGAGTTAAGCGTATCGACTCAACATCGTGAAGGGTAGTAATGTGGAACTTTCCCGTTTGATGGGAGTGTCAGTGATAGCCAGTGACGAGGCAAGCGCAGCAGGCTGTTCTAGTATTGGTGCTGCAGCAGGGCTTATGATCCCTGTAGAGCTATCAGGGTGGACTACAGTAGCAACAGTCCCGTCAGAGCTGCCTATGTCGCGACTAAGGATCATGATATTGAATAATATAAGTATGTATGGTCAAGTGTATGTACTGGTATATGGGTATATGGTAACGGCAAAAAACCGGACCGCTTTCACAAGTGCGTGCCTACAGATATGGTATAGTAACAGGAAAAAGGGTTACAAATACAACAAGACGAGGTTTATATAGAGAACGGAAATGGAACTCAGTCCGGATTTTCCCGCTGGGAGCGTGTATGATGTAGAGTATATGACGTAGAGTGTATGACGTTCATCTAGTAAGGTGCATGGTAAGACGTGACTGTTCTACAAGACAAATTTGATCAAACCGCATATTGACAACAGTTGAAGGGGAAATTGCAATATCAGCTGTGTTCTTTTTGAGGTGGCACTTAGCTACATTGCAAACAGAACCGCGATAAATGCCGTCTAGAACAATACACTGTTGATTCTTTTTGCACGGGGGGGCTGGGCTAAGATCTGTAGCAGGTATATGATAGTGCTGGATTGCAGCACCTGCACCATTCAATGAGCAGAATACCGCAACACAACCCTCGGGGGCTGGTCCGTTAAGGCCGAGGAAGGGGTCAGGACAAGCTGTTGACACGAATCAATTGTGTAGCCTGCCTCGCATGAAAGAGGGCGAGACTTTCAACATCGTGTGATAGGTTGTGAATGTGTAGGAAAATTCCTTGTTCATCAGCCAAGCTAGTGGGGCTAGAATGAAATAAGTGGGAATGCTGTGACGATTTGTTGAAGAACTCACTCTCTTTCGGTTTCTCTCCTCCATCAGTGCCATCCAGCACGTCGTTGATATTGACACTCCAGGGGTCGGGCGCAGCAGCCTGTGAGGGACTGAGGCTAGAAGGGTTGCCTGCCGTGACAATATCCTCAGAGCTGCTGGTCCAGGTGGTCCACGTGGATGATGACTTGTCTATGGTGGAAGCTGACAAGCTGGAATGGATCTTTTCAGGGGGAGGGGTGACGCTTCGAGGTGGTGGGGCCAAGTACAATTTTCTGCGTATCTCGCAGAAAGATAACATCTCAGTTCCTTCGAGCATGATGCCGTTCAACCTCATTCCATACCTGTATACACTTAGAATTAATTCGCACATATATGTACGTGTTGCTTACCTAGTAACAACATCCTTGAGTTGAATCGTGGTGCGCTGCTGCCCATGAATGGCAACAGTGCAAGTCTCAGATGAGAAACTGTACAGTGTGGCTTGGTAGCCCTTGCGGTCACTGCCAATAATGAAAACTTCTTGCCTGATGTCTTTTTTGAAGGAATCTAAGCTGGCATTTTGTAATTTGATCACGAATCCGATGGGCACATTGACCTGTCAGAAATCATAGTTAGACATGCACGAGGCGAATCATTAAAATTACTAACTAGTGAGTGATCAATCTCAGAGAGTAGGGTTAAGTGAGCGTTTATAAAGTCAACCCTTCGAATGACGCCTTTTGTCGTATAATTTGGACCACAGGCGACTCTCACAACATCTCCAGGCCTGACATCATAACCTCTGTCTTGTGTAAACTGCAGAGTTTGGAGGTTGGGGATTCGCTGAGCAGCTACAATGGGAACTGGAATAATCAGTGATCCATCCTGAAACCACAAATAGTTCCCTCCTTTGGAGAGCCAGCGCACGATGCCAGTTTTCCCCATGTGCTCCTCAACAAGCACATTTACAGAGTCACCAATTTGAATGGCATCAATATCAGGGGGGGGGCTTGAAAAATTGCTGAGTTGGCAGCTGTGCTTGCAGGGTGTGACTGAGCGGGCGACGATCTAGGTAGTATTTGGAAACTTCTAACTGTGTGTTGTGTCAGACAGTATTTTTTGAGAATGATGAGACATTAACCTCTTCCTTCGAGGCGTGCTGACAAAGGCGAAATGTATCATCTGCCATCTGAATAATGTGCCCTTCCACGCCCAAGTATGGACCTGCTATCACTTGAACTGTATCGCCAACCCAAAAAACGCGATCTATGTCATCTAATCGGATGTCGACTTCCTTTCGGCGACCACTCAAGGTCAACTCCAAGGTAGCAGAATTAGCAGGATGATCTGTTGAGATGACTTGACTGGTCTCTGAACTGAGGTCTCCTCTGACAATTCTAACCCAATCGCCTGTGCGCAAGAACTGCATAGAGAACATAACCACAGTTTTCTTGAGGAAGGGTTGGCCCCACCCAGATTGTAGGTGGAGCCAAATGTCATCAGCATGAGGACAAATGACAAGTTCTAGGCGATCACGGTGAACAGTCTTGAGTAGGAGGCCCATGTAATATTTCTCTCCCTTGTATGTCCATCCTATGACTTCCTCACCGCAATTAATGTTGGAGACCGCGTCCCCATTCAGAAGGCGAGATCGGTCGAGTAGTGAGCGAGATCCCCGAGGCATGGGATAGGGAAACTCTCATGGGGGAACCAAGACTGCGACCATATCATTCAGTAAGTTCGAATTGAAGACTTGGGCTATGTCGCCCTTGTACTTGTCATGCTTGAATCTCACCCACGCTGGGTTGGGGAGTTTTCTGCAGGACCGCTCGACCACTTGACGTTCCTCATCCGATACAATGACGTATTTTTTTACGGCGAGGTAAAGTGAGAAAGGAAGGGCATCGGTGATGGTCTTAGAACTGTCCGCCACCACAGTAAATCTGACCTGCTAGCCAAGCCGACACTGTGACGCGGAAGTTCTTCTTCTGAAGGTGTTGAGCAATGAAGTCTGTGACATTTCCTGTGATTGATGAGTGATGAATGATAAATTACGTCTTTAGAAAGACTTACGGTGAACATGAACTAGATACATCCTCCCATCTTGCGATAGTGCCGAAGTAATCAAGTCAGATATTGGGGGAAGAGGCCGGTGATCTTGAGATGTGTTACGCTGTGTATCTTCAATTCTATTGGCGAGACCATCGATAACCACAGCGAACCTCGTGGCTGATGAGGATCCTGGCAAGCATGTAACACTCCGCAATTTGGAGTGACTCTCGTCGGCGCTATCCTCCTCTTCCTCCTCATCCTCCTCATCCTCCTCATTATCTTCTCCTGCGTACAAATTGAGATAGGGATTTTTTGACTGCAAATGTTATGTGAATATAGATAAAGATATCATAACATTTCACTTACTTTGGCTGGTCTGCGCGTAGGTCGAACGTGCGCCTGGGACAATCGCCTGTCCGTGACAGAATGATCTTTGGGTGCACAAGAGGCCGGAGATATGGATATGTGCTTCGCCTTTATGGCGCGAAGGTTTTCTAAGGCGACATTGTCGTCACCGTCACTGGAGAATAATGCATCTCGGGCTTCCTTCCATTCGCCTTCAGTATATCGATCTCCCAGGTATGATAGAAAAACTTCCTCCATCTTAGGATATGTCATGTCGGTAGTGAGGAAGTCCTCCATAATTCTCCAGGCATGTTCATCGTTCAGAGGTGCTGTCTGACTCCCTGCGATACGCGTAACAACAATATCGACAACACCTTATCATTACTTACCTTCATCAGTTCTCATGCGCTTCGCGGAAGGCGTGTCATCATCTGATGCAGCGCGTTTGGACATCGCTCTGTACTAGTTCTACCATAATTAATTTAGCAGCATTACACAATGAACTTGACAAATTACACACTGTGTTCAATGAGTATGTGCCTACGAAAAGTCTACACTATGTAACATTGGAAGATTTGCTATTCGTGCCTGTTATGTCGTGTCGAGGTAGTGGTAATGGAAAGAAAACCATCGAGGCGCAAGATCAGTATTTGTAGTGAACGACTAATTGTGGACTAGCTTACGTGTGGACTGTGAATATTATTATTTGCAGAATTGTGGATTTGAAACATGAAACAATGATTGGTGGACCCATGATAGCCCGGTTTTTGTTTCTGACTCTTGGGCCAAGTACTGAGTACTGAGTGGTCCAAGTCCTGCTCGCCCACTAACAAATAACTTACAAAAGCGCATTTGATGCGGAATATAATGAAATAAGTGATAGACTCTAGTACTAGTCCATCGCCCGCTACGTATATACACTATTCACGCTCATTGTAATTATGAGTGGGTGGTCGGAAAAGGAGTCATTCTGGCAAACGCCCACTGTAATATAGAGAATGACTATTGCAATTGAAACCCAGCTATTATGTAAACATACATGTTGTGTCGTTGTGTCGGGCGCATCAGGAATTCTCCGGCGGAGTTTATAATTATGTAGTCGTTCACTATATAATGGCTGCCTTGTCAGCAATTAACACCTTTCCGAACTGTTGAATCTGAATAACCCTACATCTATTGTACTGAATAGCGTACTGTATAGTGTCCTGTATAGTGTATTGTACTGTACATGTATCGAATTCAGTGCATTGTATAAGTGTATAGCGTATTGACTTGATGTCATTATGTCTCAACAATAATCACAAAAACACTTTCGAGGAAGTCAAGTATTGGCGCTTGCCCCGCACATCGCATTACGATGAATGAAAATGGTATTTCGCGCCCAACATGCATAACTTGTCTACTATATTAATACGTTAATACAGCAACTTACATACCGAGAAGAATCACAGCCTGCGACTCGCATGCCATCCATGTTTGATGCAGTCTTTCCTCTGCCTAGTGAGTAACTTATTTTCATTCGAGATAATGATTGCTCCTCCTTCGGTGCTCAATATATTGCTCCACCCAGGTGTGAATATCATTCATTAGTTGGGTCGCGTGGTCGAGCCAAGTTTCGCCAGATATTTCCCAACGACTCGAATGAGATCGATTGTGGTCATTGTAACACACTGCAATTGAGTAAGTCACCACCTTCTGCAGTTTCATGCGAAATATGACATACGACATGGCTAACATATGCAAAGCAGCGCTATTGCGATAGCTAATTGTACGGATTCCGCATACAAAGTTTTTGAGAGCCTTCCCCAGTGGTGGACGTGCTGTTTCAAGATTCTCCTGTTGGCGGCTCCAGATAGAGATGACTGGCTCCGCATTGTTTTGAGATGTTTGCCCCAACAATCATACTGTGGTGAGTCCCGTCCATAAGTCTTATAGTCTGTCAGGCGCCGCTAACTTATGGGTAAAAATATTATCGCACTGTAACAGTCTGCACTCTCACCTTGTTCGGCATGTTTCAAAACTTGCTTGAGGGTTCCTTTCATTTTTATCGAAAACATATATGACGCCTGCGTCGCTGCCACCAACCACCACCACGTCAGTCTTTTTTGCCAAACACTACTTGTTTTGGAAACATTTTGATTGGGTTGGTATTGTAGCTTCGGATGCACACTGCATCGTCCAGTCGATGCAGGCATAAATCCATTCGTCACATTGTCAATGAGGAACAGTGTTTTGAGCATTGTCCACTGAAGCGTGCCCGCTTGGTGAAATGTAAAGGAATGCCATTTTTATCCAATGATATCACTCACATTAGGGGTCCGGCATTATTCATAGCAATTATGACTCGTCTGTGCCCCGAAGCGCATGCCTACAAGCAAGGTATGTTAGACTCATTGTGAGGATCGCAGTTATCGACCTACACCTCTCCGTCATACATCCCGAAGACTAATATATTTCGACTTGCAGTGCGGTTGAAGTTGTATCGTGCGTGGATCGTACTATTTAGCTCAATGCTGAAAACCGGAATCAATGGTCCTTTGAAATCAAATGACCAAACTGCACACGTCTGTCCCGTGTTCCGGGTAGCAATGCGAGTGTCGTCTCCAGCGTGATCATAGGTAATGCACATAATTTCTTTACCTGTGCCGATTCTTCTTGACACTTTGGCGTCAAAGTCCTCTATACCTTCGCCTTGCTGCTGCCAGATTCCGATGAATCCTAGTCCTGTGCCATAGCACAATGTCTCGCGTACCGCCTCTTGGCGGGTGATCCAGCATGCACATGTCACGGGATCGACTGGATTTTGAAGACCCATGTTTTGGCGTGGAGATGGGAGTTGAAGTCGCCGTTTGAGGTCCCAAATTCTCATGCCATCTGAGCCTATTTCCTAGTAGGTCTATGTGTGAAATTGACGCATTTACAAGAACTTACCACCGCTTGCCAACAGACTGCCATTGTTCGAGATAGTCAAACAATTGATGGTGTTCTTGTGCCCAATCAGGCGCCCTTCAAGGCGATATTCCTTGCAAGCTTTAGCAGGCATAAAAAACATTGGTGGTTACGATGTAAGTTGATTTCTATTTTTCGGATGTCTTTAATGGGTGACCGTATACAATAGTCGGACTGTATATCTACAAACACTTGGTGACAACAGGCAACCCATGACAACATCTTCCTGGTAAAATGGAAGGTAGAAATCCTCGAAGCGAAGCGAAACTACATTAACACTACTAATTATAACTTTGTTCTCTAGCGGCGGGCGCTGAGCGCTGATTTCCCGATCAAGGATGCTTCCAAACGGCAGTGATAAGACATTCCGAATGTGTAAGTTTGAACCAGTCCAGCATGCCTCATACCTGTGTACATGTCCCCCCGTTCTATCAGGCGGATGGTCCCCCCGCAGCAACTTCCATTATTGACATATCACACAGAGATACTCTATCCGACAGCATCATTCATCTTAATCTCTCCGCAAGAAGAGATAGGCATTCTCTACCCATACACTTCGCGGACGCACTCGAGCCCCATCGCGAGTCTTCACAACTTCAACCCTACCAGTCCCCGCTGGCCCCCCCTACTCCCAAACTCGTCACCTCTCGCTCCCCTACTCCCAAATTCACCAAGGCGGTCTCTTTTTCAGCAGACCAAATTTCCGGGAATGGCGAGTCGGTAAAGATGTCAATGTACTCCTCTTCCATTTTATCAATGGACTCCAACGACTCCAAAATCCCCAAACCAGACGGCGAAGCAGGGCGCCCGGCTCGTGGGGGATACAACCTGGAAAGGGCACTCAACTGGGATTCTAGTCAATTCAAGTTGTTAAGGGTGAGGTCTATGCTTTCGAACCAATCTCATATTCATACCCACGATAGGACTTTGTCCACCGATCGATCGACAAACATTGCGACACTAGCAAGAGCAAGTCAAGCCAAATGCCTGCAGCACTGAATTCTGTTGAGACAGAGGTATGTCTGTGGGTTCTACAATTGTATTTACTGACCTCTATTCAGGCCGTCGTTCAATTTCCGGAATTGAATGACTATATGGGGCGCTGGCCAGTGGGAGATCTTATACAAATGCAATTGAAAAATCTTTCTGCTAAGGAGCGACAAAGGCACGCGAAGAAGAATAATAGCCACAAGTAGACCGAGCATCACAATTGAGCATCACAATTGAGTGATTCCATGGAACGTGTATCTCAAATAGTTCGATTTAATCAATCGAATGAGTCCGAACTTCTGTTAACAAGGTAGTAACCTCTTTCACACCTATAACCTCCGTGATACCGGACATTGGGTGATCCCTCATTGAGGCGAGTATTTTTTTAAGATAAATTGTTCAAACGCTGAGTGAGACTTGACAAGATGTCCCGTTTAATAGCTTTGTTTTCCCCACATTCCGATGGGGAATTGATCAATGTCGAATCTCACCCGCTCCAGGAATTACGTCCTGTGCACACATATCCACCTGCATCTCAGCCCACTACCTCTGCGATAATCCACACTTACCCGCCCGAGCCTACCCCGACCAATGAGGACTTTAGGATGAGTATGAGAGAGGAGGAGGAAGAGGAGGAAGAGGAGGAAGAGGAGGGTGTCAGGCTTTCGCTACGGATGAGAGAAGAAGAAGAGGAGGAGGAGGAGGAGGAGGAGGAGGATCAGCATGACAACCCTTTGGTGCACTGTAGGATGAGAGAGGAGGACGATCAGCGTGTCAGCCTTTTGGTACCTCAGTTTGTATCTCTGAGCTAACGTTTACTTAGCCCACCAAAGTTGTTCTCAAGGAAATTGATCAGTCATCCAAGCTGCGTGATGATGTACGTGAGCTATGTTATAGCCACCATGAGCTTTTGGTTCGAAAGCGCAACATGCAGGTAAGGCAATATTTCGCAAAATATATTCATGTCTCACTCGCCTCCAGACCAACGCTCATTACCGCGAACTGGAGATGCGATCAATCGCTGACCAGTATCGTGACAAGAACGGACATCTTGAGCTCGAGAAAGTTGAGGCCCTCGCCTCATTGGAACAGCAGCACCGCAGTGAAGTCTCGTTGATCCAGGTAGGAGATCCCTAATTTTACAAGTTGGACTTGTCGTGATTTCTATTGACAGAACCGAATGGCACTTAACATTGAAGAGGTGCAACATGCCGCACGCGCGGAACGAGATCTCTTATTAGATGCCGCACGCGCGGAACGAGATAACTTATTAGCAGAGAAAGATGCTTTACATCAACGCGAGACTCTCTTAGCAAGGCAGAAAACTGATTCAGAATGAAAGGGAATTAGCCCGCCTGACTGCTGGTTATGATTCCAAAATCGCTTCATTAGATGTGCGTCTCGAGAGTGTTAGTATAAAGAACTCTAACAATTTCCGTAGAATCAAATTCGACAGGCAAAAACTATCACGCCTGCGTTGCCTCCTTCATGGCGTCATGTTGTAGGCAAAAAACCAGTTGCTACCTGCACTAACATCATCGGGTTTTCGCCAGTAAGTCAACGTCTGTATTACACCTCTGTATCATCCTACTCATCGTTTTCCAGATTCCTGATGTACTCTCAGAATCCCCTGTTGACGAACCTATCATCACTGATAATAGCAAGGATGGACTTCGCTTAACTTCACTTTTGAATCTTCCTATCGAAGACGCCACGGTCGGAATGCTCGCTGAGGCGCTCGCGAAGGCTCTCCAGTGTCAACAAACATCCCCTAGTAGACCTCGCTCGAGACGTAAAATCCCTGAACCCTCTGGAATATTTTACCGATGATCAGCATCGAGAAAACAAGGTGAGAGACTCGCCGTTTGAAACGGCTTTGCTAATCAAACCTCAGGCGAATGTGCGAGATTTATTTAAGGAGACATTCCATCTCACAAAAGATGATGAGTACATGCTTTACGAGGGAGCAGCGCGCGAAGCCGTATCGCTTTTCGTAGGCGGCATAGGCCCCGGTCCTGACCCGCTTGCGTTGCAGTGGGATATGACGGCCACGCACAAGTCGGATTGGAATCAAAAGGTCATCGATCACCTCTGTTCCCTGTATATGACCATGCAGGAGAGCAACCGCTGGACCGGGCGATCTCAGCAGTCAATCAGACGTGATATCACCCTTAAATTCGATCAATGCCGCAAGTGCTGGAGAAAAGCCCGTCCTCAGGTCGCCAGTGATGGCACTCACGAGACTATGCAACAAGTGGGAGATCGCCTGGTGGATCACACGAACGAGCGGTTACGGATAGCTAGGGTCCTATCTCGTAGAACAACAGTAAGTCGTTTGCATGTGTCCCTTGTAGAATGGACAGATTTTAACTTGTTTTTTTTAGAAATTTGAAACCCGCCGGAAGGTCACGTCAGCCCTGCTCAGTGACCGGAAAGCGAGCCGAAAGGACGATTTACCTGTGTGGGTATATTTGAACTCCATCGTGGAGACTCTGGATAAAGACGGAATGAGCTCTGATGAGAGCGAGACTGAAGACTGCGGACTCCCAGTCTTTCGGCTCAAGACGATGCCGTGGAGAGCTGATTTCAGTCATGAAATGAAAATCATCGACGAACAGCGTTTAGCGGGGGCAGCTGTCTTCACTCCCAGGGGAAGTAAGCCCGCAAAGCGTCTTCACAATGCCAAGCGGGAGTCTGTTTGGCCAGCAGTCGCAGGTTTGCCTAGATTATTCTACAATTTATCGTGGTTGAGCGACCAACGTCCGTCGTTCAAGGTATCTAATGAAAAGTTCCAGAGAATTGAAATTATGGTTTCACGCAGGTGATCCCGGATTGTTTCCTTTTCTTGTACTGCTGTTCGTGATTTGTACCTTGTACCTTGTATCAACCTTGCACCGCACCTGTACCACCTGTAACCTGTACTATGTACTATAAACTATCATGGCTTTGATATAGCGCGCTCCCTCTCTCATTAAAATACATATGTAAGTCATCTAGTCATATGTGGTGCAACCTGCACTAATTTACATCATTATCAGCTTTCTTTTCGGTTTCCATTTGGTATTGACAGTTTCCACCATTACACTTACAAATTCGTCATTCACTACAAATACCGATTCCGGACTTCATGGTTTCTTTCCGCTACTAGCACGACATGTATATGATACAGCAAGCTTGCGCAGTCACTTAAGTTGTCAACATCTCAGTTGGATACCCTCCTGGCATTCCAGCAAGTGAACCTAATGCGCGTTCATGGGAGATTGCAGTACATCAAGGTCTGTCGACGCACCTGGCTTATTTCTTAATCCCAAAGTTTCTGATTTCTCCCTTAGAATTGTTCCGAGGGAAAACAATCTGCAAATCGTACGTGTTATGTTGCATGGATCATCGTCAGTCTTCTAACTAACAAAATCAATCAACATTACTGCGATATTAATTTATTGCCTCACATCTTGTTTGCCGTCGTACTTTTGCGTTTCTCTCCACCTTTGGAGCCATCCGACATAATATTGTCTATCTCTATGCCCTCCAATGCACCCTCCAATGCTGCACTGATACGCTCGCGCAAGAGGTCAGTAGTCGGATGACCCGCCTTACAGTGACGTTCAATACATTTGCTGATGACCTTCTCTAGACTGCGCATAAGTTTGCTTTTCTTCGGAGACACATGTCCCACAGCTTGACGGTCATTGGCAGCATTGGACGTGATTAGCGCCTGAAACACCATGATGTTAGTCCATGAGCTTGTTATCATATCATATAATTATACTAACGTTACTGGCCACTATATCAAGTCTTGTATCGGGAACGGACGTCCCGTCGGGCGAATTGGGTTCGTCGATGACCATGGCGGATCCCATCCACAACTGGGAAGGTTCATGTCAGTGTTCGATGACGAACTCTCATATCTTTCATCTACTTACTGCATCTTCTAGGTGAACCTCGTAATTCTCGATATACATAGCGAGTCTCCTCACTAGAGGTGCTGTGGTTGGTTTTCTTGATGTACTCATGTCTCACGAAGGTCGAATGTAGGGATTGAAGCGTTTGCGATGAGCTGCAGCGGTTTTGCTGCGAGGTGATGCGGACGACATAGTGAGTTATCAGATACACCTTTCGTGTCGCTCTTAAGTCAGGCCCTGGCAGTTGTTACGGTTTCTGGGCTATATCACCCGCATGAGTTTTCAATTGTGCTTCTTCCTACTCGCTTCCGTAAGTAGTCGTACTTTTACAAGGTAACGATCATGATCATGATTTATCATTGTCAGAACCTTCTGGTTATTCCCTCTGCAAGTGATTAAATCTCTGGTATATCCCCTCTTTTTTAAACAAAGTCTTTCTGTTTTATCCCTCGTCATGGATCGATCATTACGTTCGCCCTTTTGGGTCCAAACAATAAACCTCTGCGCTCAGACTTCGAGTCATTTAAAGCAGGGAGCAGGTGTAGATTACCTTCAAACATTTTACGATGGGAAACTCGATAAGTCACATCTCTGGTAGACAATCTGGCATGGTGAGGCTTATCAAATATGTAGGCTTATAGGCTTTCACTGACCCCTGTTTGACAGAACGTTAGCACTAGTCCGCAGGATACTGCGCAATCCTCGAAGCGTAACATTGAGTTTGATGATTCGGCATCCCCTCGAAAGCGACGTCTCCTGGAATCCTATTCCACGGGTGATATCCACCAGGTTATTGCTACACAGCTACAACCCTCAACTATATATCGTTGTCACACCGACTTTACGAACCCCGTAGCCAAGCGTTTGTACAGGGAGGCGGTATGCAAAGACTTGCCGTATATATTGTGCTCTACTGATCTCGATTGCAGTCTGACGTTTCTTGAAGCGCAAAGCGGATACTCAACTCGATCCCTTCTCAATGAAGCGTGTAAAACTTTATGAACCTTGAAACACCACGGCGTTTATTTGGTCCCTGCCTGCGGAAATTCTTGTTCTTATCGTTGCTCTTCTGGGAGCACGGGATATGCGCTGTGTAGCACAAGTTTGTTCTCTATTGAGAGAAATTGCCGGACCGCTCTTCTTCTCCAACCGGAACTTTCCAACTTCCCCAAGGGACCTGTTTCACATCCGTGTAGATTCTCCCAGCTTTGACATTTTGTCTACTTGGGATACAGATGGATGCCTTCCGTCCCCCACGTATGATGTTATGTTGGTTGAATTCTGATTTGCGAGCTTCGCAGCTATCTGCGTTTTTGCACTTCCTCCAATCCGTCCCTCACAAATCGATACAATACATCACACTTTTCTGGAATTTCGACATCCTCGCTTCGCCAATTCTCCCCCCAAATCCTTACATTCCTCGAGAACATCCGTGCCTCTGGCTGCGAAGAACTGACGTGCATGGGGTTTTACCATTTCGTCGGCTCATCGGGTGTCACCAGACTCACCCGAATGCACGGGCACATGGGTGTGAATCACCTCAAAGCATTTGAGGCATCCTCGGGGGTGTTATTTTCCCCAGAGTTCTTTCCTTTCACGATCCAGACTATCTGTTCTTCCAATTTGGAGAAGCTTCGACTTAGCTACATCAAACTCAGCTCTGCACACTGGGAGAAACTCATGCGGTACTTGACCATCTTAGCGCTCGTCGAACTCCGAGTTGACGCTGATTGCGCACCGTCTACTCTTATTCGTTTTCTGGCCCGCCACCCTGCTATCCATACACTCTGTATCGTTCCGCGACCTTGTGGTACCTGGAGGACCAATCGAATCACAGCTCGTTTGACGCTCCCTATATCTAAGCTAGATGGACCTTTGTCCCATGTCCTTCCAGTCCTTCGGAGTCTCCGTACACTGCCCACCCTCACTTGCCTTGCACTTTCATTGCAAGCTCATGACGCATCACCTGACTATCTTAGCTCAGTTTTACAATGTGTCGACCGTTGTGACAGTGTCGAATATCTCTTCATTTCTCTACCTTCACAGATTCACTCCCGTTCGGCAATGATTTGGCCGGGCACCCAATCAGCAGTGCGCGTCAAACACTTGGCGTTCGACTCTTCAGACATTGTAAGGACATCCCTTCCTTTTGCAGAAGATACACTGGTATGTGTTTGTTTGAGCACTGTTTCAATACTCATCGTGGCCATAGGCATTGTCAGCGCAGTGGATTCAAGCCTTCCCTGAAGTCAAACGTGTTAGTATGCGAGGTTACTCCGCCCTCGCTGCTGGAGATCTTGTTGATATTGTGCGCAAAGTTGTTGCTGCTGATGTCGAACTATCTGTGACATTGCATAATTGAGTGGGCGCTGAGTGAAGTGGGCGCTGGGTGTTAAGTTTTGCACTGTACGTTATATGTCGAAAATTTCTCTCATACAGCTTCACGAGTCTACTTTCCTTTTTTACCATTTAACTTTGCGAAATCACTATCGCAACTGGCTCGATTCAGTTTGCAGTTTGCACTCGCATGATCAGCAGTGTTGCACTGTGCCTGCTGAGCCTGAATTTTTGGCGGAGTTTGATAATGGTAGTCATTCACTACATATGCGTTCCTTCCACCTAATTTGGCTCCCTTTAGCTCTCTTCTTGACTACTCGTTACAATTCGCTACAGTTACAGTCAAGTTACAGTTGTATCTTTTTTCATTAGAACATAGTAGAAGGTAGTTCATATATAGATTTACAAAGACTCGATCAATGACAAATGACATAGTTGGCACGGGGAAAAACTCCGAGAAAACCCGAGCTGGGGATGCTGAGGCCAAGGCTTCGTCGTCCGCTTTAATCGAATAGTCGTAAGCATTAATATTATAATTTATACCTGTTCAGCAACGCCCCGAACTCAACTGTGTTCTAGTTGCCTCATGTTATCCACCGCTCAGAGATGAGCGCTGCACAAGCGGGCGCTGAGCGTCATTATCAGAAGTCTCCAAGGCGATTGAACATTGTACTTTGGCAAGTACACCCTGTGCCTTCTGAGTCTAAGATTCTCACTCCTTTTTTCCAGTACATAACCCTTCGTCAACACACCATCTATCTTATCAAGAGGTAAGATCAGCAATGGCTTCAAAATCATCATCTAATGTTCATTTAGATGCCTAGCCGAACTTTCCTTTGCAAATGCGCACAATGCTGCGATGTCGGAGTGGATGGTGTGCCCAGAAATGTCGGTGGCAGAGACTTGCCCATCACCATAAAGCAAGTACATCTAGCGCACGCGGCTAACATGGCGACCTCGTCTGAACGTACAAGCTCCATACTTCATCTCGCCCGGCAAACTCTTCATCCCAGCCTAGATCGCGAAACACCGTCTCCTCAATATTTACAAGGCGAGCACCCAACACATCAGTCCGAGATGTCGACACCGGTGGACGATCTCGCCGCCGAACTATTTGCTATGACCTTAACCGATAATGAAGCCAATTCAGATGGTCACCACAAATTGTGGGTTTCGCGTTCGGAAGTCCAACGAGGCAAGGCAAATGCCCACCTGGATGCTGAACTCACTGGCAACGACACGTGAGTCCGATACATATATCACACGTCACGTGTACTTACTTCATTTCAAAGACATATCACCCGCGTCCTGCAGGCTGCTGAGATGCAGCGCTGGTCCAGAGCTGAAGTGGCTTTGGACGTAATGGAGTCACGAATGGAAAGGATTCGCACCCGGCTTTCCCTTTCAACATCTTGTGATGTATTGCGCTCCATCCGTGATGAGCTGTCTGCGATGATCCGGGCCCTTGCGAAAGTGAAAAACAAGGTCTCCTCCACCATCTCTCGCAGGACTCAGCTAGAGACGTCTTGTGATGAAATGCAAAAAATTCTTCTCAGCAAGGAAGATGGGCTTCCCGTGTCGTCTAAGTCAGTCGAATTTGATTCCTGTGAGTTTTGTTTATTCCCGCATTCTGCTTGTCCCGCTAACATCAGACGCAGCACATCATTACAATCCGCCCATTGATTACTGCGACGAGATCGCCCAGGTATCCCTTTTCCTAGGAGCTGTGTCTGTCGTCATTTTCGGCATTGGTCGCAGACACGGGGAGTTTCTGATGGGCGTTCTTTCGCTCATCTTGAGCCTTGCCATGGATAGCCCAGACCCTCATTCAAAGTCTCGTGGTCAAAACATACATTCTCAAATCCCCCGAACGATGGAGGCTGCCCTTTCACACTTCAAGCTTGACGGCCAGACCACCACCTACGCGGTCTGTCCTTTGTGCAATTGCACGTTCAAACCGAGGGCCAATGTTGACTCAAGTAGTGCGCGCTATCCCCTCAATTGTTCTAACAGACCGAAGCCAGAGGATGCACCTTGTGGCGAATCGTTACTGCAGCGCTCCTCTAGTGGGCAACTGCAACCAATAAAATCATTTGTTTATCATCACTTCCATGACTACCTCGCTGGACTGCTGTCTCGTCCCGACCTGGAAGCTACAATGGACACACCATGTGATAATTTGCTAGCTTCACTTGGGAGCGTGCCGCCGCATATCATCAAAGATGTCTGGGACGCCGACTTTTTTCGCAATTTCAAGGGTCCGACGCAATCATTATTTATCGATAGAGGCATTGAAGGTCGATTCGCTTTCACGCTCAACGTTGATTTCTTCAACATCGAAGGCAATCTCCAGCGGAGCGCATCGACTTCCACAGGAATAATCTCTTGCGCGTGCTTGAACCTCCCCCTCGATATCCGGTATAAGCCAGAAAACATGTACTTGGCCGGAATTATTCCAGGACCTTCGGAACCCTCAGGAGATCAGTTGAACCACTTCCTTGATCCCGTTGTTGACGACTTCGTAGAAAGTTGGGAATGTGGGATACGTTTCTCCCGCACAGCTCTACAGGCGCATGGTCGGGTCACGTGCAGCATCATAGCATGTCTAGTGTGCGACCTTCCAGCAGTGAGAAAGGCTGCTCAGCTAGCTGGTCCAACAAGCCACTTTTATTGCACTGCGTGTCATTGCTTTCACAGATCGACTTGTGGTAGAACAGATGTTCATTCTACAGATTGGGTTCTTTGGGACAAGAACGAAATGCGTCGCCTTGCTGAGCTGTGGAAGAATGCTAGCACTTCTGCTGAGCGCAACAAGTTATTTTCATTACACGGGGTGCGATGGTCAACGCTTTGGAGACTCTCTTATTGGGATCCCTCTCATCAAGTCGTTGTTGACACTATGCATTGTCTACTCGAGGGTCTCGCGCACGATCATTTCCGGGAATTTTTGGGTCTTACAGCTGATTCAGCGCAGCGAAAGACTGATTCTCTGCCTGCTTTCCATCATCCTTTTCCCGACGTCGATCTCCACAAGCCTGAAGATTTCTGTGAGAAAGATGTCAAGAATATCAAGTACATTCGCGGCCTCCTTACCGCAGCGATTCCTGACCTCGAGGGCAATGACACTGAACTCATCGAGTCCCACATGACTGAGTTGGAGAAGAAGCTTTCTTTGAAGAAGGTCGCATACCTTCAGTTCGTGGCAGCAGAACTGGGCATTGGGCCAGACGTTGCACACCCTGGAAAGAAGGTTTACAAGGTTCACTGGGTAAGGTCACTTATTACTTGGGTGTGTCGTTTTTCTAGTCTTCGTGCACACCTTCTCAAACTGCCGCTTCACTTGCCTTTATAGCGTCGAACAAAGCCTTTTACTATTGAATTGCCGAGATTGCGCATCAGTACCCCTGAAGTCATGCAACGCATCGTCGATGTTATTCGAACGACAGATACGCCATCTTCATTACGATCAGTCCCATACAACTTCGGAGAAGCCAGAGCTGGATCCCTGAAAGCAGACGAATGGCGCACGTTGACGACTGTGTACTTACCCATAGCGCTGGTCAGTTTATGGGTGAAGGATCTCAACATCGAACCTCAGAAGTTTCAGCCAATCGTCGTGCCATCCTCGATCACACCATGTCCCTGGTCTCTGCAGTTCATATTGCATGTCTGCGATTTATGACAGCCGCTCGAGCACAAGCGTATCACGGATACATTGTGGCATGGATACGAGACTTACAGGTTTTACATCCCCATGCACCCCATCGTACTAATGGTCACATGGCATTGCACGTCTGGGACTATCTGCAGCTCTTCGGTCCTGTTCGGTCATGGTGGTGCTTCCCATATGAGCGCCTCATCGGACAGCTGCAGCGTTTGCCAATTAACCACATTTTTGGTGACAGTTTCACCTTTTTTTCGTACGAACCTTCTAACGCTAGTTCTGATAAAGGTCAGCAAGAATCAACGCTCCTTTCCTCACACATCAAGGCTGCGAAGTTGAAGCACTGGCTGAACCGGCCTTCCTGCCCTCCGGTATTCAGAGATGTAAAATCTTTATTTGACAGATTTGTTTCTCCCACAGTCGACGCCATAATTGAAGATTCCCTAGTACCTACTACACCAAATGAAGATATTCCGGCAGACCTCCGATCTCTCATTAAGGTCAAGCGAGCCGTCCTGCATGCCCGCGTAACTTACAAGGGATCAATCTACACTCGTGAATCCACTCATGTGGGAAACAGCCTGGTTCTCTACTATCCTGACGGCGTTATGCACACGCAAATACCAGGAACCATTAGATACATTTTCAGGACCAAGGATGGATTGGGCTTTGCTGTGCAGCAACCACCTCCCGCTGCACTCTTACCCAGACCCTTTTCGCCATTATCCTTACTTCCCGGCTCAATTACATTCGTCATCGCTCGCTGATCACCTTGAGGTCGTCAGGCCTGAGTGGGTAGTGTCGCACTTCGCACGGTGGAACTTTTCTCCACAACACATCGTTGCCGTGTCTCTGTGTCCTGTGCGTGTCCCTTTCTCTCTGACACGTTTCAACGGTCTCACAAATTAATAGGATTGAGTTCTTGGCAGAACACGAAAAGAAGTCAATGTGCTCTAATAAATAGTCTTCCGCGGTGCAGATTTTGTGTATGGAAGTATCGTGAAGCCTGACAACAATGCGAGCTGATGTTCTGTATAGATATGCAGTTTCTTTATGTTTCTGATCGCGTTAAGTCTCGCAGAGATTTGTAGCACGTAGTAAGCAAGTCATTGTACCTTGCGCATAGCCCAACAATGGGAGGACTTTACTTTTGGGTTTGCAAAATGAAACCAGACATGCCTATCCTTGGCTGTAAGTGTTATTCGACATCTGCTGCTCTTGAGGAGCCGAAGACAAATCCTGAAGAACCCAAGGGCCAGCAACTGGACAAGACGACACTAGAGCCACCCGCACCGTCAGCTGCTGAGGAGCAGAGTGGCAGCACCCCTCCAGAAGGACCCAAAGAGTCAAAGAAGGAGGTGAAGAAGCAGGATTCGATACCAAAGGAGGACAAATCGAAAGCGCCTCCTCCTGCGCCAAAGGTCCCTGGTAATCGGGGCGAGACAAGAGTAAGCAGCATTTTATTCCTGCTTTGTCAATGTTGACGTGCTTCGGCCCTTAGGTTAAGATGAACCGTATGCGCCTGCGCATTGCGGAGCGTTTGAAGGAATCACAAAATGTATTCAATGGCTATGGCGTATACTGGCGATGTCTGGTGGGTGCTTGTCCTAAATATTCTCTAAACCCAACAGGCGCTTGATCTCATTCAACTCCTCCCATAGCCGAATCACCGCCTCACGCCTATCCTCCACCATCAATGCAAGCAGGCATTTGTCGCGGCGCGACATCTGGATGGGCGGGTGAGCGGGGCGAGGCGCCTCTGGATGAGCATACGCGAATTCCGTCCTGTCTTGTGCGATCTCCTGTGCGTAGTCCCATAACATCTAGATATATCAGAATTTGCTAACGGAGATGACCAACAGTTGGACTTACCATCGCGGATCGTGTAACGGCAAAGGTCTCGGCACGCCCTTCCTCTACCCCAGCCTGCTCCTCTGCCCCAGCCTGCTCCTCCATCTCCCCAACCTCCCCATCTAAAGACTGATGTATCGTTAGCTAACTCACCCCACTTACACTGCCGTAGAACGTACATTATCATCTTGATTAATGTCAACTTCCTGCAGAAACGCGTCAGAACTTTAAATGCAACGATCAGCTACAACTCACATGTTCGTGCACATCAGCCATGATTGTCGTGGTAAGACGAAAGTGTGGTAAGATGAGTGTTTGCTTATGATAACTAAATCTCTGAAGTCAGCAAGATGATGCGTTGCGCTTTCAATGAATGAATACCTGCAGTCACTTCGTGACGCAGTGTCACACTCACACTCACATATCGACGCTGATCTATTCTACATACATAAGTGTAGACTACTTTTTGGCGCGGTGAATGCTCAGCGCTCAGTGAGCGCCCAATGAATGTGCAGTGATCGCCCAATGAATGCCCATTAAATTTCACAATTAAATTAACTTTGCATTTTCCCGGCGCATTTCAACGTTGGGCAAATTTTAACTTTCCTGGGGTGGCAAAGCGCCAGCTATTATGTAATATTTTTTGGAACATTTTGCTGCGCATCAAAATTTTGGATTTATCTGTGGGTAAATGTAAATAAACAAGTTAATATTTCGACCAATATCTTTCGAAAAGGAAAAAATTCGAATTTTTCAAACACTTAAATTGGTGTCGAAATGGGTTATTATGCATCGGCATTTTCCCCTCAGTCGCAATTTGCCCTTGTTCCAGTAGTGAAATTCAAAGTGTAAATGGCTAATTAATCATTCTCATTTCGATTAAAATATTGCCCAAGGCGAAATCCCCAAACCGCCGGTGTGTGATGGGCCTCACATCTAAGAATTTCTCTTCTTCCTAACAACCTCTTGGTAACATCAAACCCTCATCTGAACTTCCAGCAACTGACGATCAGCTCCAAGTCTAGGACGCAAAGTGCTCTTGGCTGAGTTGGGGATCTCAAAAACTACTACTATCAACGGTAGGCCTGCAGCATACGAGGAGATCTTACCGCCACTCCTTCAGACGCATTTAAATAGTCCATCCCCAGCAAGCTGGTTACTTGCCAATCTCGCTTGCAAAAATATAGGTCATGGCATCTACATCGACGCGGCCTCCAGCTTTGGCGACCAATATGAGTTTGACACCGCTAATGACATTGAAGGGTCATGAACAGGGTGTTTCATCCATGTCCTACTTCCCAGATGGCAAGCAGATCATCAGCGGATCTCGGGACAAGACCGCTCGAAGATGGGATTTACAGGAGGGTAAAGAGATTACAAAGGCGCGGAATGTTTGTGAAGAGGGCGTGTATGCGGTGACGGTATCAAGGGATGGTCGATATGTTACTACTGGTGGTGGGGAGATTGACACTGGGGAGCTTAAAGCCTGTGAAGTTGAGACGGGGATCGTGAAAAAATTTCGAGGCCACTCACAGAGGGTTGCCTGTATTGATATCTCCGCAGATAGCACGCTGCTGGCGAGCGGATCATGGGATACTACAGCGCGAATATGGAGCTTGGACACCGGTAAACTCGTCGCTGGTCCATTCGCGATCGTTGATTGGCCGGGCGCAGTTCTATTTTCACCAGACTCGCAGAAGCTCGCAGTGAAGTCAGAGGTGGGGACCTGCCTTGAGGTCTGGGATATTCACACAGAGACTTTGGACATCAGAGCAGGTCAATCTGGCGGCAATTCGAACATGACATTTGCGCCAGTGTTTTGGACCAACAAAAATAAAACCATCATAGCAGCATGCAACTTCACGGATAATGACGAAGCTATAACGATCAACGAGTTCGACGCGTTGACGCTGGAGATTGTCGGAGTTCCCTTCGAAGGCCATACCAAATGTGTCACCGATCTAGCACTTTCATTTGGCGGTGCTCTCCTCGCCAGCGCTTCCCAGGATCATAGCATCAAACTGTGGGCCTTCGAGTCTCGCCAGCTCCTCGCCTCTTTTCACGTTCAGAATGTCGAGTTTCTCATGCCCTCACCTGACTCACGCCACCTGGTTTACACGACCGCTGGTCGCGATATCTATATATGCAACACTCCACCCGCTGTGCTTACTGCGCTGAAAGCACAGTCTACCCTTCAAAAAGTGTGTCTTTGTGCAAGTCTATCTTCTGTACACTGACCTTCTCTTGAAGTCCAATAAAACGCTCGAACGTTTACTTCAGGTATATATCACGTACATTTTGAATGATCTATTAATTCTTATGAATCGTTGCAGTCCGATGCAACCCGTCGCGCTGCTGCAGTGCGTCGTAATCCAGGGACATTGCCTGCCATATCCTTTACCCCCAGGCAGCAAAGACCTCTACCTACTACAGACCAGCAGCATCCAATTTACCTTCGCCTTCGCAAACTCTTTCACCTCTCTTCTCGCACGAATGCAGTTACCCCTGTTCGGAACAATCAACCTCGTGGTCCCCTAGATGTAGGTCGTTTATGTCAGTTCTTTCACAGCTGACTCGACAGTGGTACCGCAGTTCCCTGCTACGTTACCTCTACCATCCAACCCATCTCTCTCTCGGCAGGTCGCAACTCAGTTTGATGACGTTAGTCTTCAATTTTAGTCAACTCGCAATGTATGACTGACTCGGTGTATTTCCAGTTCGAAATAAGTTCTCCGCCTTACTCCTCGAACGGAGTCACACAATTTCTACGGCAGCACCTTCCTTTCCTCGTACCCAGACATGGCCATGGGCCACCGGTCGTTGAAGTTTCAGCCGGGCGGAAAGTCACTGTAACATATATCTTCTCATATCTCCTTCCCTTTTTGCTCATTAGTGCCCTACAGCGTCTTGCTGCTGCCAAATTTCCCGAATACAGGAAAGTCGATGATACACGACATCCTTCTAGCCAGCAGCCTGGTGTGCCACAGGACGTTGAATCGGCTGACATTGATTCACTCCCAGACGTGCATTGGTTGAAGGCGTTCCTTTGTTATTATTCATGCTTGTCTCATGGAAGACTGAGGATGCCACCACGATGGCGCTTGGAGCGTGTTGACATACCCCGCCAGGATGGCGCGACGAGTGGCAGCCGTGGTGGTGGTTAGCTTAATGTGCACCCATCTGATGTTTTCAATCTTCTATTCCGGTACGGCCACTGTCGATCACTTTTGTCCCCGATCACACACGAACTGGCCCCACGCCCTCTCCAATACTTGTGATAGTCCATGAACTCCGACACATTCAATACAGGTGCCAACTGGTATTTAGTATGTAACGCGCCAAGGTGTTTTATGGTATCTTCTTTAACAGACCTGAGGTATACAGTACATCACACGTACTTTGGTGGTTTGAATAGTATCAAAATCAGGAGAGTGCAAAATTGAAATTTGCTCGCCTCGCGATGGAAGTTGAGTTGTTTGTAATTGTGTGGTAAAAGCTTCTAGATCAAACAAAGTCAAACAAGTCCTTGTTCCAACTTGAAGGCAGCAAGTCCTGGCCTTCAAGTTACCCTGACTTGCAAGGTTTCGCAATGCCCGGAGAACCATCGCGGTCGACTCTTATAGATGTGTAGGTTTCTGTCCTCTGATTCACTATGCCACTTCTTTTTCTCTGACTATTGTTCTATGCAGAACGAACCAGCAACTACATTCCTTCCTCTCTGGCAGACTCGAGGGCTCATCCCCGGATCAACTATGCGACATCATATCTGCGCGTTCCTCGCAACTTCGAAATGTTGCCAATCCGTATGGAAAGCCCACACTGACGTCACGAAAAGCAGTCGAGGCCGGCTCAGTCACGCTCGCGGATGGTGTTTTGCTGCAAGTCGATGAAATCGAGAGGGAGTTCACGCTTGCAATTAGTGATCGGTTCGGGATTGATGAAATTCAGTCGTTTGTTCTCCTTCGGTCGTTCCTATACAATGAAGGTCTCTCAAGCAATGGAGGCTCAACCGATAAAGGCGTTGTGGACGAGCTCATCGTAGCAATCACGCCATTCTACTACTCCGAACGCCTCTTCGTATTTCGCGTCCTCATTCCACTGTTTCGTGCCCACGAGAACACTGGCGACTCAATACATGCTGTTGCCACGAAGTGTCTTCCCAAAATCATCCAAGACGGTCATCAATTCACACTTGACCTCATAACAGAATACCTTCACAAAACGGAAATGGATATCCCGGATGTTCTGCATGCCGACGCGCGCATTGCCTCTCGTTGGGCTAAACAGAACATGAAGGAGCAACTCGTGATGCTAGAGGTCCTCTTTTGGACGGTCTGGGGGTATGTTCCTTGCGACGGACCTTTGGTTGTTCGAATATTTGAAGCTGCTTACAACACGAACCTTGGATCCTCGCAGAAAAACTCGACGCTCTTGCTAGATGATGAAGGCAATCGGCTGCAGCACGACTGTGCAGCGTTATGGATACTCGTCACTGTAGAGGTGCTCGAGCTGGAGAGAGTGGCGGAGGATGGAGGAATAGAGATATCGGCAACTCCTTCCGACAAAACGTTCTATCCCTCTTCACCAGAGTCGCTCAGACGGATCCATGAGATCGTGACATCCAACTTGTCTAGCCAGCACGCGTGCACACACCTAGCATGGGCCTTCGTTCTGTCGCGGTTGACTTCAAAAGCTGGTCAATTGAAAGAAATTCCAGAACCGTATCGCAGGTTTTTGGGCTCCCTGCATCCACATCACAATCGCTCTAAGGAAAGGGAGCCGTCGCATGTACTCATGGCACGGGCGGCTTTTAGTCCAGAAGCAGGCCTTTTCAAGCTCTTGTTGACTCTCCTCACAACCTCCCCGTTATTTGTTACCTCTGTTGCTTGGAAGACAGGGTCGACTGTAACAGACCCAAATGCTATTGCTTTCCGCTCTGTGCTCAAAGGTGACAACATTCTTCTGCGTGAAACGGTACACTGAGGATCATTCTTCCTCAGGCTTTGTCATTGCAATGGTTGAACTGGTCCCTGTTGAACTCATCCCCGACTTCGACTCTTTGGTTGAAGTATGGATTGCGCTGTTTGGACGCAGCGAGCCTCAATCTATAGCAGGGATATGTCGACAATTCTGGCAATCGGATTGGCGACAGGGTCTTGCACGTCGCGCCATATTTGATGTTGCACGAACACGCTTCCCAATTCACTTCCGGCCGCTTGTCCGCCTTCTCCGAGCAATGACTGCATCTGGATTTATTGATACTGATCCACTATCCACTGCGGCATCGTCCAGCCAACCTCCTGCTGACGAAAGTGACGATGGTGATCGTGAGATTTGTAGTCGGCATGTATTTTACTACATGGATAAGTTGCCTACTTTCTCGCTGGTCATCCCCCTGGCATCTTGCACCGGCCCTAATGCTGTCTATGAAAAAGCACAAGCTGCTGGTCCATCCCTTGCATACACAAACCTACGCGCTATTCGCCTTCCTGGGGGCTCGGTAATGCCTGCGCGCTCGAAGGGTCGGCTGTTGAGTGGGGATGGTGGGGATCATATTGCAGTGTGTTGGCAACATGAGCACAGCGGATGGAAGGTGGTTTTGGACGTGCTCACTGAGTACGTGACTCGGCGGAGGATGTATACGGGCACTGTGGACCTATACCAGGACGTTGCGTTCGGCCGTACAGGCCCTGGATCTATTCCTTTGACGCTAAGGCTTGAAGACGTCGGGATGGAGATTGATGAGGGGGGCGATGAAGCACTTGCGACCGATGCTCTTGACCTCATTCGCAGCGTCATCCAAGACAACGAGGCGCTGGCGGAAGAGCTATTGGAGTCTCTCGAGAGCGGTGGTGACCCTAACAACTCTTCGGACAATCAGCCGCCTGATCTCGTCCATCTCACGACGATGATCCTGGAGGAAGCACTCAGTCGTTCACAAGCTCGAAGTTTTTCGCGAACTCAGTTGATCACATCTGCAATGAGTGTTCTATCAGCACTGTTGTCCTTGCCAAAATACTCTCTGCGCGTATGGCTCTATATACGTTCAACGAGCGTGCTGTTTGGCCCTAGTCGTACGTCAGGTTTCGCGGCAATTGCTCTTGCAGCAGAGCGGATCTCTGGTCACTATACAATGACTCTCGCATTGCTCAATCTCGTCCAACAACTCCTCCACGAAGCGTTTGCGTCCGTACTCACAATTCCATCCGACAATCAACGCCTTAAGCAGGTGAAAGAGGAAGTTCTCCTCCGAGCAGCCGCATTCGTCCATGGGGAGATATGGGTAGAGCACCTGAGTTGGAAGTATGCCCAGCTCGGCGACAGGTTTGAGATTGGACGACGAGTATCTTCGTTTTATGGCTATGTTCTCAAACAATCTCCTCCTGCTTTGGGCGATCGTCCCTTCCCTGCCCTGAGCCAAGCTGTCGCTGACGCTCTCCTGCATAAGGCCACGACGTCAACTATCAACCCACTTGTATCATCGATAGCAGTTGCCCCCCATATCCTCGGCACCCTCTACGCTTCGCGACGCTATGGCGATGCCAGACGTCTGATCTACCTCCTGGAGTCACACCTCAGTCTCACTAGGCTAATCCTCAGCTATAAGCAGTCCATTCCCAATTCCTCAAAACCGTGTCTTCTCGAGCAAGCTCTGTGCGCGCGAGTAGCGGGAGGCGCCGGGTTCACGGATTCTACGAGATCCAGAATAGACCCCGTCGACGTCCTGGCGAATTATGTCAAAGGGCGGGATATTGGGACGGCTGTTCCTCTGGAGTCGATAAGAGTTCTCTATGCTCTCTGTGCATCCTTGTCTGTGACTCAGCCCTCGCCTGCGACAATCATCGGTCATCTATCGAATCCAGAGGCCACTGTCGCATCATTCGTGCGAATTGTACAGCACCCGTACGAAGATCTCGCCCTGCGCAACGCCGTTTGGAACTTCATAGCCCTTGCCGTTGATAAGGAACCGGCATTAGCCAACCTCTTTGTTACAGGACAATTCCGGGTTCCGAACAACAAAAACAGGAACAAGGAGAACGCTAAATCACAAGGAGATGATGATTCGAAGAAGCACATGAGCGCGCTCGAAGTTGCCAACGAAACCCTTACTCGCTGGAAAGACTTATGGGAAGCCAATCCTCAACTCTTAGCATCAGTGTTTCGCTTCATTGATGTCGTATGGCAACACGGGCTTGAACACAAAAATCTCATTGATGCTACTCGTGGTAATGACGAGTTTTGGACCAACGTAGTTGCTGTTGTTAAAGAGGAGCTCGGTCCCGACCCTGACTACGAAACAGAGACATTCATCATATTGGACGACGAGCGTCGATCAAGCCTCCATGAAGCAGTATCTATTCAATCGTATCGCAACATGGTGAAGTCATATGCCGTGCGTGTCATTGGACAGGACATTTTCCTTCAGCCGCAGCCTGGACCCTGTGAGCCCGCGAAGAAGCCCTTGAGTTACAGCAAGCTAGCTCCGTCATTCAAGTCCGAAGATCAACTCAACGAATTGATACTGGAGGCAGAGAGCACTTCATATGACCCCAGTCTTTCTGACAAACTCGCCGCACAGCTTCAGCAGGACTTCCCGAGCCTCTCCCTTACTCACCTACAATCGCAGGATCTCAGTGACGAGCGGCAGTTTGGCGATGACTTTACGTTCTCCATAGCACTTCTGCGCAGTCGTCTGCAACAGTGTGCGTCGGGTGATGATAGGGCAAATGCAGTGGAGGAAGTGGAAAGGAGAATCGCGTCTTTGAATCTCAATCTCTCACTCACCTATGCTCAGACAGCTTTGACGGAGTCGTGGCAGTTCCTTTTGCGCCAAGTATTGCCATTTGTGCGGCCAGTGCCAGAGATCCGGTCGAACCTCATATTGCTCTCCGCCACGATATCCAGAGACCTGGCTTTGGAGAAAAGGTCGGGAGATATGATGGCGAAACTCCATGGCACGCGACTCAACTTGTTGTTATCAATCCTTGAAGTGGTCTGGTTCTCCGATTCGGATACCGACAAGCACATCACGTCCTTCATGAACCTCGTGGATAACATGCACAAAGTCTTGTTAAATGAGGCGCAACCTCCCTCTCAGTCATTCCTGGGGCGTATGTCCGTGCCCTTCCATCAAATCCTGCTCCAGGTCATCTACTTCTGTGTTCGCCAGTGCCGGAATCTTGCCAGGCGACCCAAAGTCCTCACCGCTAGCAGGCGCCTTGCCATTTCTGGTTTGGTGGACTCAACGCTTCCATTGGTAATTGACGCTCTCCGCCTTACCTTCGACTCAGCCCGCACACGGCTTGATCTCGATCTCGATCGGGATATGGAGCTACTGGTTGCAGTCTTTGAGCAATGCACGCGTCCTGATATCAACGTCTCATCTTTAACATGGCTGACTCGATGCCAAGAGACAGATGTCATCAAATCCAGCTTGGAATTGCTCACTCGGACAGACGTGATCGGCCTCACAGATCTGCCCCTGCTTCGCACACGCAGGCAACCTTTGTACGCGCCCCACATCCTCCTATTCCACATGGCTGTAGTAAGCATACCATCCGGTGCTGAAAGATTTGCCAGTGAAGGCATTATTTCGGCATATAGTAACAACGGAATTAGCCTTGCGGCAAGCTCAGGGCAGATCGATGTTGTGTTGCCTGAGCTTCCTGGAGAGAGGAGCCCAGCACACAAGACATATTGCTCGATGATGGCCATAGTTTCTGCCGTCGTCTCTGCTCTCAGGCGGCAACACCACTTCTTCGACGCAGAGGCTTGCGGATTCGTACAGCTGTATGGCAAGCAGATTATCCGGGCGCTGAGCTGGAGTGTCGGTGATCCGATTACGCTGCCATTATTGGAGGAGATGGAACAAGTGGTTGGCCTCTTTTACGCGCTTGCAGAGAGTGCTCCTCCTACTGCCTCCCCAAACCCAGCAGTCGTGAAGGTCCTGCGTGTGTTCACAACCCACGCGCTCATGCTCCTTCAGCAACTCAACTACGCGTTGACGCACCCTAATCACATCGCTAGTCTCTTGGAACCGGTGACTGCGGAAGAGCGTGCATTGCTGGAGAAGGAGCCTACCGCCGCATCCTCCCTGGTAGACATGGCCGACCTGCAGAAACATCCGTTGACCGCGCGTCTTGTTCATCGGTTATTTAGGCTGTCAAGCTCCGTGGTGTCTACGCTGGTCAGCATCAGCCGAGCGTATGATGTTCTTCTTGGTGAACAAGAAGAGTGGCCCGTTCAAGAAGCAGTGGTCGTTCCTGTACGTAGCTTCGCATTCTGAAGTAGAACCTTTGTTTACCGTTTTCCTGCAGCATTCCAAGGTGGTACCGGGGGAACCAGCGTCTTTGGGGACCTTGCTTGAACTCGCAAACTGTACTCTTGATGTCCTACGACACCTCGTCGATCGCCCAGCGGGTCAGGCCATCGCCCCCCCTGCGTCCCTCAAAGAAACGCCGCTTGATGTGCAGGAAGGCATGCTTACAGCCCGAAAGACATTGGAGGCATTACTCGTGTATGCGGCAACGCAGCTTGCAATGTGGCTCTCAAAGCCAGAATTTGACGCTGCTGAAATGGACTCGGAAGATCACGTTCCACAGACCATTGATATGCGAGAAAGCTCAAAAAGACCATCTAGGGCACTCACAGACCGAATTAGAAGGGGGATGCCGGGAGAGATGGCGACGGATCTGGAAAAGTTGCTGAAGCAAGCGAAGCCTATTCTTCAAAAGAGTGTCGATGACAAACGAAATGTCAAGGGGGATCTCACACAGGTGCTGCTTAGGTTTATGAGTGAGTGGGTAATGACCACGTCGTCATAGATGGGTTAGGTACTATGTAGATGTATCAAAAGTAACATTATATGTTCCACGTTGTCAATTTGTCCTGGAAATGAATAAGTCAATCACCGCGTTAAAACATCTATGCCAGTCTCGGTGATGAGAATCATATGCTCTGCTTGAGCGCTTCGTGCACAATTCTGCTCAAGTTGACCGTTAAGAAAATATTCAGGCTTATAGCAGACCAGCCATACCTCCGTCGATGCAGTCCAGCCATCTGGGAAAATCCAGACGCTGGGATTAGAACCTTGAACGAGAGAAGGCTGAAAGAAACAGATGTTAGCAGGAGGTCACGACATGCACTGAGCTGTTTGCCTCTATGGTAAAGCAGTGTCCAGGAAGCATTACGCCAGGTTCTTCATTTACTGCAAAGCAAATCTCAACAATATTCTTAACATGGGAACGAAATGTGGACTTGCGAGTGTGGTATATCCAAGGGGGTCGGTGGAAAACGGTCCCTATGCCGTGCCCGGCGAAGGCAGGACAGACAGAATGACAGGTATTTCGAACGATTTCATGTATAGCCCTGCCAATGCCATTGAACGGTCTACCAGGTCCACACGCATTAATCCCAGCCTCGAGTGCAGTATTTGTGATGTGCACGAGGTCTCGGCCAGGTTCGTCCTGTCGTGCAAGTAAATCACGAAGAATGTAATTGTTCTATTGGATGTTTCTTACAACATCTCCGACAAGGAAAGTAGAAGAAGTATCACCGTGATAGCCATCGAGGTAGATTGTTACATCAATGTTAATTATATCCCCGTCCTCGAGAGGTCGACTGTCATCTTGTTGAGTCTTAAAAGACAGCTCATACAAAACGCACTCACTCATCTGGTATGCCATGCGAAACAACATTATTAACACTAGTGCAACATGAACGGGGAAAGCCCTTGTATAGTAGTGGTGAAGGATATGCTTCATGTGCGATTATAAAATTGTGTATTGCAGCATCTATCGAATTGGTGGTCACACCCGGCTACCGACGAATTATCTTGCATCCGCATGGTGGACATTGATAAATCTCACCTGCACAAGCGAGCCAGCATACTGGCGCACATTCTTAGCAAGTGTCGCAGCCGCTCGCACGCGCTTCTCGTCTATGCTACCCAGATTTATTCTTCCGTCTCCTTCGTACTGCTGTTCATGGTCTATCGAGGGATCATTCTGTACGGCGTATTTCGGTCGAATAATATGACTTGGAACTGGACGCCGGGTGATATGGGAGACGCCCCATACGAACGGCTCCTCAGGTAAGATGACATCGTACGTCCCAAAATCCTCGACTTCCCGCGATTCATCAGAGTCGAATGCGGGTGATGTTGTTGCATATCTTTTCAAATAGCTGCGACAAATGACTGCCGAGAAATTGCGTAGACGAAGAGAACGAAGAGGGGGAAGCAACTTGTTCATGATCATGCAAATGAGCGAACCAACAACTTTTGGCAGGTTGAAGAGGGCGGGCCGGACTCGACCGTTACGTTGCTCGACCGCGTGCCTTAGTGGCTATGCTGGAACGACTCTTTAAGTGAATGGCTTAGATACTAGTCTAGACATATCTATGTAGAATCCCGAAACCTTGATTTACGTTGTATATCTTTGACTGTGATAGGCTCAGGAAGTTGCAACCTGAGCTTTTCAGTCTGGGACTCCTTCAAGGCTTCAACTCCCTGACATTCTCGCCATAGCTACTACTCTCTTCCGAAAATCGCCTGAAAATTCACCCAACAAGTAATGTGATATCGAGTAATGAAGGAGATGATCATGGTGCTTGGAAAAGAGAGGAATATTGCTACAGTTACCACACCAGGCAAGTGCGACCGTTGTTCCAGTTGTTAGTGGAGACTATAAGCCATGGGATATGTATGCAATGGTAATTGAGCTACCAAGTTCGACACAATCTGGACACTCCTTCTGGCAATGCTGTTCGGGCAGGTTATGTTCCTAACTTCTCTGCCAGTGCATCGTGAGGTACGATCTCTTAACGCCCGTGGTCTAAGATGTCCACAGGAGGAGCTGCCTGCCCAGTTGCTGGGTCTGTAGAAGGATCACACGAAGCCGTACGAGTGGCCGACAAGAACGACCACGGTTGTTTTCACTCGCCTACACCTTTTTTGCATCAGATCGAGGACTCCAGGATCATAGACCCTATGTTGGACATGTTCCGCCATATGCAGTTTTTCTGTTGTGTTCGCCTACCACTTCAGCTTGAGTGGTCACATCGCTTGCGATGACCGCTTAATTGGAAACAATAATGAAGAGAAGGATTAGCGAAGCAAGTTGCTCTCAGATGCGCACTGCATACCAAAGACTCCAAGTTGGCGTCAAAGCGAAGGTGTAGTAACTTAGTAAGTATTGGGCGTGTCGCTGGGAAGTAGATATTTGAGACGGCTAACTGAAGAAAGTTGATTGGCAATGATTACATGTCACTGCAAATAAACCACACACTGAAGCTCGAGGTGCCTCCTGATGGTAGCCAGCACAACAGGTTGTGGTTGCCTCATGATCTTGAAGTTCAGGATACACATCAGTGCTGCAAAAGTGACATCCTGAAGATTGAAAACGTGATTATATAGTGTAGGTCTACTCTTTCCAGGGGTAATCAAATTTTGGCTGGTCCTTACGTCTCCACAATTTCTTCCTAGAGATGTTCCATCAGCAAGCCATAGTAAAATTGTTTAGAAATTTACATACTTCTTTTTCGTGGGGACGTGCTCTGCAAACACTTCAACGCAATGCTTAGCCTTGAACTCACGAATAAAGCGCGGATCCCTGTATCAAGATTGAATAACCAAGGCAAAACACCCGCAATGACACTCACCAAAGCTCGCTCGCTATTCCAAGATCTTTACAGCATCGCATAAGGGCATTACTCTTGCAGCCTTCAGTTGCCGTAGGAATATTGGATGGATCGAAGTATTCTTGTTCACCACGGGCAACTGCTACCAAGCTGCAGGAAAGCAAATTCAGAAGTTGTTGTGCAAGACAAGGAGATACACACCGGCCCTGGCAAACAAGCGCATACTCCCTGCTGACAACTTTAGGCCCGACGTTTGTCTCACTGCGAGGGGCGAGTCCCCATCCGCCTGGTCCAAATGCCTTGTTGAGGACGCGACGATATTTGATTTCTGGAAGGTAAATCAAGCCATCTATGAATAATGTTCAGGAACATAAATCGCAAACCATGCACTCGAAAAGTACCTGGCTTCATCTCTATATCCATGTCATCCACAGGAGTCAACAGAATATTAGCGATATCCTTTGAGAAGGCTTGGGTAGAGAGTCCATGGTAACTCGTTGACCAATCAGTGGACCCAGCGTCGCCACCTGCTGTAAAATCGCCAGGGAAAGGCGAAGACAGAGATGCAGAAGAAGGCACGGTCTCAAGCGGAATACTTCCATTCATGGCTTCAGAAACATCTATCTCTTCTGACGTACTGGGTAGGTTCTCTGTTATGCCTGGGCTACCAGCACCTGCTACGCTCGTACTAGCAGTTGCCTTCACTACTTTGGGTGGGCTAGAGGATGGAGTTGACGTCTTTGGTGTCCATGTCCGCGTAGACGCAGCGTACGTTCTCGAAGACAAAAAAGGCCGTGTCAAGGAAGGTTGCCGAGTCGCCTTTATTCCCAGTAAAATAAGTCGATGCGCGTTGTTGGTCAAAGCCGACATTATTTAGCTAAAACCAACCTCTGCGCGGAACTTTTTATGACAGGAGCCAACAGTGTCGCGGGATCTTAAATTTCAAACCTCGCACAAGCAAAGTGCCGACAGCTGCTCGTTGTAGCCATCAGCGAGCACGATACTATGATGAACACACCGCCCTCGACACTGTCGGCCCGTCCTCACTCTCGCGCGCTCAATCAACGTCCATCTTCCAGTTTGTCCCAGCGTCCACCATCAAGCGCGTCATTCGCAAGACCAGTTTCAAGCGCGTCCTTACGACCCCAATCACGCGTTTCTCGACCAAGTTCGCGTATTTCGCGACCGGCCACCAGACAGTCCACGCGACTTGCGCCTTTATGCCAGAAGCTAATCACACAAGTCACTGGACTCACTTTAGAGAACGATGAGGAGGACTTTCGTATTACCTTGGATTTCGTTTCTAGGAACCTAGAGCATGCTACGGCAACGAAAGGAGGTCCGAGTTCTGATATGGCTACCATGGACAAACATTTTCACGGGTACATATAGTTGTCTTATATGAAAGTGTTATTCAGCCGATACATGTTCCTTCAGTTTCCTCGAAAAATCCCGTATACAGTCCAATGATACCCTTGCAGAAGCTTTGGAGATGTCGTACCGGAAAGTGAAAGATAGCGCGAAGGAACTCACTAATATCGACGGTGACATCAAAGTGGAGTCCCTTGTTATCGTGTGTGAGAGCAATACTGAAAGGTTCCTTCACAGCTCGCGCATCTTCCAGACCACCTGCAACTGCTTGTGAGATCATATTCATCCTATGTAGTCGAGAAGCCAACAGCTTGACAGGCACTTCTGTCTGCTGCACCAGTGGAATCTACTCTCAAGCACGCAGATGCATATGTTGAAGCGATCAAAAATCCACCAGAGCCACCACCTTCTCTCACCTGGAAGGACATCCTGGCCGAGGAGCCCTTCGAGGGACAACACTGGGAGGGCGTTTATGGTTTGCCCTCAGGAAGCACGGTAGAAGGTTGGGAAAATACGAGCGATGGTAGCACCCCTTCACTTTCACCCTGGGATGATGACTCGGACGATTTGGATGATAATGATTCGTTTCCTTACACTGAAGATACTCCATCATCTCCTAGTCCTGTGGAACGAGTCTCATCTTATGGGCAGCCAAATTTGAGTCTTTCATACCAACATCGTAGGGTTGTGGAGGAGTTGGAAGCTCGACAGTACTGGAGAGAAGAATGGCGAACAGATGCCGATTTATCTCGGCCATTTAATCTGGGCGATGCATCAACACTTGGTAGCTTGCTTGTATTCTGGGGTTTGCATTGCTGATGACTTTATAGGCCCTTCGTTGAGCCGAGCTCTTGGTGAAAGAACAGCTCTTTTGATTGATGGGCCTGAATGCGAGGTCAGATTTTGCGACGTTAGAACAAGTGATAATAATTCACCGCTTTTATAGAAATACATCAACGAGCATGACGCTGTTCGTGAGGTGCTCATGTGCCTCCAAGGACGCAAAAACCTCATGATCACTAGCAACTCAAGATCTCCGTCGCTCATGGTAGGTACCTGCAGCGTACAAATTTACACCCCCCTTCTGATCTTATACAGCGGCCATCACCAAGTGCTCCCCGTCTCGTTCATTTGACATTAGGATCCCAAACTTCTATCCTATCGTCCTTTGCGCAACTTGCTAGCACCATGTCCCACATCAGAAAATTCACTTCAGCAGTTCTTTCCAATGTATTTTCAACCTCAGAATCACCTCTGAGTTCAACGCACCTTCTATCTCACGGCACACGTTCGCAGACCATCGAAGCTTTCGCAGATGCAGTCGATTCTCAGCTACAAAAGTTCGGCCGCTGGTGCGCCGACAAAGAAGAACGGATATGTTGCGCTCACGCTGGCCTTGGCAACCAGCTGGTCGTCAGTCTACTGGGGCTCGAAAAAGACGTCAGAGATGCATTTTCAGTAACATTCGACCTCCTTTTGGCCATTCTGCGAGAGCTGATGGGCTATGTCATGCAATCGGATAATACGTCCGACGAAGGGATCTGGTTATTGGTATCCCTGTCTAGTCGCGTGCCGCCAGCGGCTGTTACTACCCATCTACTAGACGCATGTCTGCGTGCTGTGGAGGAGCAGTCTTCCCTAGGAGACAAAATCACTGCTGAAGCTCTCACTGAAGTGTTCGTCAGGTCCGCACAGCCTGTTTGGGCGATGGTGGGCCGCTGGGTTGGTGATGGGATGCCAGTGCGGGACACGTGGGAAGTTTCTGATAATCAGACCCTAGATGAAGAGTTCTTCGTCGAGGATCACGAGCTCCCACTTATGGACCCTGATTTCTGGGCAGATGGATACGTTCTTAGAACTTGGAGTGACTTTGAAGCGCCCACAGCAGATGCGAAGGCACTTTCCGTCCCGGTATTCCTGGAACGTATAGCTGATCGTATACTCGAGACCGGAAAAGCAGTTGGTCTGCTGCGGATCTTAGGGATTCCTTTGCTAAATGATGCAGATGGCGATGTTCACTGGCCATCACTCGAAATGCTGATAGGACAGCACAAAGGGGATACTTCAGATCCAGAGGGTCTCGCTCACCTTATCTCCGACAAGATTGCGCCCTATTACACGTCTTCGGGATCTCGACTCACCCATGTGCTAACCGAGGACTGTGATCTTTCACGCCACATCACGGCCATCGAAGGGCTATACCTGATGACCAGAGGAGACGTCATCGGCCATTTCGCCGATGTCCTTTTTGCAAAGGCAAGTGTTTATCTATACCAGTATGCAGGTGCTAATGCAGATCGTCAGATGAACAGCCAGCAACGCTGGCAAGACTTCCACTTCCTGAACAGCGCCTTTAGGGACGTTGTAGATGCCAATAACGCCACAAAGTACATTGAGACTTCCCTTGTTCGCCTCTCCTATCGGGGAAGCAAAACCACCGTCATAGCACAGACGGTGAAAGCTCTTGATGGTCTACTCGTTGAATATGCCGTGCCTTTTCCACTGGCGTATATTTTCACGTCGCGTGTATTTTCGATCTATGGGTCGATCTTCGCGTTTCTTCTGCAAATACGGAGAGCGAAAAATGTTTTGGAGCGCATCCTTGTACGGGGCGACATAGGGAGTAAACGACATATGAAGCATGAGTTGAAGGTATTTTATGCGATGAGGGGCAAGTTATCGTGGTTCATCAAGTGCGTTCATTCGGTGTTGCGACGGCTATTCGCTGACTCTACTGTTTGTAAGCACGCTGTTGAACTTCCTGACGACCCATGTAAGCTTCCTGGCTATCGAAATAATGCGGCTCTGATCATCTATCAAGGTCCTGTACTCTCAGTTAGCGATGTTCCACAAGAACTTCAAGGGGGCAGAGTCCCTTGATGAGATGATCAAGATCCATAACGACCAGTAAGGTTGCTTGCACCTGCGCTACAATAACCTTACTCACATGCGCCATTGAAGCTTGGACACAATCCAGCGCGGTTGTCTGCTTCATCCCGAAGTGTGTCCATTTTTATTTTTGTCTTGTTTGTCGCACTGACGACTATTCAAGACTTCTGCCCTCCATCGTGCTGTCTTGTCAGCACTTGACATGTGTTTGCATTTCAGCAGTATTTTCGTCTCGTTTTCAGGTGATAATACCCATGATATCTCACGGCTCTCTATCGTTATGAAACGTCACCGAAGTCGCCGCCAGAGACGGCTTCGTCGAGACGTCATTGGTTTCTCTACCCCAGAGATTATCTCAGATGATGAAAGCGACGATGATTATCACCATGACGAGACGGTGGGCGATGCACTTGAGCCTTCGTTTTCTCTGGCTGCCTCAGTTGCGAACTACGAGGGTGATCTCCCCGATCATATGGATAAGTTGTCATTGGAACTGGATGGTGTTGTGCGTTTTGTTCGCAGGGGGAGTGAGGCCTGGGCGGGAAGTATGTCTAAAGCTGCGCCTGCTTTCGGGGCTCTCGCGTTTGCATTGGAAGATTGGGATTTGTAATTCAATATTCATACTTGTCAATTACTAAGGCATGTACATGGGTGGTATAGTATTTACTACAGTAATTTTGTGCATTACCGAGCTGACGACAAAACCTGTGCCTCATAAGATAGAATATCTCGCCACATTGCAATCTAAAACTTCCTAATACATAACCGCAGCACCACCCTTGGTATCCACACGACGATTGATGCCACCGAGGAGAATTTTGATGAGCATCTCAGCATTCAGTTGGCCGATATAGGGCGTTGTGTCCACAATATCCTAACGGGTTTTTAGTAAAATAATGCCTTGACATGTAAGACTGCGACATACTCGTATTTGATGTGTTTGCTTCAAGTTATCATCCAACTCTACTAGGAATTGAGTTGCGCGTCTCGAATTCCCTATCTGAACGAACTGTATCCCAACCTGCGCAAAAGCGTTGTCGGCAACTACTGCAGTAAAGAAATAATGTGTAGTCACCTGTGCAAGTGGCCACTTATCGGCATCGAGTCGCTTAGCAAAAGAGACGATTACACTCTCGGGATCGTCCGCTACGTGACCAGGTCAGCGGACTCCACTATTAACTGTTCTGTGGACTCACTTGGTGCCCCATCAGTGATAACGATCACATTCACGGGCTTTATTTGCTTGCGTGCAAAATAGTCACCAGCATCCTCCTGTCTTTTAGCAGCGTCCAAGTCACGGAAATAATCCCCGAGGATTACATCGAGCCGGTGCCCGATAGGGGTAGGGCCACAAGGCTGGAGGTTGGCAAATTGTTCGTGGATAGCTTTGGACTCCTACAAAGGGTAATCAGTACCAATTTGTGACGTACAAATAAGGTACCTACTGTAACTCCTGTCATGCTTCCGTAATGGTTCAAAAAGTGAATATCGACGCCATTAGCATCATATTGGCTCGCAACATCAGCGAGTGTGGCTAGAGCCTGTTTTGCCTGGACATGACGATTTCAGTGCCATCAACAAGCAATATAACAAGCGTTATACCTCCTTCCATAGCGAACCAGCCATCGATGAGGAATCGTCCATGATAATAATTGTGTCATATTGGCGCAGCGTCTCGAGCGCATCTTCCAATGATTCCGCACGCAGAGGTTGGCGGAGATACGCTACTCGGGCTGCTATCGCAAATTAAAATTAATGTGACGAGATTTTGGAGGAACCAAATACCTTCACTGGCATTCCCAGGAGACCAGTGCGTTGCTGATGTGGCAGAGGTAGTATATGGTGGGGGGGCCGATTGGTAGCTGTCACCACTGTGTCCAGCAAGGGATGATTTGATGTTCTGTACATGATCAGCACTGAAGTCCCCAGGTTGTCCCCTGGTACACCGTGATCGTGACTTGGATGATCCGTTTCCCATGATAGTAGTTTGTCTTTCGGTGTGTATGAAAGGAGGGGATTTATGACGGTGTTACGGGATTCAAGTTAGATTTAGCACTCGTGGGAGTAATCAATGGAGGTGATAGAAGCTAGGATCAGGAAAATTTGTGCTGGCACTTTATAGCGTTTGGGTTGTGGACGAATGGAGAATTGTGGCAGGTATACCTGCCATATGTTGGCTTGTGACTCTGCAATGCATTGTGCCAGGTCATTGACAATGGATAATGGCCAGTGGACAGTGACTAGTGACCAAGCATTCCTCGTGGAAGGTTATGTGATCCATCGTGACATGCTGTGCAGTGCCTGAGGCCCGAGGCCCGACTCGGAGTGTCTCAAAACACTGCCTTTGCACTGTATCGCACATTGAAATCTACCGTATCAATATCATGCTTTCTGCTGTATACTGTCGATTCTCGAATATGCACTGTTTGGAAGCCATCGTTTCTGTCCTCCACAGGCTGCACTGCACCTTCTCACAGCTTCGCGTTCTACTGATTTCTCCAGTATAACATCCTGATGAACAGTTACTAGTATAGGAACATCACGCGTACAACAAGACAGCTGTGTTCTTGAATATTATCTAGGATACTGGTGCAGAACGATCCGCTACTCTGGGAAATGCGTTGGCACTAGCTAACACGACCATCTTCTTCTCATGCGAGATATAACCTCTCATATATCCCTGGTAGATCATATTCGCAACATAGCATTCAGCTTCCTCCATCGAAACGTCGATCCCCTTTAATCGTAACGAGCAGTGGAACATAGATACGGGTATCCGCGTGCTTTGGTCGGTTGCCACCCAGCTTAATGAAGGTAGTTAGTGCATATCCCACGTCATCGCTCGCCAGTGATCTACGTACACGCGTCTAAACAGACCCCTGATACACAGTTCTCTAGCTCGTTCCAGCGTCAACCACAGGTTGAGCTCGAGCAGGCGCCGTTCCCACTTGTCTAGTGCTGCATCGTACGCAGATATATCCCCAGCACGTATAGCAGCAATGAAGGGCGCGAATAACTCGTTAAGCACGGGGAACCTGTCCATCAGGTCTCTGGTTGGGAGATGCCCACGGAGAACACGTAGCGGAAGTAAGTACGTCAGTATCCGTCTAATACCCGGGCGTCAATTTGTAAGCACCAGCCGATGAATAACATTGCTTACTCCTGATTACTATGTGCCGGGATATAGCATTGATAAAAAGCCAGTGTTAGTTCCTGTTCCGACTGCAACCGCTAAGTCTGAATGACGTCGCAACATGATTATGCCCGTACTTTATTATAATCTTCATTCAGAAAACTTAGCATGCCCAGGTAGTAGCGGTAGGTGACCTTACAAATCGTGACATCAGTGGTCCTCAGGAATAAGTGCTATGCGAACGTACTTGATGCGAGCGTGGATACTCTGAGAGAGGAGGTATATCAGGATTAGCGTTGAGCGCTCTGAGGATATTTTTCGACAACGATATTCGTTTAACCTGGGAATATTCAGTGGGCAATGCGAGCGCCGAATGAACAAAGAGGACGGACTCGGAAGTAGCATTTTAACACAAGCCCGACAACGTAGTAGACTCCCCATTTACGAGATTCACTCGGTGGTGAAGTTCTAGCGAGGTATTAGGCGCTTGTCAAAAATATGGGGACAGGTTAACAGGTACAGCACCTGTCTGTCATGCAGTTGCTGAACGCCTTGACAACAACGCCGGCAGCACTCTCCATACACTCGCTTTTCTGATTATTGTATTTAGCGTAGTTGTCGGCCTACAGCATTCAATAAGAGTTCAAAAGTAGAGACGCGACGTCTCACGTCAAAGGCAAGATCTCGTAGGTCTCTCAACATCGAGAACAGCGCAGGAAGTGTCCATCCAGTATTGTTGATAAAGTAACGGAAGAACTGGCTGTGAACGAGTGAGACAAGGAGGTGTTTAGCAGTACACAGATACGCACGAGACAAGCTGCGACTGCTCGTTGAATGCTTCCCCAGCGCGTTTGCGGGCAATGTGTGTTGTGACCATAACATATCTGACAGCGATGTCGTCCCATGGGCTCTCAATACATCCACCGTAACGCAACGTGAGTGTTTCGCGCTGGAAATCCGTTCTGAACGTCGACAGTGTTCTGAAAGGGTCAAAGACGTACTGTAGGATTACGAAACTCCTTGACGAGATCCTTTCCATGAGGACTGGTTGGGCGTAAAAGGTAGGCCAAGTTAGGTCCATTTTCTGACTGTATTGTCTCAGCGAGTGTCATTATGAAGGTCGAGAAGGTCATCGCCATGTTTTGGGGTTGATATGGTACGAAGGACTGGCCAAGGTGACTATAAGCAAATCCTAGAACTGTCTCTGATTTATTGCTAAGCTTATTTATTTTCAGCGGTCAAAGTGGAAGATATCGACAACAACTAGGATACTCACTTCGAGCAAATTTGAGATCTTCTCTTAAAGTTGGGATTCTTCTCTTTTGACGTTGAAGTTAACGTTAGAGTATTAATGATCACGTGATAGATAACTCCTAAGTATAACTTGAACTTGAAGTTGTCAAGTGATCGTATCTTCAATTCAACGTTTCAACGCTCAAGTATCATGGCTCTTCAACCTTCCCTTCGACCGACTATTATTGCCGGAACTCACGACGCTCCGCATACCATTGATATCTTCCGTGAGTCAACGAATTGGTCAAGTGCCTTGTGACTAATTAACGAGGGGGTACAGTGGACTACGTTTGCCCATTCAGGTTGACGTCCACAGACACCGATCTGAAAAGCTGCTTTACTAACCATGTTAATCGTACAGCGCAAAGTTATCGCTTGCAATCGATAGCATTTTGAAGCCTCTGGTGGACGTGGGAGGTTTATATTATGGCAAAGTAAAAGTTATCATGAGGCTCCAAGTCCAGCCTTGGCATGCCACTTCAACCTACACCCATGAGGCTGGGCTTGCTGTAAGCGCTTCAAACCGATATACTTTAGATGGTTGTAATGCTGATTTGATCTAGGTTGTGCGTGCTGCTCCAGATAAATTCTGGACGTTCTCCCTCGCGGTAAGCATCGCTTGTAATCACCGAAGTCGAAGTGACTTCCGCCAAACTAAATCAACTCGATACGCAGCTTTTCAAGCAACAGGCCGAATTCTTCGATGGTCCATCTTCCAACATGACTCCTCTACAAATTCGTGAGAAATTGGCCAGCATCGCTGCCCAAGTAATCACAGAGGAGCAGGTGGTGATGTTCAAGGATCTTCTGAAGTTGAAGCCTACTCCGAATGGCGGAATTGGAGTTACAGATGATCTTAAATATACTAGTGTGTCTTCATTTTTTTTCGTGGTGGTTTGAGTTCTCATACCTTTCATCGTGTAGTCAAGTTCGCCAGGCAGAATGGCGTACATGTTTCTCCCACCGCTCTCTGGGACGGTTTGATTGCCAATCAAATCTCTAGCTCTTGGGGAGAAAAGGAGTGGACCGAATTTCTTGCGAAGAACGTTGCTGTCTAGGTGTGAAGAATTGCATTTTTTGGGCCATACTAAGAAGTCTGATGTGATAACTACAAATTCAATACTGTGTTCTGCTGAGAATGAAACGCATTCAATTGGTCTAGTAAGCCTTCATACTTGCGTGTCTGATAGTCTCCACCTGCGAAAAAGTTGTATCCACTTTTCATTCAATGCCATAACGCCGCTGTTGCAGGATGCATTAGAATACTGAAATGCTCCAATGGCAGTGATGCTTGATCAACGAGTTGCCTCTGCTCGACAATGACAGCGCTGTGGAAGTGGGGGGCTGGTGACGTAGCAAAGAGTTTGATCGCTGCCGCTAAAGCTGCACCCAAGGCAACTACTAGTAGCAGTCGTGGGAGCTGCTTCTTAGGAGATACATTCCGGTGTGCCCACTGCCAGCTGTCCGTATCTTGGTGCATTTATAAGGATGCTCTTCATATCAATTCAAAACTCAGAAAATCTATTGAAAAAGGTCTGCCTGCATTCAATCCAAGAAAGTGGAGATTGACATCGGGATATCGGATGAGCATCTGAGCACTATTGTTACACTTTGATCATTCGCGATACTACCAAGTATGTAAACCTATGTAGACGCCGTATGATACTATTTATATTGTACTACATTGCTTGCAAGACATCAGAAGCCATATCTATTCGCCGGCCTGATGGTGTAGAAAGCACTAATATCTATGTCGGGCCAATCTTCGCACGAGGGAACTGATAAGTTCACGTATGCCATCATCTCGCGGTGGCAGGCCAAAAGATCGCTTCGCGTCTTAAATCGTGTCTCGGGGGTGTGGCGCTCCATGAACCGGAGAGTAGAGTTGTATCGAATGAGGAACAAATCGCATAGCTCCCGCAGTAGCGTAGTGATCTTGGGGGGCGCCGTGAATTTTTTGACAATGGGAAAGTCAAGGTCAGCAAGGTATTTCCTCTTGCGCGAGCCACCTATGGCCCGTCCCCCCTCATCGATGACATACTCCTCGTCAAATATTTGGAGCAAGGTGTTCCTGTCCTCGACGTTCGTCGCATTGGGGAGGTATCGGACCATAGTGTATATCATAACGTGCAGGAAGGATTCCAAATCATCCGCCAGCACATGGTGCTTGTCCTGGGTACTTTGGTCCAACAAAGCACCAGACATAAAGGGTGGAGTTCCCTGTCATTTGAAGTCGTGTCAGTATTTCGACATATATATATAAACGTTGCATGTACCATCTGGATTTCCAATAGCTCTTTGCGCGATTCGGGAGAGCAGCACTCCCAGCCCATGAGAAGCCCGCACCCCTCACTGGTGATGCCAATGTTCTCCATACTGATGTTCCGATGCAGAAGACCAAGATATTTGTAAGCACTCTCGTGAGCTACAGTGACCCGTTAGAAACGAACAATTACTTGAGAAGTGGAGATGAAACTCGCCTGTGAGAGCATCCTTGAATACAGTCAGAAATTCTTTGGGCGTCTTGAACGTGCTCAGGTTCCGTTCAATATTACCAAGGATGATTCGATGTTGTACGAGCGGGAGGCGTGCCTTGTGGTTGGGTGTACAGCACCACCAAGCCTCGTTGAATAAGTGGGTGATCGTTTTTGTTCCGAGGGCAGACATGTCACCGCCGTGCTCAAAGGTCGGGATGTTGGGAATGCGACGAGAGTGTAGTTCCCTGTATACTTCCGATTCCGTGCTGGTACCTTGGGAATGAAGTCTCCAAGTTTCCTTGAAGAAAACGACTCTCTTCTGCGCAACGTCCCACACATGGAAGCTACGAGTTCGTTGCTCGAGTAGGCCGCACTGCTTTGGGGCGGGACGTGGGCCGACGTAAAAGTGATGAGTTGGTAAAGGACGGCCTTCCGCGTCTTTGGGGTTTTGGAAGGCAGTATCGACGGGAACGATGTATCCATACAGAGGGTCGGAACTCCCAACACCCAGTAACTCCCGAATAGCGCTGTCTTGAGAGTCTGGAAGGGAAGTGGGAACCACAGACATGTCGACACCGCGATCCCCAGGCGACGCACGATTGAGCCTCCATAGGAACTCAGTCAATAGGATGAAATTTCTCGTGTAGTCGAACCGCCGAGACACGACAGCACCAGCGCGGTCCCAGTACACAAAACGTGCTCGGGAGCCACAGATGAGGATAGAAAATCCAAAGCGGCGGAACTGTGTTTCGAAGAAGGCATTGGTGCACGCCACCATATGCGCGCGCGTTGAGATGGACTGCTTGTCAGAGGACTCGAACTTGGGATAGTAGTCTCTTTTAGTGTCCCAATATGGCAGCAGGTCCTCCTCAGGACAAGGTATCGGTGCAGTGAAGTCCTCATTTGACGGCGGGTCGATGAAGGGGTCTTGTTGTACGGAAGGCTTGATGATGATCCATGCCTCCATCGTAGACATATCTGTCACTCCGTTTCGAGTGCTTTCACTTTTGTATAACCCCACGGTTGGTTGGAATTCATACCCACCCACGACGACAGAGGGGTCAGGACAACCGGAGGTGTCGACAAGATCAAAATTGGTGGTGAATTTACGCAGTAACGCCAACTGTCAAGGGCACCAAAATCAGATAGGTCAGAGAAGTGTTTATGTGAAATTCTTACAAGCTCTTCTTGTGACACCACCTTGGGCGTCGCTGGACGACCGTCTGTCTCAGGCAGGAAGTCAAGAAACTGGCACACTGGCATTGCGCCAACGAAGCGGCTTGGGAAGGAACCTATAAGCCTGGCTTCAACGGCTTCTTTGGATGTCATTGTGACTGAAAATTGAGATGCAGGAATTGTATAAGCGATATGATAGAAGGAAGATGATTGGAATTGAAAAGGCGAGATGAATAGACCAAGATGTCCAACTCACTATTTATTGATCCATGCTGTGGATATTCCACTGTGTCAATAACCACAACAGCTTTAGTGGACAATGCTCGTCAGTTGTAGCCGCTTACGGATGTGGACACTCGGAGATCCAATGGTTTGGAGTGCAAGTCCCTAGAATTGATGCAACTGACTTAAGCACAAAGGGAAAAGGGGGCGAAGGTTTGCATACACAAGGTAGGCGACAAAAGAGGGTTACTCTGCTACGTCTTCATCCCAATCGTCACCCCAATCAACTGCCTCCGAATCATAGTCAGCTGCGCTGTGTGCTTGCTTGATCAACTCAAGAACGGCACTATAATCAAGCGCGGGACCTTCTCCTTCATCCGCTGACAAAGAGCCTGTGCTGGATATGTCGTCTTCGGTGGTGCGTGCCTCCACAATAGAGTCTTGGTCGCCACTTTCGCTTTCCGCGTAGTTCCCTAAAGCCCCCAACTCGTCTCGTGTCCGGCTTGCCGCTGCTTTTTCCAATGCAGACTCACTTTCACTTCCATAGTCACCGACGAGTCCTGAGATCGCCTTTCTCCCCGCTTTCGTACTTAGCTTTCGTCTTTTTATAGCTCTGACGTCGTGCTCGTGCTCGTGCTCGTGCTCGGACATTGGCGAGGGCTGACCCCTTTTAACCACAATATTTCCAACGAATGTAGACGAGTCCGGATCGTATACATGGATGGTGGGGAATTCAGCGAAGTGCGTATCCTGAAGCAAATCCTGAAGAGTCTGAGAGGGGCAAAGTTTATAGTAAGATGGGCCAGTCTGCACTCCGACGCCTGGATAATACGGAATTCTGGCCAGGTCCATTTGCGCAGGTAAGTAACAGAGAGGATTTCTGAAGCCTTCGGGATCGTCTGGATGAGGGTGGACAAGAGAAGTAACCCAGTCTGGACAAGGATGTTCTTTCTTCGGTTTGGGATGGTCCTTGTTAGAATATGTATGCTGAGGAACGTGTCTCTGAAGAAGGGTGATTAGAGAGGAGTTGATGGGATTGCGATGCACAAGTGTGGTATATGGAATTGATGCTGCGGATAAAGAAGATTGCAAGGGCGCTCCGAGGTAAAACTTGAACTCTATCGTCAATAGTGCAACCTGCGTCCTGATGAAGGTCAGCACGCGCGTAAGGACGGAAGACAAGAGCGCACTTTGCATCAAGAGTCGACTGGTTTACCTTTCTGCGTTGCATTCCGACGGGAAGGACATCCATCTCGATGTCCAAACTGTCTAGATGAGCTTTTAGCAGATCTCTTTTAGATGATCCACCACCCCTTGAAGTCCCCCTTCCGCCTCTACCTCTTCTGCTGGCTCCACGTGCTCCCCCTCTTCCTCTCATGTCTTTTACGTTTGCTGCGTAGCCTTCACGAGCAATTTCTCCGCCCCACTCACTCACTTTTCTGCCTACTTCTTCAAGAAAACAATAGTCGCGCATCATCGGCCCCCACCCATAAGCGTTCATCTGTACATAGGCCGCCTTATTGCGTTCACCGCTACATCCAGTTTTGGATTTGTGGGTACGAGAGCAGGGTAGAGAACATGTTGGAGTACAGCACCTCGGGCAAGTATAACGAGCAGGTGTCGAGCAAAGCGTACAAAGACGAGTTGATGACCCACTGGCGATTGATTCCATAGGCGTGATGGTTTGCACTGCAGATGTAGAAGTTAAATGAGTATACGTATCATGTAGTCGTGAAGTGTGTTGATGTTTTTTTCGAACATCCTAATCAAATCAAATCAAATCCTACACAATACTACGTACTTACTCCTACAATGTTTTTGCTATTGCTTCAATTACAACCCGTTGAGGGTGATGTAGTTTGAGGACAAGGACATGACACGCGACCATGATGCTAGGCTTGAGTCATGACATGGGTCGACCCGGGTCATACCCGCACCCGACCGGGCCGACCCGCGGGTACTGAGGCCTACCCGTACCCACCCGGGTCAGAGCCTCACGCGCACGGCCCGCGGGTGCAGGTCAACCCGGTAGTACAGGTCACCCGCGGGTGACCAAGTTCAAACACTGGTATTTGGAGCCCAAACCCAATGTATACCAACAGTTTCCCCGGCCACTGATCTCAATCAACACAAATTTGAGTTGGGTTTCTACTAGTAGTTAGTGACATCGATCATCCACAGTTGATCTAACATGTTTGCCTCCAATACATCGCTATCAAGTATCTTGGCGGTCCGAAAGTCGTTCATACCTGCCCTCTCACCACCTTATCCAAACTCTCTGCAAAGTATCTTATGTTGTGCGTGTTCAGTCCAGCCATCGAAATCCGTCCGTTGGCCGTCAAGTAAATGTGGAAGGTGTCTATCAGTGCTTGCGACTGAGATGGGTTGATTCCAGTGAAGCTGTCGTCCGTTGTCAGTACGATGCTCATTCACAGGTCGAATACGTGACCAATAGCACAAACTCACCTGAACATGCCAATCTGGTTGATGATATGTACCCAACTACCTGGAGTTTTCAGCTCCTCCGTCAGGAGTCGATAAAGCTCATTGCGCATGAATATAATTCGCTCAGCCATGGTCTTGATGTCACGGTTCCAGTCGGCAAAGAGGGCACTGTCGTTGAGAATAAGCGAGACCTATTCCCCACCCCTTAGCAGGTGAGCGCAGTCCATATTGGAATCGACTCACTAGGCGTGCACCGTAAGACGGTGGGTTGCTTATTTCACTGCGCTGTAAAACCGACAGCTGACTCTTAACACGATTTGCAGCATCCTTCGTAGGTGGGACGATGTGCAGTGCACCGATCCGCTCGCCGTACAGACCTGCGTTCTTGGCGAAGCTCTGGTCCAATCAGCTATGCTGCAGTAGTCCAATGAGTGGCGCACTGACCTGGCACACAAGCATCGGCACACCCTTCTCCACGAAGTATCTAACTGCCCACGCATCGTTGTTGAGGTCACCACTTGCAAAGCCCTGGTAGGCGCAGTCGAAGAATGCGTAATGGTTTTTAGCGATGATGACTTCAGCGATGTGTTTCCATTGGTCGCGAGTAGGGTCAACTCCTGTGGGATTGTGGGCGCAAGCGTGTAGCAAAAACACCGAGCGCGGTGCAGCACTTTGTAGGGTTCCAATGAAACCATCAAAGTCTAGGCCAATGGTAGCCGGGTCATAGTAAGGATAATCTATAGGTTGGATTCCAACATTCTTGAAAATGGCATGGTGATTAGCTGCAGGAATGTTTAGTTAACCTTCCGTTACACCCATTCGTACAAAAACTCACCCCAGGTGGGATTGCTCAAGTAAATCTGCTTGGGGGCATCCCATTGATAAAACCTGCTTAGAAACAAGGCTCCCAAGTGATTTGCGCCAGTTCCGGAGATGGTCTGCACGCTAACAGCACGCCCTTCTGCAATAGCAGGCGAATCGGCGCCAAGAATGAGTTTTACCGCACCGGCAGTGAACTCCGGTAAACCCGTAATGGGGAGGTATTCGTGATCGAGGTTAGGATCATTCAGAAGAATTTGTGTGGCCTATGGTGGCGCAGCGATTGAGTCTAGAGCGTGGTTAAGATGTAAAGAAGACGCACTTTCTTGATGACAGGAAGGACCCAAGGTTTATTGTCATCATCTCTATATGCTCCAACACCAAGGTTAACCTTCTGAGGAAACGTGTCCGCCTTATACGCCGCGGTCAATTTGAAAATGCTATCAGTGACTTTCAGTGAAGGATGAAAATGTGTTGTGGCTTGTACACACCTGTCGGGTGGAGCAAGAGGAACATCCTCCCATGTTTCTGATTCATGAAAGGATTTGAATGCCGAGCACAGTGACACGATTATGACCGGTGCTTACCCGACGACATCGTGGGCTTTGAACCTGAGAGGTGATTATACACTTGTCTTATCCTGTCTGACATGTTGGTTAGCTCCGAGATAACCGATACTGTAGGAGCCATAGATCATCACGATGGGGCGAGTCGTGGCGTGAAACCCATATGCCATGTGATTGTACGATCAAGCCCGTCCCTGCCCGTCCCGACTCCCTTGTCCATCACTTAACATCCAACAACCTGGCAGCGACGGCAACTGAACACGAAGACCCAAGTTACTCACTAGTATCTGATTTGAAGGTAGACCAAGGTGAGATCAGGATGGCGATAACAAAACGATGTCACGGTATAAGTACTAATAGTAACGCCAGCCTCATGACTAGCTTGTCTCATCTAATATAGCTTCAACTTGCGTTTTATCCCCCCAATGGAATTAAGAATAACTTCTTCTGGCACTGAATTAGGTCTCGTTGCCCGGCGCCCAATTTGCAAAGGTTCTCAAACGTGCAGAGGATTTTTATCGGACTCATTTGAATTTTGTAGTACGACATAGGTTTAACATAGGTCCTTAGTATAGCCAAATATTGACATAACACTGGACCCGAACAGCTCAAGTTGTCGAACTCTATATCTTCTCCTGGTACTAGTCACTAGCCGCGTCTGGAATATGGGTCATTACTACGCGATGTGGGACCACGCCATTGAAAACGCCGCACAACCAGTAGTACGCCCACTTGGTGATAAATCCGCTAGGCTTATTAGTACCCTCCTTTCTCCCCCGCTCTGGCTCCGGGAGCAGCTTAATACAGAGCCAATCGATAACTTCCCTGGAAAATTCGAATTTGTTTTTCGGTCGAGTAATATTTGGGCTCCCGGGGGCCGGTATCGTTGTCACCAGTCGCATCTTAAGTTGCCCTCTCGTACGTCTTGATATTTGATACTTAACGAAGTCCTCGTCGTAGTTCTACCTCAGCGCTATTCTTAACGTCCGCCGCCGCGGAGGTATGTATCATCCCGTTACTCGTACCCAGTCTCGCTAACATGTACTCTAGACTTTGCACTAAGTAGATCTAATTTTAACATTGTTCTCAACATCTGCTGACTCGGAGACTTTGCTCTAGCTCCTACTGGGGGGTTTTCGCTTCAGATACCCGTGGCATGTACATCGTGTGGGATCACGATGTTCCCTGTGGTCGTAGAAATTCACACATACATTATCCATACCTTCGATGGCAAGTTGAGTGACCGATGTTCATGTACCTTTAGCATGTACTTGACGTGCTGGGGTATCGCTGGAGTGGTGTATCCGCGACTGTGTGCCTGCGTGTCACGAGCAAGGCAAGAAGTGGTGAAGAGCACTACGTGTCCCCTACTCTATCGCCTGACGAGTTTGAGATCCAACACGTCTCTTAACATTCAGTTTAAGATAACTATGAGGGCACAGACGCTCGTTGAGTAAGTCAAAAGTAAGTATACATCGTGATAGCGTTAAACACTGGATTCGAAAGCAAAAAGCACAGCATGACAGGACAAACATTAAAAACTTCCTCCCGAGATTGTCTACTTCGCATTCTCCCTGGACATGAAATAGCTTGGGAAGATGCCCATTAGCTCCTCGAGGTACCAGTAATTCCCCGAAAGCTCGTCCAGAGGGCCTTTGCCTTTGTTTCCGCGTTTTGCGTTAGACTTCTTCGGCGCTTCGTTGTCCGCCTCCACCTCCTCGCGCACGATCTGCACCCATAGCCCCCCAAGCCCCATCCCGAGGCTCAGCGTATCGAGTACTGCGGGCTCTACGACCAGGACTATATCATCTTCATACGGATTGTGCGGCTTGCCGGAACCGTCGCCTTCAACCTCGCCGTCGGGCATAACCACTACGCCGCGGGAGGTCTTGCGAATGGATGGCTTCGGAATATCGCTCTCCTCCCTCCCCCACGGGCTCATGACAACACGCGCAAACCTCCGTTCTAACTCATCCTCCACCATTCCCGCTGCGTTAGCCTTGATCTTTGCCTTATCCTTCGGGGGTAAGTGGATCGCTTTGATTCGGCGCGTGGAGGACTCCACGATCCCTGTGGTGTGCGTCAGTGGGAAAGAGGTGGGACCCAGGAGAGACGTGAGCGAGGGCGGCGGGGAAAGCCATGAGGGCTCAGTCACTTCGGGTGCAAATGAGAGTGGGGCGGAGTCCGCACCCCATTCGTCATTGTCATCCGCAGGGCCCCATGTGCCGCCATCGCCAATGGCACCCCAGGTGTCAGAACCTACGGAACCCCAGCCTTCGGTGTCACCCGTGGCACCCCACCCGCCGGCAACGGTGTCTGTTGTGTCTGCAGACCAGATGTCGGGTGGTGCGGTGGTAATAGGGGCGGCGGTGTTGGCATTAGCAACGGGGACAGTAGTGCGCATGTTAGTAACCTGGATCTCCATGTCAACGTTGTCCTCGATGGCATCTTTAAGTGCCGTTTCCTCCGTATCTGGGAGAACAATCTCCGTTTCTGCACCATGCTGATCGATAACAGTAATAGTCGCATCGACTGAAAATGGAATATTAACTCATCGATAAGCCATCACGTACGGATGGCTGATAGTACCTGGAGCAGGCGGATCATCTGCCTTTTGGTGGTCGTCAAAGGACCATTCGATCCCGCCTTTCCGGCCAAAGCACTCCTTGCAGCCATCACTGAACACATCGGGTAACGCCTGCCCGATCTTGTATGTCAAGGGAAGCTCCTTCTTCCCGAGCTCCACAATATCAAGGGCACGACGGATGCCACGTTCATGAGAGGCTTTCGGGAGAACGCGGTTCCGCAGAACAAAGTTCAAAAAGAAGCTGATGAGGTGTGGTGCGTTAACGAGGTTCCTCTCCGACCTATGAAATACTCCAATGAGAAATACGTTGAGAATTATTATTGAGAGACAGACCAGATAAGGCCTTGTTCACGCATGTGAGATGACAGGAAAATTGTCACCGACTTCTCCGGGTCGTTTAAGAACACGATCAGCTTCTCCTCGCGTTGTTCCTCTAGATCAGATTTGCGTGCCTGCAAAGTACCTTCGTCATCATCATGATCGTCCAACTCAACAGAGTAAGCTGAGCGAGCGGGATCCTTCGAGGAAGGAACTGATCCAGGGGTGTCCTCCGCGTTGATCTGGATATTAGACAGACCATCCTCGTCATCGTCGTCATCGTCATCTGCTTCTCCGTCCTTGCTCGGTTTACGATAGACATTTGGATTGACAAGGAGTCCAACGTACAGACGAAACTATGAGAAACCGTGAGGTTGATGTAAGCGCAAAGATGAAAATAACTACTTGGTCCCAGAGCTGGCTGACCCCAGACGCGATCGGCGGCCAAGTGCGATTGACTCGAAAGTCGTTTGCGGCATGAAAGAGGCGATCCACATGAGACATATTCCTAGCAGGCTGATCAGCAACAATTCACCATATCGTGGATCTCAAGATGGGATCATGGGTGATAATAAAAGACCTACGAATCGAACTTGCCCTTCGTGATGCGCAGATCTTCACCTTCTTCCCACTCTTCGTACCACGGGACCTTCCTTGCAGGCACCCCTTCTGCAGCAGCAGTCTTCTTCTTGCGTTTCCTCTTGCGTGTATTGCTCTTGCACTCGTCAGTTAAATGCTTTACGCGCAACTCGACGGTAGGTATCCCCAGGCCATCGAGCTCCATGTCTTCCTCGTTCGGGCCGCCAACAACTTCACCGAATAGCTGTATCCCGCGCGCCCTGAAATCTTTGAAAGGGATGAGTGTCACACCTGATGGAGGTTTCGGGAAGGGCGGAAAGGTAACAAACGGCAACTCCTGGGTTGCTGTCGTTTCCGACGCAGAGGGCTCAGCAATCCTTGAGGGCATTTTGACGAACGTTGTGGTAGATAATCAAGATGGGATCGATAACTAGGATATAAGACCTTTTCGGTGCTCGTTCAGATATAGCCTGCCGGAGCATCCGAACCCTGGTGAGTATATTATCCTCAGAACAAATTGAAAAAAAAAAACATGCTCCTTCCAAATCTAGACCACGCTACTAACACCGCCTGTTACTTACACCGACAATGGTACAGTGAAGTGTTGTACAGTGCGATTCTATAATGGAATTCGTAAAAAAAAAACATAAGACTAAGTCATACAATAGTCCGCTAACACCACAATGAATCCTACCGCACCTCCTTCGGCGGTATCCACTCTGGTATCTTCCCCCATTCGAATTTCTCTGCCGCGAACGCAGCCTTTACATCTACTGGTAATAGGTCCATGTAGTTTGGTGGCAAAAGTGCAGCATATCTGTCAGGTTTTATCTGTACTTTAGATCGTGAAAATCCAGGTGCTGATCCAGACGGTTTCGAAGCATCGGTTGGGGTTGTTGCCATTGGAGTTGCGAAAGCAGTAGCAACCACAGGAGCAGGAACGCCAAAGGATGAAGCTACGGTGCCTGTGCTACCGAACGCAGATGTCGTTGGCGCTGCTCCGAAGGCTGACTGGGATGCTGTGGAAGACCCGCCGATCGGGCCTGGTGCAGACGGCGTAGAGCCAAAAGCACTTTGTGAGGGTGTCGCGGAGTTAAAGGCACTTTGTACCTGTGTCGGTGCAGCAAATGCACTTTGTGTTGGCGCAGGGGTAGGGGCTCCAAACGACGGCTGTCCAAACGCCGATGCTTGCGTTGGTGCTGACGTAAACCCAGATGACTGGGATGCAAAGGCAGAAAACCCGCCACTGGCTCCAGTTCCAGTGCCGGTGTTCCCAAATGCTGACGATGGAGCCCCAAATGCGCCTGTGGAAGGTGCCGAAGAGCCAAATGCACCTGAACCAGGTTTAATCAATGATGATTGTCCAAAAGCCGAAGTTGGCTGAGTGGCTGAGCCGAATGCAGAGGGCTGCCCAAACGCAGAGCTTGGCTGCTGACCAAACGCTGATGTCGTCTGAACAGGCTGCCCGAACGCAGAAGTTGGCTGCTGCGGCTGGCCGAATGCAGACGCTGGCTGTTGTGGTTGCGCGAACGCAGATGTTGATTGTTGTGGCTGCCCGAACGTTGACGTAGTCTGTGCAGCTTGTCCAAACGCAGACGTCGTTTGTGCAGCTTGTCCAAACGCAGATGTCGTTTGTGGAGCTTGTCCAAATGCAGGTGTTGCTGCGGATGCGCCGAACCCTGTCTGGCCAAACGCAGGTTGGCCAAATGCAGATTTTCCGAACGCACTGGAAGTTGTGCCAGATACCGATGGTTGAGGGCCAGAACCAAACGCTGATCGCCCACTAAAAGCGGAGACAGGACCGAGTGCACTCGACCCAGGTGCAGCTGCTTCCTTGCTCAATTTGAAAGCAGCGTCGTACAACTGTGAAATGTTGCTCCTGGCGCTGTTATACGCCTGCTCTGAGGCAGCTATCTTGTCTGACTCATATTTCATCTATAGATAGCTTGGTCAGCCATTGAAGAAGGATATCCTTCCTTATTAAGCTACGCACATATTCGTTGATAGTCCCTGCCTTCAACGCAGCCACCGCCTTCACGCGAAGTTCCTCCGTTGACTCGTCCAGTCCAGCGATAACCACCGGTTCATACTTCGCAGCGCCATAGGATGATAGTGGCCATAAAGGCTTATCTTGAAGAGCGGTAACATCTTTTGCCATTGATTCAATGCTACAAAGCATGGTGTTAACAAATTGGACCGTATGTCGACCTTCCTGCGTCGTAGATCCCGAACGACTTACTTATATGGAACTATCATGTCTCTCGAATTATTATTGGTCCAACTTTGATCTAATCATTATATGTGAGAATGTGAAAGAAAAGCCCAGAGAAAGTCGAGACAACGTACTCCCAAAACCACCCTGTTGTGCTCTGTCCGCTGGATGCTCGTTGCGACATCTATCGCCGTACTTGCATGTGCCACGTAGATAGTACGTGCAGACTGTCTGACATTACGACCGTTAATGCTGCCTCAAGTTCTCAGAGTGGTAGCGCACCATTGGATATCGACTGGTCGGAATGAAGCAGGGGAATTGCAACCAAATCGAGCTTGTTTGCGCAATGCGTGTACTTACAAATTATGTAATGGCCTTAGAATTAAATAAGGACAAACAATAGTTGAATGGTGACTTCATCCCGAGTCGCCGATGCTGGTGACTTAGCCTGGCGCTGCCAGTATGAAAGAGTAAGAGCATTGAAATCAAGTACACGTTGATCCTATCTCTTAAATACGCTATTTTTTGAACTTCAGTCTAGAAGAAAGGGTGCTGATCCAAATGATACTTGCAGGGCTCTCAAACTTTCTGTGTGCGCTGGATGGCGAATGAGGACAATTCGAAACAACGTTCTGTCGCACAATGATACACGATATGGTAGTCGCTGAGAGAATTTCACTGGCACTTGACATTATTCGATAGACCGAAGTGTCGCAGTACAGTTGTCTAACCCCTGACAATACTTGATGGAACAAAACGTCATAGAACCATGCCCTTTTATCGGAAATCACATTTGGATTGAATTTGTGCCATAGCTCAAAAACTTGATCTTCGCTGACGTAGCCCGTTTCAATGGGGTTCGAGTTTCTGCCCACGGCAGTGTGCTTGATGCCATGTGATATGATCACCGGATGGATTACGATTGTTAGGCGTTAGGAGCAAGGCAAACCCAGGTTCCTTCCCATCCGCGGTGTCGAGAGAAGAGGGCTGCATCCGAGTACATAGAAAAAAAATAAAAAAAAATCACGTGCACTTTGAAATGTCCAAAAGCAGCCCAAACCTTATCCCTCGTTCTCTCTCCATAGCGGCTGGCAGAAAACATTTGTAAACAATGTTCAGCCACCGTAGCAAACCCTTCGGACCTTGAAAATTAACTGGCAACTTCGGAGGGAACCTGAAAGTTCGAAAGTTCGAAAGTTCTGTCCCACCCGTCCCGCCCGTCCCGCCCGGCCCGTCCGTCCCATCCGTTCTGTCCCGTCTGTCCCATCTGTCCCGTCTGTCCCATTTGTCCGCATCGTCCGGCAAACAATGATCACGTTGAAATGTGCCGCTGATCATCTTTCAGGTATCTCTGGCCTAATGTTAGAAGTCGCATTTGTGTTTGCCTCATTGGCAACAGGCCTCAAGGACGATATCATTCTCACGCAGCCGGCTACATACAACATACGCGAGCCACCCTTGTTTCTTCCTCCTAGCATTGTCGCTTTTCTGAGCATTGCCTGCAAATTGTCACCAGCATCTGTGAAGGTGTGCTGGAGGGTCCTGAAGAGTAGTATCTGGGCTGGCAATTTTACCGTTTATGAGAAGATGAAAGACTTATTCGAGATGCACGGGCACCCTCATGGCCTTAGTGAGTGTTTTTCAATGTATATCCACGAGGCTGAACGAATCACTTTGATAGCACAACGCACATTCTATCCACCGTTCAAGATGTGTCCCAATTCTACCTGTGATCGCACACGAAAAGGCTTGCTGCTCAGCAAGGCCGAACAGCGCAAAGCGGTCTACTTTGGCCACTCCGGTACAGTCCCTGCCTACAGTGTTCAACTGTATTGTGAATGTGAGTGCTATATCTATCCGACGACACGATAATGCAGCTGCTAAATCCTCCTCAGCCTGCAAGACAACTTATCACACGAACTATAAGGTCATTGGTGACCGACACATTTACTATGATTACATCACTGCACTGCCAGACATCGTGCAGATTGCGGATCACTACTTCGTTGACTATCAAATAGCGAGGTTATGGAAGGCCATGATGCACGCTTCCTGGTATGTAGTATCTTCGTATTCTGAATCTGCCCCTGCTGACCATACACTCAGCACATCAGCAACCAACTGCGCACACATATATAACATTGCACTTGCAAATGCAGAGTCCACGCAGTTCCCGGGCACAAAATGGTTCGCCAAGGATGTATGTAACAATGGACCATGTTTGGAACACCTTCATCATTTGCACACTCCTTGAAGATTGCCATGAACGCCATTGTGTCCTCAATGTCGGTCAGACCATCAACCAGAACGAGCACTTTGTCGAGGCAATGTCAGACAGGAACCGACGCATGCGGATCTATAACCAACCACTTGCTCGTCGGCACTTTTGTGTTAAGTGTACCCGGATTTACAATCATGGTGATACTGGTATATATGCATCCTGTGGTGTTGTTCTGCACTCACGTTTTTACAGCCAACAAACTGGTTTCTGTCGTTGTGGTGGATGGCGTTGTTGTGAGCCGTCCGTGCTGCTCTATCCCCAACTGCTGGGTCCATCTCCGTACCCCACAAGACCGTTTTTGTCCTACCCACTCTTCCCGCCTCAATCAATGTGCAATCAAGGGCTGTGCACGATCTGTCATGTCGGGTAGCCTTATGTGCGACATCCGTGCACACCAGGAGTCTGAAGCACTGCACACTCTGTGGGGCAAGTCTCGATTCCATCTGCATGAACACCTCGAGTGTTCACGGGCTATCCACGGGCGTCTTGCAAATGTCCAGGTTGGAGCTGATGATGATGCAGACGACGATGACGGAACACAAGCTATCGGAGAGGAGGAGTATGACGTGAAATTGGGAAAGAAGAAGAGGCTTCGTGCGCAGTTCACCCACAACTATACTCATTGTGAGGAGTTGATTGTCGCGCCTTGCGGAATGATTCATGCTCGTGAGACCATGCACAATGCTGAGGGAGTAGGAAGTGTTGCTGAATTTATTCGCCGTGTCTTCCGGGACCCAGAGACACGCCCAACACACGTGTTCTTTGATAACAACTGCCGACTCGCGCTGCACGTTCAGAACGATCCATTCTTTCAAGATATTGGCCTTTCTGTCGATGTCTTCCACTTTGAGTGCAAACATTCAAAGCAAGACACGTTCTGCCAAGAGAACTGTAACCCTGCTGCATTTCCAGAGCTGAAGACAGATGATGGGGAGTGGTACTTCAACTCTTCGGCTTGTGAACAGGTCAATTCGTGGTTCGGTAAATTCAATCCTATCACGTGAGGCATGAAGCCAGTGAAGTTCGATTTCTTCCTCGACGAGATGATCTTATGCAGGAATCAGGAGACCTTGAAAAGATTAGAGAAGACTGGCAAGAAACCCGCAGTTTGGACCTCGGACATGTAGTAGTACCTGTTGTGAACTATGGTGTATAAATGGTTCTAGGGTATTGCGAATAGTCAGCAATATTTTGTGTTCATGGCACCTCTCACTCCGCCTTAAGCCTGTCTTTGGGTTTCGCTCCCAACTTCTGGCCCTTACCGACGCCAAGCACCTTGCAGCGCATGTGCATCATATGTGAATACATGACCCACAGCCCTGCGAGAACCAGGAGTCAGCGACCAAATGCAAAATGACATGCACAACTCACCAGGCACCCAAATTGACACCATGCAAATTCAAGATGATGGGGGATTCTTAAGGTGGGTGAATACCAACCCTTGACGGCCTATACTCACTATGATTAGCTTGATGCGCGAATACTTCGCCTCGCTTGGTGACTCTGCGCATCCAGAGTCTGCAGATCCTTGAACAAGGGTGATAACACGCTTCCAAGAGCTACTTCTCATCTCGTTCCGGGAGTTCACTGTGATTTCTGATGAGACCATTCTCTCCGAACGTAGAAAGCACAGAAACAAAATCGTCAACAGCATTGAGTCCTTCTCTAAGCGCTCGGCAATCAGAAACTTGAAGACGCTCGAAAGATTTACCAAAGAGCAGGCTGGGTTCATATACGATGCTTTGTACAAGGCCATGTGTGAAGTTCCACCACCACCAGCTGTTGCTCCACCGCCATCGCTCTTGGCCACAAATGATGGGCACCAAGAACGAGTGGAGACTAGGATTGGTATACCGACTTTTGGGGAAAGCGCTCAACGATTCCCCAGACCAGGATGAGGCGCGAGGAGACCTGTGTTACGAACTAGGATGGTTCTGACGTATGGCTACTCGATAAGAGTAATCGGCCAAAGTCGGTTCAAGGCTTCGGCGTATACCGAAGTTCAGTAGTTTCTAAGACAAGTCTAGGAGAGTGTCCTCGACTTGAATTACGTTCAATCCGACTTAAGATTGGAGGTCTTAAGCGAAGGAAGTTCCAGGTAAAACCTAGTAAGATTAAAGTAAAGAACTACATAGTACAGGACGAGTTTATATAGTAACCGGTAACGACTTTAGGGCCGGCACGATGAGGTCATAGAGATGAGTCAAAGATAAGACGAGTCAAAGATAACAAGAATAGGTCATCTAGCGACGGCAAGATGCGATCGTGATGTAATACGATGACGTAAAGCAAAGAAAATGAATAGAGGCGTACTTGACTGTAACATTACCCCGTTGTTATTGTTGAAGTCACCGATTTCAACAATCAAAGTTATCGTAAGCGTCATAGTTGTCACGATCACCTGCGCATTGAACGAACATTCTCTCATCTTCTTCGACTAGAGATCTGCTCCAAGGCGGCGTCCTTGTCAGCCTCCCATTTAGCGAGAGCCTCATAGAAGCCTTCATCCGTCCATACTAGTGGAATAGGTTTCTCGCCTTTAAGGTCTTTACAAAAGACCGAAAGATGCCCTGGTGCGAGGTTACGACATACGCGGCAGAAATACGTTGGGCAGTTCTTGTGACGATGGCCGAATTCTTTACAGTAGCGACATTTGAAATTATCAATGGGTTCGGTCTTCACGATGGTGACGGAGGATGATTGCGGAGGCGGGGATGGTGTTTTGGAGCGCAAAGTGCTGTTACGCGAGGGAGGGGAGACGGAGATCTCTCGTTTGAAGGGTCGTAGACGAGTGGGGCGTGGGCGAGGGGCGGTGGTTGCCGGGGCAATCGTAAGAGCAAACGGTACGACTGGTACATCAGAAGGAGTGATAGCATCAGGCGTATGCTCAACGGGAGATAATGTCTCAACCGGAGGAGGGATGGGAACTGCGACGTGAGGGGATGGCGGTCTGGCGATTGGGTTTGTTGCAATTCGTTCAGTGACGATATGGATGGCTTCTCCTAACAACTTCTTTGGTAGAGGCAGGCATGAGACGTATCGCAGAGTTGCGAATGCGAATATGAAGATGACGGAAAATGGCTTTGAAGCGTTGGTCATTCTCGCTTTCACTGAGAAGGCCTGCGGTACGCTTAATGAGGTTGGCGGCGCGAATAATGTTAATGAGGAGCGTGCTAGAGAGGGCCCCTTGTTCAGCAAGGAGGCGATCTATCTCGATAGCGTATTGCTCAGAAAGGAGGGCGGATTCAAATAGCGTGTTGGTTTCGATATCGTCAAGGATGGTGAAGTAGTTTGGCGATTCGATGGTTTCGGTCAAAGTGACGGACGTTGTGGATGGGGAAGTAGCAAGGGTTTCGGACATGTTATCAATGGTTCTGACGAGAATTTGGAGTTGTAAGAGGCAAATCTGGAGAGTGCGGAGTTCTAAGAAAGACATCTTTCGCGACGATTCTTATATCTGATGAGCTTTCTTATAAGCAGCGAGGATTGCAGGAGGCGTTGCCAAGATTTTCTGTGGGAATCCATTCGTTACTGGCGGATGAATATCCTTTCCAGGATACGAGATAGCGTCTTCGTTTACCCGTGCCCTTGTGCGATAAGATTGCTTCGATTTCGTATTCTTCTTCGTTATCGATGATGTCAGGTGGAGGATCAGGGAAGTTAGGACCGTGGATTTCGGTCTCATGATAGGACGATAATTCGGAAGCATGGAACGTGGGGTGAACCTTCCATTGCTTTGGTAACTGGAGTGTGAACGTGATTGGTGATAGTACCTGCGGTGACTGGTAAAGGGGCCGTAGCGTTTCGGAGCGAGTTTTCGTGATGGTAACTGCGTGATAAGATTCTTTCCAGATAACCAAACCTTATCGCCAACTTTCCACGGTTGGTACTTCTTTCCGTATGATCGTGCAGCCATTCGCTGCATTGCAAGATTGTGGCAAGAGATAGCTTCTTCTCGTATTTTCTGAAGGAGACGAAGTCGTTCTTCTGCGGCGGGAACAGTGGAGTCTGGGAGTACGTGGGGGAGAGCCTGTGGCTCGTATCCCATCATGAGGAAGAATGGGGATGCGTTGCGAGAGTCGTGTTTGCGATGGTTGTGAACGAATTCGGACATGGGGATATGTTCAACCCATTCTTCTGGGTTGTTACGGCAATAGATTCGGAGATAGGTTTCTAGTTCTTGATTTAGACGTTCGGTTTGACCGTCTGTTTGCGGATGATAAGCGGTGGAAGCGGCGATGTCGTATTTCAAAAGTTTTGCAAGGGCTTTAGAGAATTTGGATACGAACTGTGGGCCTCGATCTGAGATTACTTTCTCGTGGAGCCCGAAGCGGCGATAGACGTATTTGAAGAATTTCTTTGCTATGCCTTCTGAGGTGATAGTCTTCGTACAAGGGATGAGAATTACCCCCTTCAGTAAGACCATGGTCTACCACGACCATGATAGAGTCGAACCCGTTACATGGGGGAAGATCGGTGATGAGGTCGACAGAGACTTGGGAGAACGGAGTAGAGACCGAAGAAGGGATGGGAACCAGCGGAGGTGTCGTTGGATGGGTATCGGATTTCATTTGCTGACAAAGGGCGCAACCCTCAACGTATTTACGGATGTAGGTCCCCATAGATGGCCACCAGAAGTCGCGTTTAACCAGTTCTTCGGTTTTAAAACGGCCGGGATGTCCTGCTGTGGCGTGGTCATGGGTGCGTTCTAAAATAGAGTGGCGTCCGGCTGGACGGACATAGGCACGATCTTTGTAGAATAGGACATCATCTTTAATCGTCCAATCAGAGAGAGCCGACTTCATGGGAGGAAGGCAAAGGCCGTTCAAGGCATCGGAGGCGGCTTGGAAGATGGGGTCGGTATCATCAGGATCAGGGTTCGCAAGAGTAGTCATGAGCTCTTGATCAAGAAGGCGAATAAACATGGAATCGGGGAGGAGTGTCATATCTTCGTTATCGATGGAGTCGGGTGCATGGTCAGGTCGGCGTGATAAGGCATCAGGTGTGACAAGCTTGGTCCCTGGGACGTGGTGAAGTTCGATATCGTAACAAGAAAGAAGGAGTTGCCATCTGGCTTGGCGACGGGTTAACTTTTGCGCGGTTCGGAAATAGAGGAGGTTTTTGTGATCGGTGAAAACAATAACTGGATGGGGGTTTCCTTCTAAATAATGACGCCATTCTTGGAGTGCACGGATAACGGCTAGGAGTTCTCGATCGAAGATTTGATAATTTCTTTCAGCGGGGTTCAGGGATTGAGAAAGATATCCGCATGGATGATATACGCCATTCTCGTCGGTCTGTAGTAAGACAGCACCCGTTGCAACAAGGGACGCATCAGTGGCCACTGCGAATTGTCGAGATGGATCAGGGTTACGGAGGACAGGCTGTTTTAGGAAACACTCTTTTAGCATCGTGAATGCATTTTGACACGATGAAGACCAAAGGAAGATGTTATCTTTCTTTGTAAGATCAATAAGAGGTCGTGCGATATCGGAATAATGGGGAATGAAGTTCCGGTAGAAGTTACAGAAACCCAGGAACGACCTGGTTTCTTTAACAGTGGATGGGGTTGGCCAATCGCGGATTCCGTCAGTCTTAGCAGCGTCCATAGCTACACATCCAGGGCGAATAATCATGCCGAGGTATTCAACTTCTTGCGCGTCAAAGGTACATTTCTCTGGTTTCAAGAAGAGTCGTTCGTCTCGGATCTTCGTGAGAATTCGACGGGTACGAGCGTGATGTTCATCAAGGTTATTCGAAAAGATGAGGATATCGTCCATATAAATCACCAACCATCCTTCATTGATTTCTTGTTGGAAAGTGCGGTTCATGTATGCTTGGAACGTGGCCGGGGAGTTGCAAAGCCCGAAAAACATGACATTCGGCTCATAGAGCCCGAATTCCGTGGTGAACGCAGCTTTCCATCTATCATCAGGGTGAATGCGGATATTATTATAACCGGATCGGACGTCCATCTTGGTGAAATACTTTGCTCCATATAACCGTGCGACAAGGGATAAAGGAAGCGGCAAAGGGTAGGCGTTTTTGATCGTCCAATCGTTGATATATCGATAATCTTGACAGGGTCGGAGATCTCCACTCTTCTTTCCTACGAAGAAGAAACCGCTGGCTTGTGGCGACTTGGATTCTGAGATAAAACCTTTCTTTACGTTTTCGTCAATGAATGCTTTGACAGCGGTTCGTTCGGCGATAGAGAGGGGATAGATCTTCGACGTTTTGGGGATGAATCCGGGTTTCGTTTCAATACGATGGTCGATACCGGGTCGTTCAGGAGGGAGTTGATTAAGACCGTCTTTAGCGAAGATGTCAGCGAAGTCGTGGAGATAGGAGGGTACGAGTTCTTCGAAAGTTTTCTTCTTCTGTTCCAAGCCCGCAGCTAGAGCGAACTGCTGAGCTTTATTACTAACTTTCGCGTATTCCGTAGGCCGTGGCAAAGGTTTGACCGTGGGTTTCTGTTCAGAACGACTGGTACCGTCCGGGGTCAATGGCGTATCCATGGTAGTATTTGAGATTACCCGGAGCTCGGATGCGTCAATGGAGTATTCCACCAGAAATTCGTCATCATCTAGGTTATACGTAGAGACTTCTCGCACTGGTGCGGCAAAGTTCTCTTGCGTCCAGACATCTTCCTTGGTATCAAAAGTCTCATCGTCTTCGTCGGGGATGGGGAGTAGATCAGGTAGTGAATCAATGGTGGGATGGACGTGTGGTGCTTCCTTGTCAACGATTTCTTCGATGGTTGCCTTAGGATAAACGACAGGGGTTTCGGCGATTGGTGCTTTCTTAAGTTTGGATTGCTTCCAAGTCCGATCTATGGGTTCTTGTCGAAATAGAAGTGGAAGGTCGTTCTTCTTCCTTTCTTTGTCGACTTCTTCTTCAACTTGATTACTCTTTTCCGTTCGAGAAAGGATAAGAGTTTCGGCTGTCCAGTCAATAACCGGGTTCATAGCCCGTAGCCAGGGGATCCCTAAGAGAATCTGATCTCTCCTGCCAAGACGTGTGACGTTAAACTTCCCTATCATAGTTCGTTCGTCAATCTTGATGGTGAGAACGCAGTATCGGCGTATAGCTCCGCTTTTGGAATAGCTTCCATCGGCAGTAGTAACCCGGAAAGGTTTACTAAGGGCGTGGGTTCGGATCTTGTATTTCTTGACGAAGTCTTCTGAGATAAAGGTTCCGGCTGCTCCGGAATCAACAACTGCGGTGGTTTCAACGGTTTTCAGACGTGTTTTCGAAATGAGGGAAAGGGGAACCCGAAGTTCTTTTCGTTCACCAACTTTTCGTACAAGTCTTATGGGTACATCGAGAGATACTGACGTTGATCCAGTCTCCCATATCAAAAATCCTCGTTGAGACGGCGGACTTCTGCTTCTTCTTCTTCATCATCACTGCTTTCTACTTCTTTGCGGCGTACCAGAGTCTTTCCTTTCTTCTTCTCTGGACAGTTCTTAAAAAGATGCCCGGTCTTGTGACAGGTGAAACATTTTCCGGTGCGGAAATGTTCCGCGTGTTCTTCTTCAGAAAGCCGATCGATTACCATAGCATTGGGATCTCTAGATGGCACGTATCGGTTGGATTCGAAGTTCTTCTTCTTCTGGGGTTGGTTGCGCGCTCTGATAGCGTTCAGGTGGAGGCGTGAGTTGTCGAGATTGATACAGGTGGAGAGGACAACTTCAAAATCGTCCGAGACATCACCCGTGCCGTAGAGGCGAGCAAGCAGTCCTGGGTGGAGTCCGTCTAAGAAAAACTGTTTCTTGGCGACGTCACCTTGAATTCCTGCCCGTCGTGCGAGCATCAAGAACTCCGAGATGTAATCTTGAAGTTCGGTTCCCTGTTTAAGGTTACGGAGCTTGGCTAGCGCTGTTCCCGAGGGATCAAGCGGCCTAAACGCGCTTTTGAAGTCGGCAAGGAATTCAGTCCATGTACCGTATCCTTTAACAAGGCCTATGGTGGTTTTATTGTTAGGGTCTTGCGCTTGTCTGAGGAAATCTTCCTTCCAGTAGCGTGCGTTCCCTTCATTCATGAAAGAGGTTACAAAAATGATCTTCTGTTTGTCGTCGACGTAGATTTTCTCGTTAATATCAAGATAGGATTGGCATGACAACAAGAATCCGTCGGATTTATCTCTATCCCCGTCAAAGACCGGGGGAGAACCGATTTTGATTTCAACGGGTTTCGTAGAAGACATCGGGGGGTTCAAAGGTGGTAGGGGTGGTACAGCACCTAGGTTCAAAGCGCCAAAGATTGGTGTCAAGGACGTCAGCTTGTTAGCTTCTGGGGACCTGGGGTTCTATCTGTCGTGATGACCAGGATTTGTTCAGTTCTGGGTTACAACGCGTGATGGCGATGTATTTGTAGAAGACTTTAATCTTTTGTTACGAACTAGGATGGTTCTGACGTATGGCTACTCGATAAGAGTAATCGGCCAAAGTCGGTTCAAGGCTTCGGCGTATACCGAAGTTCAGTAGTTTCTAAGACAAGTCTAGGAGAGTGTCCTCGACTTGAATTACGTTCAATCCGACTTAAGATTGGAGGTCTTAAGCGAAGGAAGTTCCAGGTAAAACCTAGTAAGATTAAAGTAAAGAACTACATAGTACAGGACGAGTTTATATAGTAACCGGTAACGACTTTAGGGCCGGCACGATGAGGTCATAGAGATGAGTCAAAGATAAGACGAGCCAAAGATAAGACGAGTCAAAGATAAGACGAGTCAAAGATAACAAGAATAGGTCATCTAGCGACGGCAAGATGCGATCGTGATGTAATACGATGACGTAAAGCAAAGAAAATGAATAGAGGCGTACTTGACTGTAACAACCTGGACGACAGTTGTCGGGAACGGGGAGCGCACAAACCCAAGGAGAACATGCAAGACTTCAAGGGTGGCGAGCGACTGCACAGGTGCAAGGGCGGAGAATGTGGATTTGTATGTTGCAGGAACATATGGATGTAAGAAATATGCGAGAGTGGTAGAGAAATGGTTCGATTTGTATGTTGCAGGAACATATGGATGGTAAATGACATAGGCCCATCCTGCTGCAGATAATCCATTGAACGCAATTAAATAGAATCGCACAGCGAGAGAGGGTCCTGTAAATCATATCCATGAGGTCAATTTGTAAGTTTCAAGTGTATTGTCGTGTTACTTACCTCATGAGCAGGCACTTGGTAGTTTATGGTCGTTACTTGGCATCTTGGATCCTGGTCGTTGCACTTGGAAGGCTCACTGATAGGCAATATACCTATGGTCCCTGTAAGTAGCAAGTAGTACATGAGACAATTGACATACCTTAATCAAGAGTAGCAGACGAGTTTTGTTCAACGAACCTGGTGGTCTGCAGATGCGGACGCGCTGGAGCTAGACAACAACAACAACAACAACAACAACAACAACAACAACAACAACAATTGATGAGAAAGAGGATGGTACTGAGTCTAGCGGGCATCCATGTGAGTCATACAGGAGATGCGGGAGACATGCGATTTAATTTACACGAGATGAGCTCAGACAAAGAGGTACGAGATGAAATAAGACAGAGGTGTGAGACAAATTATGTGAGACGAACTATGTGAGACGAACTAAGACAAACAAATGCGAGACGAGATGTACAGAGACAACATGACATGAGATGGACCTCTAGAGACACAAGATGAAGACAATGAGATGCTCAAGGAACTCAGGACCGGGTCTCTGCCATGAACTTCGACCATAGACCATCTTCTGTTCGCCCAGCCTTGATGAACTTATCCATAACATTGGCGGGCGCATCCGCCCAACGCTTCTTGTGAGTGTGATATGTTGTGCTAGCGTAAGGGACCCCAAACATCTTCTGGAACACCGCACCAACACCTTGGCGACGCTTGCTGATTGTCTCACAGAGTCTGAAGCCCTTGGCAATATCACATGTGTAGAAATCACCTGGCCGGACCTTGACATCATTGTCCACGTCAATCGGATCAGAGAGTGTGCCTCCAGATATGGCTGCATGAGCTGTCGATGAACCTACCAAAGGGCGTGCAGTGGCCCGTTCGAGTGGTTTACGACGAGTACGAGGTGGGGGTGAGCTAGAGTCCACACTGGTCGTGGGACTACGTGGACTGCGACGGCGGACATTTCGTTTGAAAGGTTTGGGGGGCGGAGACGGTGTCCCAAAAGATGGAATTGAATATGCTGAATATGATAAGGAGGGCTGTCTGGAATGAGGTTCAGCAGGAGGAGGACTAGGTGAAGTTTCCAATGGAGGTTTGGCTTTACCCTTGCCCTTTGATAGCAACAGGGCCTCGACCTCCAACTCAGACGGCGAGTTGCCCATCTTGACATTGTCCTGAGCGTAATGCGGCTGAGAATGCGAATGCGAATGAGCATGAAAGACGACTTCGTTGGGTGCAGGCAAAACGTTATGGTGCTGACGCAGCTCCTCACGGACTGCAGCACGGTCGGCAGCCAAGTGAGAGCGGAGGTTAGGTGGGGAGTCGCTGATGCTTCGGATACAGCTATCGAGATCCACACACTGAGTTACGTTTGGGTTCTTGAGGAGGACAGGCTGGCCTTCGACGACAGTGATAAGATAGCCTGGCTGTACACCTCGCCATTCTCGACGTCGATGGTTCCATACATGAATGATGGAGGCAGCACCTACCCCTTCGTCAACACCAGCAGTGGCCAGTCCCATCAGGGATATAACTTGGTGGTTTAGTGATAAGTGGGGCCAAGTAAATGACGATGTGCCCGACTGGAACTCGAACATGTTGGGCTGACCACCATCCTGTGAGCGTGATGATCAGTGTCTACTGCGTAGCAGAGAAGGAGCGACAAACCTTTACCCAGGAATACACAACTGTATGGTACCATGCACGATTCTGCGCCTCAATCTCGTCAGCATGGCGCTGACATTGTTCTTCCTCACGTTTGGATGTTTCTGCTAGTTGCATTGTGAAGACTTCAGGCATTTGCATATGATACCGAGGGCCACTGTCTGGGGAGGCGCGATTGCATGCGGGCGCAGTTCGAGCCCTCGTCGGCTTCTTTGCTTGCAGGTTATCAGGCAGATGCTCGATGTGAGTCTCGATAATGGGCGCCGCAACACCTGATACATCATGCAGATGAGGAGATGGTGAACGCGACAGGCATTCAATGGGTGCAGGGTCGTCGTCATCTGGCAGCCCAGCCACAGCATCTTGATCATCTTCGAGCTCCAACCCTTCAGCGCCGTTTGGATCGCCAACATGGTTGAAAAGGTGGCAGCCACCCAGGCGCCTGCAGTGTTTGCGGCAAGTTGACCGGGTACAGTTCTTATTGACACAGGTGCTGCTACAGCCCACAACCATGCACACACGGCGCTTCGGTACTGGTAGGCGGGCACTTCTGGTCTGCTGATGAGTATGAGTATGAGCGACGGCTGCCGGAGAGGACCTTGGCGATCCGAAGTGCACAAAGTTGCACTTCGTACCATCCTGACTAACATCAAAGCACTATGCGTCCCATCAACACATTGAAATTGAAGGAGATGGAGGAAAGAACTTACAATTGCTTGCCAACGGCCGCAGTTTCTATGTTCATTAGATTTGCACACCGTCCATGGACATGGTCTATCGCATGTTGTGCATGAAACTTCATAACTAGGATGTGGGCCTGTGGGTGGCTGAACTGCAGAGTGTGGCATCACAAGCGTCTGGCCAGAGTAACAGTGTCAGGAGAGCGACAAGAGAGAGACAAAGACGCAGAGTGATGAGAGAGAAGTGAAAGGTGGCGGGTTGATATTGATAAACAGGGCCCTTTTATATTCCTGAGGGCAGGGGCATACTGTGGGCGGGGGCATACTGCCAGAATGCCTTAGGACAGCATGAAAGACGGCTCCAGGCTGCCTGTAAGTTGAGCGGCACCCACAGGAATTCATATAAACTAGCAGTGAGTAAGGAGTGCCGCCTGCACAAGATTGAACTCACCATGCCTCTAGGCCTGTTGTCAGCACAGGGTAGAGCAGAAAGTCCGTTAGCATAAACGACGCCAAGTGACAACAAGCAACGAGCAAGGCGTGATGCACAACTGGCAAAGCGACACCCAAAGTGTGTGGAATTTCCGACGGAGAATATATTCCGAGATTTCGGAGAATTTCCGAGGCGTCCCCGATTGCCAAATTTGGGGTGGGACAGACGGGACGGTACAGACAGGTGGGACGGGACGGACGGTACTTTCCAAATTTCCGGTATATACCAACTTCAAAAACTGAACTTAGGGTTTAAATATTTAATTATGTAACATTACCATATTCCAGACTCGGTGACATCGATAATTGATCCATGGCGCCTTCTCTTGCTTTGATTCGTGCGCGGACAGAGGAGGTATTTGGACGCAGGGCTTGCCTTTGGCAGCTCAGAGTTGCTGAAGCTTTTCTGCTCCGAGATCGTGATATTATTTGCATTGCTGGGACTGGGAAGGGCAAAACTCTTACATTCTGGATGCCTCTACTATTTGATTCCACCAGTATACAAGTCGTGATTACTCCTTTGAATTTACTTGGCGAACAAAATGTCATGGACCTCAAAAGAGTGGGAATTTCAGCTATATCTATACACACAGACACTGCTACAGCACATAACTTTCAGGTCAGCAGGATGGTATCAATAGTACCTAGTAATTAATGATCATCTATGTACTAGGCAATAGAGAACCTCGAGTATCGAGTCGTCGTTATCAGTCCTGAACAGGTTATGAAGGATGGCGGAGGATTCAAGAGGCTACTCAAAAATCCTTTGTTTGTGTCACACCTGATGGGTGTGGTTATAGACAAAGCTCATTGTGTCAGCTCATGGGGAGAATTTCGCCCAGAATACAAGGAGCTTGGTAGACTAAGATTCATCCTCCCCCTGGACATACCATTTCTTGTGACGTCTGCGACTCTCTCCTCGTCCATGCTGCAAGATGTCACCAGACTTCTCCATCTACAGAGCGGGGACAAACTCATCACTATTCATCGAAGTATAGATCGGCCAAATATAAATATTGGAGTAAAGCCCATCCAGGGAACATACCAAAGCTTTGCAGACCTCGCGTTCCTCATTCCCGACCAGTGGAAACTCAGAGACCCACCCCCTCCTAAGTTTCTCATCTTCTTTGACAATATAAACAATTATATTGAGGCCGCAAAGTTGCTGCGGTCGCGTTTGCCACAAGAATGTCAAGATAAGGTCAAGTGGTTTAACGCTGACATGACGACGCACTTTAAACAAGATGAGGTGAAGAATTTTACTGAAGGAATCACATGGGGGTTTTGTACAACAGAATCCTTTGGAATGGTAAGTTGAATTTAGGGATATTATTGATCAACAAGCTTACCGCAACACAGGGTATTGATATCAGTGATATTCGCATTGTGATTCAGTGGCGGGCAACGTGGTGTTCGCTGGCTACTATATGGCAGCGCTTTGGTCATGCAGTTCGAAATATGTCGTTGGAGGGGACTGCGATACTATTTGCTGAGAAGGAGTACTTTGATGTATATAAAGCAGAGAAAGAGAAACGGAGAGTGGAGCGAGCAAAAAGAAAGGTTACATCTTCAAAGAAATGGCGCATCGTTACTACCGGCGAAAATGGTCCTGTTGCCGCCGTGAACATTCCAACAGGAGAAGAGAGATCTGATGGATCTGATGACGAGATAGAAATTAGCAGCACTCACGTTCAACAAACTCACGCCGGTGATACAATGGATACCTGGCAATTACGGGCGAAGATGGAGGTGCCTAGAGAAACAAATATTAGCCAGCCTCAACGGAAGACCTCCCAACAAACTGGACTTGAGCCAGCTATGGACTACTTCATTAACGCTGATATGCGTCCTGGGATTGGTTGTCGTCGTAAGATACTGAACGTGTTTTTCAAGAATGAGGAAGCGGGTGAGACTTACTTTATCTGGCTTACTTCAAATTCCCCCGCCTGATTCATTGTTAAAGAAGCTGATCATCACCAATGCGATGCTCTTGAGACCCCGGGTTGTCTTCGGTGTCTCATCACACAGTCCAACATCTGTTGCAATATTCACACTCCAGCGTATTTTGTCCCATTCATCTCCACAATCCCAAAACAACAAAAACAACCTTCACGCTCGCGCCTTGTCAAGTTTTCTATGGCCATCCTTGATTTGAAGCTGACTGATGCGCTTGATGACTGGCGGGAGGAAACAACTATCAAGCTCTATGGCCATGCTCATTTGCATGATCTTGGACCTGGGCTCATAATGCCTAATAGTATTCTAGATCCCATTGTTGAATGCGCGCATTTTTCCAAGATCAGATCCACAGCCGACTTGGTCAAAGAAACTCGTTGGTCAGGAGCCAACAAACATGGAGATGAGATTATCGCATTGATTCACCAAGTCTGCCCACTTCCTACGCCCTTGACATCAGCCCTGCTACAGCCTCGTACAATCTTGTCAAATGCTAATGCAAGTACATCGGTCCCTCATAATGCGAAACGAAAGATGTGATGTAGTGCTTGTGGGGAGGAGGGCCATAATGGTGCGTGCTTTACTAGTGGCTAGTGCTTGATATATACTTACTAGCACTATCTATCAAGCTCGTAATCGCCACTGTTGAGAGCATCCTGCAAACCGATCATCTTCTTCCAAGGAAAATGCTGGCACAACCTGGATTATTATGCCACCGCATACAAGTTTATAACTCTCCTACAACGTCTTCAGTTGTAGGTTGCTCTACCTCATCTACTATTTTACCATCGTCTTCTGTACCTATTCCCTTCCATCCTTTCTCAAATAGCTCGTGCCCCTTGTCAAGAAGATCTGGGACTAAGTATGTGCTTTGTTGTCCGGGTGTATGAATGTGTGGAGATGATGATCGCATCTTCATTAGTAGTCCTTCAAATGTTTTTTTCATATCAGGCATAGCCTGCAAACTCATTCTCCCAGTGTGCATGAAGTTAGTTTCGATGACGGAATGGGCATTTCGATAGACTTCAACCAGAGGCGACTCGAGAATGACCCTCGCGACACTATGGTTTGAGCCGTTCCCTCCATTTTTCACTTTGATGAATAGATTGTTGAGCTCTATGCACCAGTCAATGGCACGGAAGCGTTCAGGTTTTCCGGTTGGGTTGACTAGCCAATGGTACTGTATTGCTTTCCTGTCAAAATATTAGTACTTGAGTCAATGAAAAGGTGTGCTTCCTACTGCAAACCCGCGGGATAATTGAAGTGCAAGTTTATCAAAAACTCTGTCATGCATGTGGCATATTTATGTTTGCCCGTTGCCTTGAAGATCAATGTCCATGCGATGATGCAGGTTTCAACGTGCGCAATGTCTCCGATGTTCATCGCATAGGATAGCTCCTCATACAATAGAAAATACTTGTTAATCAGCAAGTTGTTCTCGTACTGTTTATCTCGTCGTTCATCAGGCTGCCGACGAGCTCGTGTTAGCTTGTAGGTAGCAATATATTCTCGAGCGAGTCGGTTGGCAATCTCCTTTAGTTCCTCTAGGCTCAGTTTTAGAATGGCAAAGTCATCGAGCGTTTTGTGAGCATTGTTTATTTTTTCAACTTCTATCCGCCAACAATCCAAACGCCGACAGATCCCATCATGGACAATGAGCTGGTGCATCATCTGGAACCCAGGCTTGGATCCGAAAATCCCTGTTTCACGTGGCTGCAGCTGTGCAATATCGTGCATCAGACTCGTCTGGTCCTGACGTGCTGACATTGGCCGGATTAATGCCCTCCATATTGCATCTGCGGCTGCCATTTTCAAGTGGAACAAGCCAGGCATGAAGACTATGTGTTGGAATCGCCGCCACGGAGTTGTTTCAATGGACCGACGTTGCTGCATCGACGAAATGTGTTCGCCCATGCCCAGATCTCCATGGACAAGCACCACATACTCTGTAACATCAGGCGACTTGCCATCCTCCACATCCGCTGGATCAAAGACACCACCTTGCGCCATCAATCTCTCAATTGCCTGAATGTTTCCTGCGACCGTTGAGTTGTTGACATCCATTGCCGAGGCTGGTATGATTGGAGTTTTTGCAACTGGTATTTGTTCCAACACCTGGGGGGCTGATATTTGAGACTGAAACTGTGCAAAATATGGCGGACCATGATGGCAAAGGTCATGCAAAAACTTCCAGGAGTTAAATTGGTCGCATCGAGAGAGACCTGAAGAATGCGAGACATCTTGGTGTAGTGACAGTAAGTCTTTCCAGGTTCGTCCAATGGAACAATCACTTAGAGGGTTGAGTCGTGATTTTCGCCACAGTTCATAGGAACATTTTAGGTCATCACGAGTGACTCCATGTTGTAGGGGAAACAGTAAGCCCGATGTCAGATGTTTCAGAGTGTCGGTAGATTTTTCTGCAGTGGGAACAGTGGACTTCAGATTGATGTCGAAATTATCGTATGCATACGCCGCTAGAAGTGTTTGTCCAAGATATTGTAGCACATGACTTGATTCTGCAGATAGCGAACGGACTGTATCATGAATTGCATCAACGGATATCAAGAGACCCATCTTCGCCATCGTTTCAATGACTTTCTCCGGTGCATGTGTTGAATGCAAAAATATTCTGAGTATGCTTGACAGCAAGTTGGCTTTCTGATTTGTGCTTTTCTTTAGAAGCGAAACAATTACTACTTTCCACTGGACGAGGTCTGTTTAGATCAAGCACAAATTTTATCTATATTTTCCATACCAGCATCATTGTTGCACTATGTTGAGATGCGAGGCGTTCAGCTCTCGATATACAATCACCAGTGATGCCTTCTATAACACCTTCTAGGTCATCTACTTGAGCCCAGTATTCTGAGTCCTCAGCTTCTTGCACATCCGATACCAAAATTCCGATCTCCGTGTGCCCTTTGCTTTCGATTTTCGAGACTTGAAGAGCTCTCGCGGACAAAAGGGAATCAAGCAGGGCCCATAGCACTGGTGCCTCTCCCGCGATCTGTAGAGCCATATCATCAATTTGGAAGCCCTCTATTTGCTCAGCTTTCGCATGCACAGCGCTAAAATGCGACCCATTCTCCACTTTTGTGAGCTCTTGAACCTCCCTTGCACATTCTGCGCGAATGGCATCCTTGGCCCACCCAATTAAAGGGTTATATAGATTCTGGTGTCGCGATAAGGTGCAGATAATGTTACCTATGTTGGCCAGAAGGTCAACAACTGCAGGGTGGTTGGCAAATTGAGGTACTGTGAGGATCGTGACGAGGAATTGTGAAAGACTTCTGTCTCCATCAAACATATCGAGGACGCTGCAGTATGTTTCCATATAGAGTATAGATTAAATATTTAAACCCTAAATTCAGTTTTCGAAGTTGCCAGTTAATTTTCAAGGTCCGAAGGGTTTGCTACGGTGGCTGAACATTATTTACAAATGTTTTCTGCCAGCTGCTGTGGAGAGAGAACGAGGGATAAGGTTTGGGCTGCTTTTGGACATTTCAAAGTGCACGTGATTTTATTTTATTTTTTTCTATGTACTCGGATGCAGCCCTCTTCTCTCGACACCGCGGATGGGAAGGAACCTGGGCAAACCTAGACACTTCGATTGTTCCTTGAGATGATGTAAGCAAAAAAATTATTTAAATATCGGTGCGCCTACAGAGCACAACAGTACCACCATATCAATCCCACCACCCCCACGTCCTACCCAAAACAAACACAGCTCCAAGACCCGTCAGCCAAGAGACACTAAGCACGGCCGTCGATTCAGCTTTGCGTGCATCCACATTCCCGCATTCATTCGTGACCGCAGTCTCGTCGCAACCACTATTCAGGGGAACAGTCGAGGTCCGAGTGTACGGTGCAGGTTTTTCTGTCAATCCCAATGGTTCTAAAAGGATATCAGGATATTCGGAGATGAATAGCAAAACTGCAGATGCGATATATGGATGCCTGATCGCTGAAAGTGTTTCAGCCGTTCAGGAAATGTTGTCAATAAGAGGCGAATGACTTACACCAGATATTGATTCCTATCAGAGCATGTGAAACACAGGAGAGGGCAGTGCTTGAATTGGAATCCGAAGTGCTCAAGGTAATTCTAGCAGTGCCCTGCAATTTGGAAGTGGCCGAGAGAACAGCGCCCAAAATTTTGGAAGGCCCCCAGATTATAGCGCCCCATAATTTAGAAGGGCCCCAGAGAATGATCCTCCACAAGCTAAAAGCGCCCGAGGGAATGATACCCCACAAATTTGAGGCGCCCGAAAGAATATTGTCCCGCAATTTGGAAGCACCCGAGAGAATAGTCCCCCACACTTTGATCGAGTGGATGCCGAAAAGGTCTAAGTCTCTGTTAGATCGTCTGCGAAGAAATCAGATCCCTGTTGACGTACATGATTTCATATCTATGAGTCGCCGCACCATCTTCTGGTATTGCTGAAACATTGGCATGTCAGAGCTCCAGTAGCGATACATGGAAACCTGATGACTAGAAAATGTGCATCAAACCCATCAGTCAAGGCATGATAATCAAGAGGTGAATAACATACACTAATTGTTTAGCCTCTGTCAGAGCATCAGACGTATGAGAGAGGATATTGCCCGATACTGTCGGCCAGTCTATGTTTGGCAGGTGTATATCTTTCTTGGACACTTGATTGCTGAAACGAGTGTGAACCACATCAGTAAGAGGCATGCATAGTCAAGGGGCGAAGGACCTTAGTTGTTTGACCTCTGCTAGAGCATCAGACGCACAGGAGACAACAACACCCGACAGTTTTGACCAGTCAGGCAAATTCACATCAGGTTGGGACATGGCCTGATTGCTGAAACATATTGAGTTACCATCAGCAAAGGACATGCCAGCGTATAGTACTCATGGGGCCAATAACCTCATTTGTTTGACCTCTGCTAGAGCATGAGAAGCACTGGAAAGAACGGTACCCGACAATTTCGACCATTTATCTTCCTTGGGCATGGTTGGACCTGTAGGCGTGAAAGATCAATACCACAGGCTTTGCAGGAGCGACCAAGCGCTCATGATTATCGACGCCAGGCCTGGATCATCAACTGTTGAACTCCCACGAAACCAAATCCGAACTTGTCAGACTTACCCTTTTCACAAAGTCATATGCCATCCTAAATTTTACTGCATACGTCGAAGCCACACGTTTGGCATGTACATGGCTTACATGCAGCTCGATTGCGACGACAAGCGGGAAGACATTCACAATTTCACAACCGCGTGACCAATTCAGAGTCAGCAGCCCGCGTGAAGAGCGCAACCGACTCCGCGCGTACAGTTGGCTCAGCGAAACAGAATTTTGCAGAAGGTGGTTCATAATTACAAACTTACTCTGGCGTCGACTCAACACCATGATGATACTTCCGGCACTCAACAGTACCGGGGTCATGCACAACCCTACGAGGAAGCGCAAGTTTTACCGAGTATATGAACACGTCACTTAGTAAGTTAGTTTTGTCGATATGGCTCCATGATATTTTATGTTTCTGGCACTAGTACTGACTACAACTCCCTCCAGATCAACATACACGTTATCAACATTGCCCAACAACCCCATCAATTCCACCACCCCCACGTCCTGCCCAAGACAAACACAGCTCCAATAGCTGACAGCCAGGAGACGCCAACCGCAAGTATCAATCCTACTTCAAGATTTGTGTTCTCGTCATCATCAACGTTCGCTGATCTCAGCGCTTCCAAGTCATCGTAATACTCAGCAGCCCCGTATGACTGGAATCTTGCAAAGGTAGAGTCCTGTGGCACGTAACCACCATATATGTGGGACTGGTACTGGGATGCCAATGAATCTGTCATATTCGCGTTTAGGGTCATGAGACACCTGTAGTTGATTGATTGGGATGTACCTTTCGCTACGCCATATCTCCTGAAACCGAAAATATACAGGATGAACCTCCCCAAGAGCTTGAAGGGCCAGAGGATCAACCGAAGTGGGAGGAGACAGATATAAAGTGTTGTTCTCCCTGTGAGCCGTAGTGGCGTAAGTAAGATATCAGGACTGATAGAGATGCATATCAGAGCTCCAGCTGCGACATATGGATGCCTGATTGCTGGAGAGTATTTAGTATAAACAACGTCGTGAAGAAGAAACAAATAACCTACACCAGTTATTCACCTCTGTCAGAGCATAAATTGAAGAGGCGAGAATAGTGTCCCGCAATTTGGGCCAGTCAATGCTGGGCAAGTCTAGTAGAACTTGCTGGGACATGGCTGTATGCGTGTGCACTTGAAGGACAAGACCCCAACTAGACAAATTTGTTTATAAAGGCAGCGATAGATAGTAAGCGCCGAGTGACCATGCCAGTGGATCACGTTTCCATGAATCAACCCCGCGTTGTCATTCTCTAGTTTCTCTTGACAAGGGTTATATATATATACGCAATATCATCGGCTCTTCGGCCTGGTCACTCGCAAGCCTAATCCCTCACCCAACAGCACAATCTCCTGGTTTCCTGGTTCGGATGTTCGTCGCGTAACTTAGTGGTACTAGTAAGTAGCACGGTCTGGCAGGCGTTGTGAGTTTGATGAAAGTACAGATAAACGGACCTCAAAATGACTGATTAGTTTGAGCTATCATCGGTAGGCGTTCACTCACTTTAATAATGCGCAGGAACTTATGATAGCACGCATATACCTAGCAGGCCAGTGAGGACTTTCTTGCGCACGATTTCGTGTACAAAGACCTCGAGAGCATTGTTTCGCTGAGCAAAGGAGCACGAGTGTCTGATTTTTAGAAAATTAAGCCCATCAACAAAAGGTGTAATCAAGAATCGAATCACCTGTAAACACCCGTCTGGCCCATGACTGTCAGAATACAAGAAAGCAGCGCCTGACAATCAACGTTAGGCAGACCTAGACATTCCTGGCATATGGCTGCAGGCATGTATCAGTGGATCGAAACCACAGCCCTAGCCAACACCTGCACTCCTCTGTACTTTATACATCAGTCACGAACAACTAGCACCGGTATCCATCAAGCTCTTACAAAATCAACCCAAACGTTGACATTCTTTTGAGAATAATTACAGGCATACCTCAACAATGATCTCATTTCAACTGCATTCGATACAATACAATACCAGTCAGCTCATTGGAGCCACCACCCCCACTCCCGGCCTAAGACAATGGCAACTCCAGCATACGACAACAAGGAGATAAGCGTCGATGGGACTATCCACGTGGTGGCCCCAACTGATTGGAGATGCGAGAATCCAGAGCCTCGTGGCACAGTACCGCCGTAGTAGTTGGACTGATATTGGGATGCAAATGAACCTGTTATGGCGTGTTTAGTTAGCAAGTGGAAACCGTTGTTTTTGTGTACCTTGCGCTACTCCTTGATTCCTGAAGCCACAACACCAGACGATGAGCTGCACCGGGAGAAGACACAAGAACACCGCAATTGTTCCCGTTAGCTGCAATAATGTCATGAAAACTCCAATATTTGCGATCGCAGAGATGAATATCAAGGCTCCGGCTGCTGCATATGGATGCATGATTGCTGTAAAGTATGTATCAGTACCATATCATATATCGTGATCAAGAGCTGGATGACACCTACACCAGTCATTGGCTTCTGTCAAAGCGAACCAAACACTGGAGAGAATAGCGCCCCACAATTCGACCCTAGAAAGTATGCATCAAGCGCTCCCATTAACGAAGACGTAAAAATGAAGTAGCGAATGCCATACAACAGATGTCCAGCCTGTTTCAGAGCATTGAGAATGTCGGCCCATACTTTGGACAAGTCTATGTCTTTCTGGGACGCGGCCTGATTGCTGTGTATCAAACCGCGTCAGCGAAGGCGTAATAATCAAGAGGTGGATAACATACGCTTGGGAGAAAACACTGCCCGCCAATTTTGACCAGTCGGACACTATGATGATTGGAGGCATGAAGGGCAATACCACAGGTTTTGTGATAGTGTGGACGAACGACCGGCGTAAGTTATAACCAACGTCGAGCTCCCACGAAGCCAACCCTCAGTCATTTGACAAGCCAGTCATCTGTCGGAAGCTTAAATTTGCTGCGTGCCTCGAGGTCACACAGGTTTACCCATATGTAATACTGCATGCATGCAAATCGAGGTCGAGTTCGAAGCCAGAAGCTTGGCCAAAAGCAGGAATGAGCTAAACATTTATAATGCACCGCATTGCAGGCCTCAGCTGCATGTCAGATAGTGCATATCACAGAAAACATCTTCCGGAAAGTCAACTTATTAGTCAAGCCTCTATGTCGCATAGCTAAGGCCTCAGTCACAGCCAAATACAAGGGGAGTAAGGAGAAGCCGAGTATTAACTGAATGAGGACTGACATGCGAATCATAGTCAGTATCCTGCGCAAGGACCGCGTACTCCGCGTGTGTTACGATCTCTAAGCTGGCCGGTCACAAATTCACACTAGTACTGTTACGGAGCACCCGCCAAGTGCCAACACTACCCTAAAATTGTGTCAGTTACGAACAACCTACACCACGGCATCCATCAAGCCCCCACGGACCAACCCAGAACTCTGATTCATTTGACCATGGTGACATGCATACCTCAACAAGATAATCTCTTTTCAACTGCATTCGATACAATACAATACCAATCACCTCATTGGAGCCACCATCCCCACTCCCGGCCCAAGACAATGGCAGCTCCAGCATACGACAACGACGAGACAAGCGTCGAGGTGGCTGTCGGCATGGTGGCCCCATATGATTGCAGTTTCGCAAAATCAGAGCCTCGTGGCACATTACCATCGTAGCGACAGGACTGATATTGGGATGCAAACGAACCTGTTATGGCGTGTTTAGTTAGCAAGCGGAAAGCGCTGTATTTGTGTACCTTTTTCTACTCCTCGACTCCCGAAGCCAAGATGCCAGATAATCAACCGCACCGGGAGAAAACACAAGGTCCATAATGTAGTTCCTGCGAGCCGCAATAATGTCAGAGACATCGCAGGATTTTCAAACGCAGCGATGAGTAGCAAGGCTCCAGCTGATTTATATGGATGCCTGATTGCTGAACAAGTATGTGTCAATCCAACAGCATCGCGATTAAGAGTTGAATGACACCTACACCAGTTATTGACTTCTGTCAAAGCGAACAAACCGCTGGAGAGAATACTGCCCCAAAATTTGGTCCATAGGTTGCGAAACATGTCTAGATTTCCGTTAGATCGTCTGCGGCGTATCGAGTCGCATCAGCAAGGGCATAACAATCAAGGAACGGATCACATACACCAGTTGTTTGGCATCTCTCAGAGCGTCAGACGCACGGGACACAACATTGGCTGACAATTTGGACCAGTCAACGTCTTGTAGGTCTATATCTCTTTGAGACGCAGCCTGATTGCTGCGTGTTGAACCGCGTCAGCAAAGGTGTAGTAGTTACGAGGCAGAGAACATACACGCGCTGTTTGGCCTCTGTCAGAGCGTCAGACGCACGGGAGACAACATCGCTCGATACTTTAGACCAGTCGATGTTCTGCGGGTCTAGATCTTCCTGAGAAATGGTTTGACTGCGGAGGTATGCGTATACATTGTACCGCATCAGCAAAAAGGCTAGCAATCAAGGAGCGAATAGCCTACACTCGTTGTTTAGCCTCTGTCAAAATGTCGGACGCTTGGGAGAAAACACTGCTCGCCAATTTCGACCAGTCGGACATGTCTGGGTGTGAAACTTGGTCAACTTGAATACCAGAGGTTTCGTGATAGACGAACAACTGTAAGCGCTCATCGGCTCGGACGTCCATCAATCAAGCTCCCACGAAATCTAACCAAGCCTGTCGTTAATTATTTGACAACCCATCTTCAACTTGTGGCACCCGAAATTTTGCTGCATGCATATTGCATGCAGCTCGATCGAAGTCGAAAACCTGGAAGCTCCGAGTCCACGAGCATAAATGGACCAACAGTCCCATCTTATCGGCAACTGGATATCATGTGGTACACGTCACTGAAGGAATGCATCTGGAAAATCAAGCCTCTATGTGACCCTCAGCCGGGAAGATGAGCATGACTCTGACAGTGCGGACTAATTTAGAGTCAGCAGACCGCGATCGGACACTAAGGGTCTCGGCAGACTCCGCGCAGCTTCCGCGAGTCGCATGTTACAGACTCTAATCACAAGTCACGATCACATACATACTCATGTGTTATTTTCAACACAACACTTTCCAATACTAAGCAGTACGACGGGGTTACGCAAGTTGACGACAAATTTACGGGAACGCGTCGTTCTACTGAGTAGACGAATATGCCTCATACTTATAAGTTGCATCAGTTAATGAGTATAGCATCACAAATATTGCATGTTGCTGACACTGACTCAACTCCCTCCATCGAACATCCACAATACCGCCCACAGCATCAATACCACCATCCCCACGCCCTACCCAAGACAAACCAAAGTCCAATAAATGCTATGAAAGACACAGGAGCCGCAAACGTCGATTTTGTTTCGTCTCCGTCCTCAAGATCATCGGTAGCCCCATGCGTCACGGCCTGGAATTTTGAAAAGGTAGACTGCGGTGGTACGTAGCCACCATAACGACGGGATTGGTATCGGGCTGCGTATGAACCTTTCACGGCGCGATGAGACAAGTCCTGTAGTTACTACAGCTGTGACGTACCTTTTGCTACACCCTCTCTCCTAAAACCGAAAATATACAGGATAAACCTAGTCAAGAGCTTGAACGGCCAAAGGATCAACCGAAATGGGGAGAAGCATATATAACGCGCGAGCCGCAATGGTGTCAGAAGGAGTTCAGGAGTTCCAATGATGCAGAGTAGAGCTCCAGCTACGATATATGGATGTCTGATTGCTAGAGAAGGACGCATATTTTTTAAAAAACGATCAGTCATGAACAGTGAAGAAGAAGCGAAAACTTACACCAATCGTTGAACTCTGTCACAGCACAGCTAGTAAGACGGGTACTAGCGTCCCGCAACATCAACGAGTTGAGGTCAACCGGGTCTAGGTCTTGCTGGGACATGGTTGTATGCGGTCAAAACCATCCATAACTTAGGAAAGTGGTTTTATAGGCACCAGGGCAGGATAACTTTAAGTAAGCGCCGGGCGCCAATGCCATCATCAACTGACACCAACCGCGTTATTCGCTTGGCATATCGTGCTACTACTCTCCAATGTACGTAGGCTCGAACTTTACCTTTACTTATACGTCAAGGCCACACATTCACTCATGCAGTTCAGTGTTGACATTAACGATGACACAACATCTACTTGTCAAAAACTGGAAGTTTGGGTGTCAAAATGCAGACATATGTTAGACAGCCAGGAAGTCAGATCCATGACGGGGACGACAAGATACATAGTATGAACAAAGACAGCGATTGATACCTTGGAGTATTTGTTGGTGGGTGGGAATGCGTGAAAGGCATTCGCGTCATATGTGTGGCATCTGCATCGGAGGTGCTGGCGAGTTGAGATTATGTTTCGAGTGACAGATCAATTGAAACATTACACAACTCGCAAGCGCCAAACGTCAGGCGTGCGTAACAACCTGGACATATTTTGTATGAGCATCAATCGAGAATATCTATGTGATGTGGCACTTATGAGAACACCTGAGATGGGCGACATAACATACTAGCAGGGAGGCTTCGATAATACTCGGTCAACATATGCCCAAATCTCGCCCAGCTGGGACAGCGTAGTGACGTGACAAGAAAAAAGTTTGCATTGATTCGTTTGTAGATCGTCGCACTACAAACCTCGCAACGCAAACATGTGCCTAGAGAAGCGGGGGTTCTGAACAGAAAAACGAGGCACGCATCTTGTTCGTCTCGAGTCAACAATATTCCTGGGAAGCATGAGCCGAAGGGAGCTACTTTCGATGCTTCCAAGGGGCGACTACAAAACACATGATATTGAATTAGCAGGACACATACAAGCTCTGCTACCCAGGCAGAGACGGTGAACTGCACGATAGGGCGTCCGCGTGGCACGCAATGGTGTATATATCGGGCGCTGGTGAGTTAGGCCGTGAGGAGTATTACCGCACAACTTCATACCAGTGTCAGAACACGCAACCAGCCCGATATTTTGAAGTACCAGGATCTCGGTGGACACGCACTGATTGAAAAATAGCATCGACAGGCGGAGTGGGATCAAATCAGAAAAATATCATTTGAGTGCGCAGGAGCAGTGAAAGAGAGCCATTAAATAGGGCGCACCGTGATAATGGGTAGACGAGATATTGACGCCATAGTAACGCTATGACAACATGATCTCGCCCGTCTGCAGGCCTGGCCTGGCCTGGAACGTTGAACTTCATCTGGGTACAAAGACGAGAGGGAAAAAAACTTTGCAGTGGAGTATTTATAGGCCGGTGTATGAGCAGGGAATTTATTCTAGTCTCGAGTCAATCTTTCATGATGCAAGTGAAGGGTTGATATAAAAAGTCCACGAGGTGCTTGCAGCTTGGGGGCATCGGCTTGACCACGAAGAAGTTCTTCCAAGACGACTCGGATCCCAAGTTATCACGGAACGTTGTGATCACGGTGTAGCAACAGGATCCGACTCGGTTGAGTTCAAATAAGGCGCTTCCGTATCGCGTAAATGGGCAAGTAGAGACACGATATGCATGTACAAAGTCGAGAAACTCACAACTTGACTTTTATCTGTGTTTGTCGTTGTTTGGATACTGGGTCTCTCGGATTACTATCGGACCTTATAACTTTACCCCGAGACGGTCGTTAAGAACTGCTGCAGCTCACGTATATCCAGATTATACTCGGATCTTGGAGGTTCACTCCAGCGCGTTGTAGGGAGTAGAAGAAATAATATTCATTTGGCGAAAGCCCAACTGAGAGAAGTGAAGTAACGATAAGGGAGAGTGATGGTAATGATAAGTTTTTGGGCGAAGGCGCGCAGCGCTTTCCGGCCCCAAGGGAAAGAGTCCAAACCTAAGGGAAGAAGAGGTGAGCTGCGATTCCCATACACCAGGAGTCCGACGACGCATCCAGCGAAACTCGGGTGCCCAGTTCTTAGGAGATGGACGAGGGTGACTTACATCTGCGTGTTTCAGTGTTGCGATCAGCGCACTGATGGGAGGGTGAAACGAAGGAATTGTTCTTGGATGTTGGGAGTGGCTTGCATATATGGGGCCAGGATCTGGGCGTGCCTCCGCAGGTACACGAGGAATGCATCGCTTGCCCAGCGTCCTTTAACTTTGACGACGTCGAAAGGAATGTTCCGTAGGAGGTATTCTAGGGTGGAACCGATGCGGATGCCGTGGCCGTGCACTGGTTTGCGACCCGCAGCTCTGGTTGCAGATGCTAGTCTGTTCAGGAACTTTGTCTTGGTGAGAGGACGGTGGGAGTCTTTGAACCTGTAAGAGAATAGCGCGGCATTCGCTGGAGGGTCGTTGATGCGGATATGGTTGTTGAAGGCTTCTTCAGGGTCTGAAGGGCCGTGCTGTTGTGCCCAGTGCACGTCTTCTCCTTCTAATGCTGACTTGGTGCGCGGAAGGTGGAAATTCTTCGTTAACAGGTTCTGTCTGTCTCGGACACCTGAGACGTTGTTGCGGGTGACGTGCAGGTTGGGGTCAAAGGAGTCGAGGCGGGGGTACCGTGAATTCGCAGGTCCTTGCAGTGGCGTAAAAGGTCGTCGTTAGGCAAGAGAAAACTGACGCATCTAGTGGGTTATTGAGGTCTAGTTGGTCTCTTATGGCTGTGATTAGCTCGACGGTGTAAGGTTCGCGTTTGCTTCGTTGTGCACTGGTTGGGGTGAGCGAGACGGTTGCTTTGAGTAACGTCTCGATTTGCATGTCGTTAAGGTCCCAGGTGATGCTGTGGAGTACGTGCCATGCCCGCACACCGAAGATGTAATTGGCGATTGTTTTCCCGGAGTAGTTCCCTGCCATGGCCGATATGAAAGATTCGATTAGGATGCTGCTAGCTGGGGCGCGTTGGGTCTCTGGAATGGATTTGCTGTCACAGAACACATGGTAAACGAGGAGGCCAGAGCCATAGGACTCGCGAGTCCCTTCTGAGTATCCATGTAGCATGACGTCGCGGATGCGTTGGATGTCAGAGGGTGCCAAGGGGACGAGTCTTCCTTGCGCGTCTTTGGTTGACCGAGAGGATTGTGGCAACCATAGATGGAGCCGATCCTTTGCGCTGCAGTGAGGACGGAGGGCAGATGGGATTGGAGTCAGGTCAGTGTTATACACTGTCATTTTGAGAAATGTGAGTGGCCGTTTCACGAGCCAAATAGCCTGTTCAACTTACTAGCCTTGCGACGCTTGGTGGAGCTCTTCTCCCCTCCGCTCAAACTCGCGGTTGATGAAAGCGCGGCGTCGGAGCTCGAGGTCGAGGTGTTCTTTGCCCATTTCTCGAAGCGATTGACTGGTAGCGCGGCTTGGGGATGGGAAGTGGGAGTTATGGCTGGGCCAGGTGGAGGAATTGGATGTGTCGAGTTCTGAGACGTCGGAGATGAATGCTTGGAGTTCACTTGGGATTGGGATTGGGGGAAGTGCATCACATGTGGGGGGATATATCCCTCTTGAGGGGCCGTCTGCTGGGTTTTCCTTGCTTGGGATGTATCGAGTAAGTACTGTGCATTTGGTACTCGCGACGACGTGATGAATGCGTTTGAAGACGGCATTAGTGGTGCGGCTGCGACTACACCCCTTCCACCATCCTTCCACAACCCCTCGATTGTCGCCATATACTTTGAAATGAATCCCGGGGGGGCAGGCCTTGATGATAGTGCGAACGAGGAGTTCGAAGCCGACACTTTCTGCCCATCCAATGTCCCGTCCGTCTCGCTTCCAACCAGGTGTGAGGACCCAGGCTCTCCATCTGCCGTTGATGACGATTCCGATGCCATGACCAGAGCTAGCGTCCGAATAGGCATTGAAGTCATGTACCACGCACGGTCCTGGGATGTGACGAATGAGGTTGGGGGAACTGAGGGTGCTTTTCCACCAGTTGATATCTTCGGGGGTGCTACGAGGGGGAGTTCTGGGCAGGTGTGGGTGCTCTCCGAATATACCCAGCATGCATTCCAGGCTCGTGAGGTAAGCGCGGCCCATCGGGACGATAAGGCAGGCATGCAGCAGTTTTCCGTAGAGTTTTTGGACCTCATGGAGTGTGTGGGTGCGTTTTGACTGCCACGTGTTGACCGCAGTGAGGTACTTGGCACGCTTCTCAGCTGATAAGGCCACTGTTCGGTCTTCAATGCTCCAGGTGAACCCAATGAATGGGGGGGTGGGGCTAAAGGGTTTGTCCTTCGATACCTCCCAGAAGATGCCGAGAAGTATGGAGAGGTGGTCAATGTCATCCATGCAAAAGGAAAATTGCAGGTCTTCGCGTGATCGTGGTGAACGAGCTGATAAATCCAAGATGGGAAAGTACACGTCTTCGTCGAACTCTTCTGTGGAGCCATTTGGCCATGTTGCTCCTTTAAACCATTTGCGCCCACCTTCAATGACGACACCCTCGTTGTTGGCAATGTCTTTGGCCCAGGTTTCACGTCGCTTATTGTACTCGGCCAGGTGTTCTTTTCTGATTCGGAAGAATAAGTGGTCATCGACCCATTTGGATAAAGGGCCAATTCCCTTGGCGCGAAAAATGTCTGCACCTGCATCTGCAACGGTTCCGTAGATTCCCGCTGATGGGCCGAACCCGAAGCAAAATGATGTGTCAACTGCAAAGGTGTCTTCCCCTGGGAGACGGATTGCCAGGCCTGGCCATTGAGACGAGTGCAAGGGGACTGTTCTGTATGCCTCTGCCACGTCTCGAACAGCTCCTTGCGACCCTGGAGGAAGACACCATATTGTTCTGCAGATGGTGGGGAAAGTTCCGTATGTGCAAGGAAAAAGATCGGAATCGACACGAGAATTAATGGAGCTAATGGGGGGAGAGGGTCTAATAGGGTATGATAGATTTTGAATGAGACGAAATCTTCCAGGCTTGCCTGGCTTCGGAATAATGGACAAAGGAGCTGTTTGGAATTTACCAATGATTGATTCGAGGGTTTGCAGCATTAAAAGGGCCAATAAAACGACCCTTTGCAAATTCGTGACTGATGATGTTTGCAAAGGCTTCGGAGTGTTCCTCGACGGATGGGTTATTAGGTGGTGTGTATGTACAGGTAATGGGGGGGATCCCCCCAGAGAAACCAGATGCGAGACAAGCAGGGACAAAAGGGTATCTATGTATAAGGCCCGTCTCTTCGAGGAGACGTTGCCATTCAACTGGGTTATAAGGAGTGTGGGCCTTAAGCTTTCTCACTTCAAGGGCACTTCTGGGCTCCGTGCTCCTTGCTTCCGCATCCTGAGCATTCGTGTGACAGCTCGTGGTTGGTGGCTTGGCAGCCTTTGGGGCGTTGCCACTTGAGGCAGAGAGGTAGGCCTTGGAGGTTGGTGATTCGGCCGTCTTGGGCTCGACGACAGTGGCCATTGGATCCGTCCCATAAGTTGTGGGATTCGCACTTTTTGATGTCGTGTGCAAAGCGGCCCAGGCAGACTGCGCAGGCTGAACGGCCGCGTGAGCCTGCGCTGCGGGAAAAACCCCCGCGTCGTTGACGGTTATGGGAGCTGCCCCGTGGGGATGGAGTTCTGCTTCTCCTCGACTCGGAGGTGCCGCGAGATGGGGAGCGTGAACGAGAGTTCCTGTAGCGGTACTCCTCGTGGCCAGAGTCTCTGGGATCACGATAGCTCGACCTCCGATTGTGGCTGTAAGTCGTTGGGGTTGCTCTGCTCGTGGGCTGTGGCACGTAACCACGTATGCCAGAAGGGTCGTGCATCCGCGTTGAACAAATTGCGGGCATTCGCGGGGAGTGTCATCGCGAGCATCCGCGGGAATGTCATCGCGGGCGTTAAAGGATGGTTGTTGGCAGTTGAGCCGGGTGTAGGTTATGTTGGGGTGGGGGTGGAGGAAAAGGTTCCAAGGTTGGTAGGGAAAGAAACCGTTTGTTAGTGGAAAGGTTTAGACGTAGTATTTACATAGAGGGACCCACCACAATTAAAGCCCGAGAGCGAATCTTGTCCCATAACTCCTCGTTGATCACGCGGATGAGGTTCTCGTTAATCGATGCGATATTGAAGCCTTCGTTCCGTTTGAGCTTGTCATGCCAGTCTTGGCGAACACGGGAGGCGTAGTTGAGGATGACCAGGTCACCAATCTCGCTGTTGTTGCGGATGGTGTGATTCTCGAGGTGCCAGAAGAAAAGGGACAGGGTTTTGTCTATGTGGGTCTGGGGCCATTTGGCCTTGCTGATCTGGACGAGATACAGGTTCTTAGCCCGTAGGAAGGTGGAAAAGGATAGTTCGTGGTCGGCGAGGGCAGCTTTCGAAGCTTTGAAGGCTGACGCTGGACGGACAGTTAGTTGGCCGTCGATTCTGGTGAGGCCAAGGTCGTTCTCGGCGATGGACCGCGAGGTCTTCAAGGCTTCTTTGCAGCCGTCTGGTGAGAAATACCAGAGTTCTACGAACTCAAAGTTGGTGAGTTTCTGGATGGCATACTGAGCGGGTCGAGGGGATAGGAAGTCCCCTACTGATGCGGATTGGTCAAAACCATTCATCTTTGGTTTCTTTTTCTCCGTCTCCAAGCGTTCCCTCTCAGCCTCTGC